CATACACACGGTAAAAAAGCAATATTCATTATCCAACTCCACCCATTCCAGCAAACTTTTTACTTCAGGAAGATAGTCAAGTTTGGTATCTATTTAATGTATATTAGTAAACATCGGTAATCCTTCTGATAGTTAGACATTATGTGTGACTGTGTATAGGAATGAGTGCAGTAGTGAAACTCGAAGTAAAATATTTTTCCTCCAGGCGAATGTAAATTTCTTGCCCAACTGTACCTGGCAGTATGATTGAGTAATTGGAAAACAAATTATACAACTGCTTTGTTGGAGTTGATTTTATGAAGTAGCTGGCCAAATAAAACGTCCAATAACAAGAAAGCACATTTGTGTCACTCGTCATACCCTCCTGATTAATGTAGGCATTATGCATCTATGTTTTAAATCTTCCACCAATATGTTACGATTTTGAACGCCAAGGGCTTTCTCTTGACTCATAAGCCAACGATTTACAGGGTGTTATTTCTATTTTTGTCCATCGTTGGCAATATGTACATAACATGTTTGTACAGTGATAATGATTTTCTCTTCAATTTGTGCTTTGTTTTTATTCCGTTTTGCTGTTTTTATTATTATTATTGTAAGAGGAATCGATGTGTTTTTATCGCAAGGCACTGGCTTTTAAATGCGATTTCTCGGGCACAATTTTATTATACATTATATCTTTGTACTTTATGAAGTAAACAAATTGTACTAAAGAAAAAAACAGAGAGCAATCATGAAATCTCGGGATATATGCTTCCACTCGTGATTATTGATTGCATTCTACTTTGCGGCTTTCAGCGATATTTTTACGGCTATGACTATTTGTTTAATTTTTTGCATAATTCTATTGAATAAATGAGTTCATCTGACTTCAATAATGGTCACATATAGGCCGGAAATAGGAAATCTGCCTCAAATTAATTGTAGAAGACTTGTAAAACACTAATACCGGTTTATTTTAAACTTTACAAAAATCTTTAAAAAAATATAAACATTTAAGGGCCGCTCTAACCCAACTAATATAGCCTTTAAAAACATGAATACACCTCTACTTATTAATAATCCAGCCTCTGATTTTTCAGACAATCTCTAAATTGACCCAAAAATTATAATAGCCATCCATTTTTCACAGTTCTCACGCTTGCTGGGCTACGCCCCTCGAAAAAGGTAATACGGTCACGTGACTTGATGACGCATTTGACGTCATTGCGGGCATGTCCGATTTGATAATTTCATAATTTCATAATTAGGAATGACGAAATTGCCAGAAATGTACTGGGATTATCAAGCGCATATTATTTTTGGGATAAATTTCTTTTTCCCCCAATTAATATCATAGTTTGCCTTTAAAAAAAATAAATAAAAAAAAAATAAAAAATTAATGCCTAAATCACCCTCCTTGTCACCGGAGAGGCGCCTGCAATGATGTCAAATGCAGCATCACCGAAACTGGGCATTTTTCTGCGCGTTCTGAGTCGTCATTTTTAAAGCTAGATTCCAGAAGCATTGATGATTTCTAAGAAAAATCAATGTCATGTTCGGAATCTCCGTCAAAAATTATTCTACATGTCTTTTTCCCCTTTTTTACAGCCTGTTTTGGTTAGATTGGCCCTTTAAGGATAATGAACCAAATCCGTGAAGTTTGTTAAATGAATTATATTGTTTCTATTTTTGCGATATGATTTCATACTGCGACCAACTTACAAACGGTGATTAACCAGTCTTCGACAAATTTGATGTGTATTACTAGAGAGGGCAGCATGCAAGATCGGAAAATAAAAAGACACACTGTCAGCCCAGGGCTTATGTGTGAATCCTTTGTTACAAAAATATCCTAATAATAATCATTTCCCCCTCATTGTTCTATGTCACTTATCGTCAATAACGGAAATACACTATATTGATTAATGACTCTTCTTTCATACAGGCTGTACTCGCGTAAGGCGTAAAAATGGTGTAGTTAAAATAGCATTGCCCTTTTCTCACTTTTTTCACTTTTGTTTATTTAGGCCGTTTTCTCTCTTCCTCTTGAAGAGGTGGGCATATATTTGACCTTTTTTTCATATTTGTCTTTGACTGACATTATGTCAAATAGTGAGGAAATTCCTATATTTGTATGTATTTGCGTAAAAAGTGAATACTTCCATTTATACTTTAATATCGGGAGATAGCCAAAGCCGAAAATAAATTTGCTTTTCCATTTTTAGATCGTCATTATTTCGGGTGATATTTATCGCACAACTGTATTATGAGGTGAGATCCATGTCGTTGGCCTTCATAACTCTGTGAATGAAATAGTTGATAAACGCCACTTCAGTTATTACTATAGCAACCATTTTTCATTGCATTTCATTTCCATTTCATTCGAAGTGGTCGTTTTTTTAAAGACTTAACACGCTTCATTTATTTTATGAGGCTGTTCGCAGAATTAAAGCTGAACAAAATCCTCTCGGACAAAATTTCCAAGTAGTAAATTGGACACATTATCAGACAGTTACACAAATCAGGATAATTTTACCCCACTATAACGTGCCCTATGCGAAATACTTCCCCGAAACTCAGACACAAACAGAAGCACAGAAACATAATCACGCACCGATGCGCTCACTCGTACACCCACCACCATACACCCACCCTCGTACACCTACCCTCGTACACCCACCCTCGTACACCCACACTCGTACACCCATCCCCATACACCCACCCTCATACACCCACCCTCCTACACCAACCCTCATACACCCACCCTCATACACCCACACTCATACACCCACCATCATACACCCACCCTCATACACCCACCTTCGTACAACCACCCTCGTACACCCACCCTCATACACCCACCCTCATATACACGCACCCTCCTACACCAACCCTCCTACACCCACCCTCATACACCCACCCTCATACACCCACCCTCGTACAACCACCCTCATACACCCACCATCATACACTCACCCTCGTACAACCACCCTCGTACACCCACACTCGTACACCCACCTCCGTACACCCACCCTTGTACACCCATCCTCATACACCCATCCCCATACACCCACCCTCATACACCCACCCTCCTACACCAACCCTCATACACCCACCCTCATACACCCACCCTCATACACCCACCATCATACACCCACCATCATACACCCACCCTCATACACCCACCCTCGTACAACCACCCTCGTACACCCACACTCGTACACCCAACCTCATACACGCACCCTCCTACACCAACCCTCATATACCAACACACCCACGCACTCTTAAGCCCGGCGCATACTACACGAATCGACTAGAATCCGATTTTTGAAAAACATAGGTTAAAGCGTTTTATATGAATATTCAAACACGTAAAAGACCGAGGATCTGAATAGTAATATGATTAATACAATCTAAATTGCAAGGGATAACATGCTTCCTCTGAGGAGGAGGAGGGGGAGGGGAGGGGGAGGGGAGGGGGAGGGGAGGGGGGGGAGGGGGAGGGGAGAGGGAGGGGGATCCGAGTGGTGGAGGGGGAGGGGGAGGGGAAGATAAATCGGCTCAGAATCGTAGTGCCGTCAGACCAGCAGTGCGATTGTCTACGAACTCATTCACGCTCAATGTGGACCATCTTCACTCACTGGGGAGTATTCTTACCATACGCTCAACATGAGGGCATATGGCAATTACTAACACAAAGGTTTATGGCATCCAACCAGATCCCAATTCTGTTCCAGGTATGGAATGGTAAATGTAGATTAATGAATGCCAAAGGACATTACTGCCGTGTTGGGGATCGAACCCATGACCTTAGTAAAGTGCCTAAACCACTCGACACTGTGACACCTCGACTACCACAACAGGCAGTACCTGTTCCCTCTCTCCTATGACCTATTTACAGCATTTCACAACTCATTTTTCGAAAGATAAACCGCGCTCACATTTTCTCACATTCCCCCTAAATCTATAATATTAATAATCTAAAGTACCAGACATTGAACACTGGAAGCTGCTGTAAAATCAAAAAGAAATATAGCTCATGTTATACATATTTTAATCACATTTGTGAGATATGAAACTTATGGTGGTTATTCTATTCTGAGATAGAATGACATGTACATTTCTGAAACAGTTTTCTAGCATGCAGATTAAAATAAACATGATTGAAGTTTAAATGGAAAATAAAATGCAGGCTAATTATTAAAAAAAATGTTATTGAAAATAAATTTACCTCTGTATAAGTCTGAAATAAACAATACGCAAAAGCTTTTAAACATGCTTACGTCACACCCATCAATTCAAAATTACTTTGGACACAGTGAAAATGACAAGATTTAATCTCGGTGACCTTGAAATATTACAGACATCATGATGAATCAATAATTCACAAGCAATTACGGGTATTGAAGATTGAAATATGGTTGATTTCTTTACTTTCAAATAAATGCCTTGGTCTAAGGCCGTTATAAAGGTACTATGTCCCATTTGCAGCCAACATCAAATTCTGTAGAGCTTAAATTTAACATTTCATATTTTGTTTATGATGTTTTGGCATGCAAATGGGACATAGTACCATTAAGTTTTGTTCATTATTTTTCTGAAAAATCCCAAAACCAGCATGGGTAATAGTTGCTGAATTATTTCAAAAGTAATGCGTGAAGTATGAATAGAATTGTGATGTATGTCGGTAATTATGGTGTCAATATTGACCCCGTGATTATCAAGCTTAATTGGATACAGTGCGGATTTCACTGAACTTATTTCGCAAGTGAACTAGGGTGTGTGTTTGTGTGGTTAAGTTTAGAAGGTTTCTCATAACGAAAGAGCGCCAACATCAATTTTTTTTTATCGTTCTACTCTTTTATAGTGATCAGTGATAACCACTGCAATAACAAAAAAAATAGTATGTATATATATAACTCAAGATGAATGAACGAATAATCTTACACACAATCAATAATGCTTGTACATCCCCCTCCCCCCCCCCAAAAAAAAAAAAAAAAAAAAAATTTGCAGACATTTATTTTCCATCTAAGGCATTACGGGAGGGGTTTTCAGCAAACATCGGGCGAAACAATCTGAGCAGTCCGTGCCTGTGTCGCAGGGCATCAAAGCTACGATGGAACCCTCTCCGCCGTCTTCACATATTTGGTTTTTTCGGCTGGGACACACGTCAGTGCACATGATCTCTATTGAAGGTAATGAAAACAGATCATTCTTAGAACGGTTTTGTGCCAACTCCAGCCATATCCAATTAAATACCGTGTATAACAAACAAAAAAACACGGGGAAAAAACAGAACACACACAAAAAACACACATATTATATCTTCTGATTATCTGCCATGTTATAATTGAATTCATCTTTTTCCATATTAGAGCCATAAAAATAATATTCCACGTTTATATAGCGTTTATAACATCGACGATGGCTTAAGCGTCTACGATTGTGGATAAGCTTTACATTTTTGTAAGGCCGGTATCATTTCAAGCTCTGCTTACGATATCGGTCTTCTGCATTCTCCCCCTTTTCTTTCTTTTCAAATACGATTAATTGTACTACTGATTATTTATATTTATTTATTTGTGAATTACTACTTGTATTACTTATTATTATATTGCTAAAATGTATTCATTGTTATTTTTGTTATTGTTTATGGAAAATGCAGAAATAAAACTTGAAATTGAAAAAATTGAGAAAAAAATATACCCCGGTCATTGGATTCGGGTTTGCCCGAAGACCATGTATGCACTTTCTCCACTCCCAGCTAGGCGTCTACATTAACCCACTACGGTGGAGAGTGGCAAATGTAGATTAACATCTTGCCAAAGCTAGGACGTCAGTCCCGGGCTAGGCATTGAACCCCAAACCTTGAGTTCTACAGTCCTTTGACTTTATCACTTGACCAGAACACCTCTACAAAATAGCCTTAGTATGAAACACAGTATTGGCGAGTTTCCACGGTTACATGTTGGGAGACAGCGACAAAGCAGAAATGGCAGGCAGTTTGTTTGAATTGATAAAGTTAGACTACGTGTAATGCCTAGTATATCAACCTTTTCCAGTATGATATATGAAATAAAGATGTGACAATATGATCATAAAATGGTTTTAGGAAACCAGTTACTTAAAATTGCAACATCTAAAGGCCTGGAAATCTATTCAAGATATGAACTTTGGCTTACAAATATTTAGAAAAACTACTGAATTAGAAATTTACTTACATGGCCAGTCGTATCTATATAAGTCTATGTTATCATATAAGACTTTACCAAGAAGAGAAGAGAAGGGAAGAGAAGGTTCCATGGGCCTTAATCATATAGATGGACTGGCATTCAATCGGTAAAATATCTCCAATATTTCTGCATTGACTCGTATCTTAACATTAAATTATATCTGTAACATGGAATTAATCGTAAGTTTAAAAGTTGCGATTGATTAAAGGAGATACGGTTAATTTGAAAGGGATACGATTAATTTGAAGGAGATACGATTAATTTGAAGGAGATACGATTAATTTGAAAGTGATACGATTAATTTGAAGGGGATACGATTAATGTAAAAGGGATACAAATAATGTAAAAGGGATACGATTAATTTAAAAGGATACGATTAATTTAAAAGGATACGATTAATTTGAGGGAGATAATTATGATTAATTTGAAGGAGATACGATTAATTGGAAGGAGATACGATTAATTGGAAGGATATACGATTAATTGGAAGGAGATATGATTAATTGGAAGGAGATGCGATTAATTGGAAGGAGATACTATATTGGAAGGAGATACGATTAATTGGAAGGTGAGACAACTAATTGTAACTTTTCATGCTATATGGCCTTTTACTACAGAATTCTGTAACTTACCTTTAGTTGTCGTGTCACAATCGGTACAAACGTCGCCTGTCCATTCATCTTTACAATCACATTCAAAGTCTATGGTAGCTGCGGTTCCTTCACCAATGCGCTTATTCGTACACACTCCTCCATGGTGACACGGGCTTGAGCTGAAAAGGAGAACGAAATTTTTTAATGGATTTAAATGATAGCAATGTTGATAATTAATGTTAGATTTACATAATGCATTATGATAAGTAGTACACAAACGCACTGAGAATTATTATGTCATCACCCTTGGTCTCTAAACAGCAAGCCTGCAAAAAAAAGTGTGCGCAATCCCCCCTCCCCGGAGGAGAATTGTAGGCCTACCCAACTAATGTATGCTTATATTCAACACGTTCCGACTACTAAATATCTATTTAGCTAGTTACGAGCGGTAAATGAGGAAATTTGTCACTAGGTCTTATGCTAGATGAGGCAATGACATTTGAACTTCTCTTTATATATAATGGGTAGCGCGACCTGTCATGTCATTTCAAAATACCTTTTGCAACAGACTGTCCTTAAAAAAAAAAATCGTTACCCTATACATGTATGTAACAAAAGGTGCCCTTGAATTTCAGAAATTTAGAAATTCCCTCGAAACAAAAGGGTTTGAAAATGGCTTTTTGTCGGAAAATAACGACCACTAGTTGTCGAATCGACATGAGTGATTGCAATCACCTAAGCCATAGTCTGATTTTCTGACCCTTGTACCGAATGGTCGTACGTTTTGTGCTACTCAAAGATTCAATCAGTTTAATTTTGGCCATTACAAGTCATGTAGTGGGTTATTGATGTAGACAAATGCTCATGTACATGTTCCTGCTCATTTTATGAATGTTGTTACCAACGAAAAAAACATGCCAGTCAGTCAGTCACTCGATAGTATTTGACAGGGAAGTCTAGCAAGTAAACGGGTTTCCTTGCATTATATAAACACTAGGACACCGCTAACGTTTAAATTTCACAGATAGGACATACATGACAATTCCTGCAAAGTTCTACAGAATTTGATATTGGCTACAAATGGGACATGGTATCTTTAACTCTTCGTCAATGTGCAAACCTCCAATTCAATCTCAAGCACTATGAGCTTCAGCTTTTTGAGTTATCAACGATTGAAAGTTTCATGTGTTCACAACTAGTACAGTACTTCATTTTATACCTGCATGCACATTCTCTGAACGGTGGTGGAGGGGCCGGAGTATGTGTCTTGGTCAGAAGAGCCGAATGAACGGTCTGTCCCTGGACTTCGTCGACCCCGCCGCCGATCAGGAGCAGAAATATGCCGATCACGATGCCGACGTTGACGAAACTAGCCATACTGGAATATCTCGTTGTGGTGTGGCGTCTTGAATAAAAGTAAATTTAAATGAAAAAAAAAATGAATGAATTGCATAACTCCATGAAACAGCGGATTAATTAAATGGCCCTCTCATCTCCTTTTCTCTCCCTTTCTTTCTCTCTGTCTGTCTGTCTGTCTTCCTCTCTCCCTCGCATTGACTTTCTCTTCCTTCATCCCTCTCTACCCTTTGCTTTGACAAAATTTGATAATAAGTATGCAAATCTTCTGAGTGTACTCTACACAAGCTCTTGTGTTTACGGGATCTCTGTCACAAATTAAATTTATAAGATTAACTCATTCACTATTCAACACGTGTCGGGTTTTACTTGAAAATCTAAAGTTGAACACGTAAGCTTAGTCAAGAATCTAGTTACAGTAGCCATCAGATGTGTCTCTCACTTTCACACTTTAATAGAAAGACCTACAGCAATAAAAACGACATCACGTCTTAAGAAAGAAACAAAAGCACACACAAAATCCAACGACAACATCAATAATTAAAAAACAGATAGGAAATTATTTTAAAAGTACGTATTTATGTGAAGACAGTCACTTACCCAACTGAAAGCTCTTCCAAAATGAGGAGACACCGTTTACTTCAAATGAAATTATCAATGTCCTTTTTATCTTTCGCGGCTGCTTTCCAGAGAGATGCTTCTCAAATGATGATGTGGCATTAAATAAGAACTTTACTAATGTGTTCAAATAGGCTATGTTCACGATGTACCCAAATTTAATGCATACGTCTTTGCGAAGTGCCTCGAAACAAACTATTTCATGCACCTGATAAGAATAATAGTATTACAATAGACAGAATCCGAACTGCATACATAGGTTTTTGCCAGGTAGGACAAACATTATGGCTTGTCCTACCTAGCACCACTTAATATATGCATTTTGCATTCTGACTATTGAAATACTATTATTCTTATCAGGTGAATAAAATAATTTGTATTGGGGCACTTCACAAAGACTTGTATTACATTTGGTTACATTACGAAAATGGCCTATTAATTGATGGAAGTTTTTTCAAAAACTGCATACTTGTGACGAACGAACAGGTGTTTACTATTAAAATGTATTTCAATTTATGCATGTTTCTCTCAAGACTCTCATGAAACCTTGGCCACTGGCTATATATCATGATTCACCTGCTATATACAAAATAGCATCTCTGTGGATAGAATTCACCTTGTATACATTAGGCCAAATAAAAAAAAAAAACATGTTTAGCGTCCTGTTTTTTCGAAAAATAGGAAGGAGGAGGCCCTTTTTATTTTTTATTTCAAAATGGCCGCTCAAAATTGCCGCTCGGTACATTTTCCCTGACAGTCGAGGCTATTTTTTTCAAGAAGGCCGCCGACAATTTTTTTTTTTTTTTTTAAATCAGAAATAGAGCCATTTTAGCAGTGTTTTTCATGTTTTTTTTTCTTTCAAAAAAAAAAAAAAATAAATAAAAAAAATAATAATAATAATAAATAAATAAATAAATAAACAATTAAAAAAAAAAAAAAAAAAAAATAGGAGGCGGCCCCCCAAAAGGAAGCGGGCGGGGACGCTAAACATGTATATATTTGTTAATGGCCTTAGTTGTTGATAAGTCGAACAAGCCTTTGGCAAGACAGTTGTCAAGAGACATTTTGTTTCTCAAAAGTATACATAAAATTAGTAAAAATGCTTGTATTAATTGAATTTGAATACACCTTGTAGACCATTGGTTCAAAACAGGCGCGGTTTTCTTTGGCAACCGTATAACGAACTATACGTAATCCACCTGTGCCATATCATTTCAATGGTCAGAATGCAGACTGCGTATAGGCGATTGTATAATAGGTACGCGCCATCTTGCCATCCACCCCCCCCCCCCCCCCCCCCCCCCCCCCCCCACCGGAGAAAACTATCCAGGTTGTGTTTGCCTTTTTAGTTGCATCTCAATCTAAATCAAATACACCGACGAACCCTCTTCAAACCAACCGATGTTTGGTCATTCGGGTTAATGTAATTGTTTGTTCGGTCTAATTGTCGGTTCCGTTGGTGTAACCAGGGGCTATAGTCAAGGGATTTGTTAATAAAAGGGGAAGAGCGATTAAATCATCATAATATGACACGCGCGCAAGCAAGGAAAAGAAAGAAAAACAAAAAAAGAGCCAACTGCTAGGAGGTAGGTGGGGTTCGGGTCATGATTTATAAAAGAAAATGGTGACACATAACAACAACAACAACAATATTCGTTTAAGGTGCCAATGGGGTGAAAAATAAATGTGGAAATGAATGCCATTTACAAGAATAACACCAATATGATTAATTCAATGAAATTCCATATTTGGTATACGATCGATCGAAAAGACTCTCGAGAATTGTAATATATATCTCATAAAACAGGCTCCGATTACTTAACACGTCAATGTAATGATTGTTTAAAGGTGAAATTCAAAGAAAATCACAAATATGTCAACTAATGTATCACTAGAAACTGGTAAGCTAACAGATGGCCATCGTACAAGTTTGAGGTCAGCTACATATCGGGTGATTTATAAAAATAAAAATACAACCACCTCCATAGCAGCTGGGATATACGAGAGATTCGCCAGAAAAATAACGATGTTTTAATGACGTCACAACAGGGACCAATACTGCCCAAGCAGACGACATCCCATAAAGAATGAACATAATTGCAAAGCTATTATTTGTCAAATTATAATGAGTTTAGTGTATATAAATGTAATGGCACGTCAAACCGATCAAACGGGGACATGACCCGATTCTGATAACTAAAATCTTTTGCTTGGAAATACACTGGATAGGGGTTAATTAACAATCAAAGAAACCAGACTTTCAAATTGAAAAGCCCCCGGAATGATATTAAGGACGGCATTTGTTCCCTCTTAAAACGCCGAACATACCGCGGTGTCTGCAGCTGAATATACAATGGCGTCTTATTTTGTTTACAAGCGACAGATTCCTTTATTTTTGTATCGCTGCATTTGTCATCAAAATAAAACCATGCGCGGGGTTTAGAGTGAGGCAATAGATTATACATTTAGCCTGACGGTAGTGAAGTAAGAGAAAGAACTCAGGAGAAGATGAAAACACAGGCACTGAAAATGTGTGAGATGTCATGGGACATCGTCTGCTTGTGCAAATCATGTCCCTTCTGTGATCTCACACATCTCAGCAGCGTTCGGAGAGCTATTCAGGTGCTATGCCGGGGCTGTATTTAAGCGTTTTGTAATTTATGGAGCCAGACGTAGTTTCAAATTTAAGTTTCAACTTTGCAATAATGAAAATTAAGCTAGATTTAAAATCAATGAATATCTACTTTAATAGGCTGAGCCTATTTTAGTAATGTTTCCACATGTATTGCATATATACGTCTTTGTGAAGTGCCTCGATCGTTTTCATATAAGAATAATAGTATTCAATAGACAGAATCTGAATTGCATACACATGAGTTGTGTTAGGTTGGCCCTACCTACATCAACACTTAATTTACGCAGTTTGCATTCTGAATAATGAAATACGATTATTCTTATCAGAATGAAATAATTTGTATTAAATGAAGCACTTCACAAAGTTGTATTGAATTTGGTTACTTTATGAAAATGGCCTATTGAACTTTGAAATAACCTAATTAGGTTGATTTTCGAAAGTCTTAATTTATAATTATGTTCTAACTATTTCGTCAATTTATGAGTCCTGCGCGTCGGAGGCTATGCGTAGCAGGATATTTTTTTTTGCAAACGCTGAATTGCAAAGACAATTAAAGGTAATACAAAGTTTTGGGATGGGGTCATGAATTTGGTTCAAATGAACATGTTAGAAGCATATGCGATCCTACAATATTCAGGGATCGTTGTTGCGGTTGAAATCGAGTCTAAAGTTATGAAATTGTAAATAATAAACTCTTTATGTTATATAGGTCCCTCTCAAGGTCAAGATATTAATTAAGCTATAAAACAATGTTTCTTGACTAAAATCGACCAATTAGCTATTCCCGTTTGGAAATTATATATCACAACTACATATTCTGAGATTTTCATGGTCACAGCTACCATTGTACGGCCGTAGGCGCTAATTGAAATTTATCAACATTTACCGGGAGCACCGGTAAAGTTTTATATTCAATTTTTCTCGAAAGGAGAACTGTTTTAGGGGCTAATTTTTCTTGTGCTTATAATACATCCACAGGGGCATCCAAATATATCAAAATTGTAAAAAATCACTTTCCACCCAATTTTCAAATTTCCCGAGCCGATTTTTTTTGGGGTGTTTATTTGAACCCCGTAAGTGATGTTTTCCTGGCATCTATTAACACAATGGAGACCATAAAAAGCAGTGCATGATAACGTCTTTTTAAATCAAGTAACAGTTAAATACACAGTTATATCCAGAGTTATCATGTGTTTGGTTAAGTTACCTGATGAGTTGAATATCTTCTCACAATATTTGCACTTGAAAGGGTTTCTCTCCAGCGTGCGTTCTTTTTTCTTTCTTTTTTTCTTTCTTTTTTTCTTTTTTTTTCCTTTTTTTTTTTTTTTTTTTTTTTTTGGGCCGCCCAAGGGGGGGGGGGGGGGGGGGTTGCAACCCCCAACCCCCCAACCCCCCCCCCCCCCCTGGATCCGCCACTGTATAATTATGACAATAATTTGTCTATTTGGCAGTTGATCGGTTTGAATTAAATCTAAATTGTCCTCAAATCAAACTAAACAAAAGCGCGATACGTAAATATTCATAAATGAATGATACACGCCAGTAAAAACTAAAACAACAACAACAACAACAACATAAAATATTACGCCTGGCCGAATGTCCTTTTGCTTGCAAAAATCAGCTGGTTGTTTACCCTTTAATAGATATGAGCATGCGCAGTAGCTTTGTTTTGCCTTTTCTAGAGAAATAATAGGTTGACCGACAATACAACATGTACACTGTACGCTATCTCGAACTGTCAAAGGTCGTATGCGTCTGAGAAATAAGCTTGTTTCTAAGGAATTGTGTAAGTATTATGTGGGAAAGATTCTGTTTGTGAAGTGATAACGAATGAGAAATTGTATGCAGGTTTGATGTGCTGTTATTCTGCTTTTGACAAGTTATTTACTGTCTGTGATGAGCTGTGTGTGGGTGAGCTAGGGACTGGACTGGATCGAGTTCATCTTCGAGAGTGAGTGGTAAATGTACGTGTGTGGATAGTGCACAGCACAGCAGCTGATCCGTAGATTGAGTGTAATGCATATCGTGTACTGTAGATATTGTTTAGTGTAGACTGTCTTATCTTGTGTTACCAGTGTCTCTTTGGTCAGGTGTTACTGACTTGTACTAGTAGTAATGTACGCACTTTCTATGATGTCTGTATTTGACGTAGACATAAATAACCTTCTGGTATGGAGAATTCTTTTGATGAGTGATATAGACTATGTGTAGGGTGTCTGATCGCGCACCCGATGTTGTGTGCTAAAATCTTTCCCATAGAGATTGCACACATCCCTATGTGGTCTACATGCATTGCGCGACCAAGCAAAATTGGTCAATGATTTTATGAAAAATTTGAAATTCAAACCTTTATAACAAATGATCCTGAAGGTGAAACTCAATAAATGTGGTGTCATATGAAAGAGCAGGTTTTTCTCCATATTCCCCATAGGGGGCCACCCCCGGAATTCTAAATATATCTTGCTCAAAACAGCGATTTAAACATCGTTTCCATGGTAACTCGGAGATTTACCAATTTCACGAACTGCCCCCCCCGAGGGATAAGTTGGGCCAGCTGTAAAGAATATATCCATGCACTTATTTTTTCTCTAGTCCCAAGGGATCATTTGTTACAACAGTTTGAAAATACCCTTGCTCCACGCTTTGCATATCGTGCTGTGCATTAGCTGTGCAGCTTTTGAGCAGAAATTATAACTCTGCGTGAACCACTTTTCTGTCCATTCTGACCAAAATGCTATGAATATTGCACAGTTTTTGAGGGGCTGTATCTTTTGATAGAAACATCGGTGAGTCTTGAAATTTGAAAGGTATTATTCTGATTACATTTTTTACTCCAATATCCAACAAAAATGGTGAAAAACGATCCCAAATTGAAAATTGAAAAATCGTTCAGACACCCTACTATGTGTCATCCTTTCCCATCCCATATGCAGTCCCATAGGACAGTAGACCGAATTTTCCGTCTCTTTCGTTCGTTAGCCTCTTATTGGGGTAGGGTCGGCTCTCTCTTTAGAGACGGAAACCGTCTATACACATTCCCTTGATAACTCCACGGCCATTTCAGGTCGTAGCGTTATGCCCCCAAAATCCCCCAAAATGTCATTTTACCTCATGCATTGATTAGATCTATTTAAAATTAGGAGGTTATACTACATCGGTTCCACTTACCAACTTGACTGAAATAATCCGTTTAATGGTCCCTTTTATGGAAATTATGGGTCAAAATCGACATCCATGTTGAAAATCTTGCAAGCCGTGTTAAACTCTCGCTGCGCACGGAGTCATCTAAATCAATCTCATCCCTTCTAGTCTACGCCGAGGGCAAAACGATTATGAAGGAAAAACTGTGATAACGCCATTACGAACGTGTAGATGGCGCACAGTTTTTCCTTCATAATCGTTTTGCCTTCGGCGTAGACTAGAAGGGATGAGATTGATTTAGATGACTCCGTGCGCAGCGAGAGTTTAACACGGCTTGCAAGATTTTCAACATGGATGTCGATTTTGACCCATAATTTCATTAAAAGGGACCATTAAACGGATTATTTCAGTCAAGTTGGTAAGTGGAACCGATGTAGTATAACCTTCTCCTAATTTTAAATAATCAATGCATGAGGTAAAATGACATTTTGGGGGATTTTGGGGGCATAACGCCACGACCTGAAATGGCCGTGGAGTTATCAAGGGAATGTGTATAGACGGTTTCCGTCTCTAAAGAGAGAGCCGACCCTACCCCAATAAGAGGCTAACGAACGAAAGAGACGGAAAATTCGGTCTAATAGGACAGGGGTCGCAGACTCTCAGTCAAAACTAAATAAATACTGTAAGTGCAAGTCACTAAGTGTATAAAGAATGCGCTGCATGACCAAGAAAACGCTTAAGGTACATAAAGGGGTGTTTTTTTTATAGATTGGACGCGGTCTGCACGGTGCCGCATTAAGAGGTTAAAAAACGATCCATTTTCGAGAAAAAGGGTAATTTTTCAAAATCCTGCTATATGCGTTAATCAGGTATTTTTCTAGATCCTGACTCCGATTTAAACAACTTAAAGGGTAATCCCTATCGCACTTCAAAATATTCAGGGGACAATGAGCAACAATTTTACAATACATGTTTAGGAGTACACTTTGGTGAACTGTTTATAGGGTGTGAATTCGGGGGAAAAACACGCAATATCCTCATATAATGGTGTATTTTGGCTTCAGAAGAAATCCTCGCTTAGGGGATGCCTGCTGGAAAACCTGTGGTCATGCATGCTTATAGTATTTCTACATGACTGAGACCCCCGGGTGGATCAATAGATAAATTTTTATCTTTAGACTTAACAGTTTCATTTAGAAACAAATGATGATTGGAAAGGAAATAGATCTAATTTTCATGGGGTGGTATTCTCTTAAGTTAAGCCGGGACTAAGTCCAGACTAAACAAGAATTTTAGTTCGCACTTCTATGGAATGCTAGGTTTCATCTTCCTCCTTCAATATTCATGACAAAGATAATCTACCAAGGACTTTGTTGAAATTTAGTGTATACTCATATTATCTTTTTCTTCCTATTTCAGTGCAAAATTAATTTGTTGGACACTTTTCATTGACGGATTTAAATAATCTGTTCAGGGCAAATTAGTTCACAACAGGCACTCCATAAAAGTGTGAACTAACTAAGCACGCGCTAACTTAGTACGCGCTACCGGAATACCACCCATTTACTTTAGTATAAGTATCAAGATAAAATCGAAAAAATTATTGGAGAAATAAAAATATAAGGAGTATGTATCTCTCAGCTATCTGTCCATTTTCAATCACATACAAACTGCATTGGGTAACTTCCCCTCCCTAACCTGTACGATGTACTTCATTCACTGTATAAATGTGGTCAATGTATGGAGCCAGACGTAGTTTCAGCGTAACTACTGTCCATATCAGAGATTGAAGCATTTGTGCATTTGCATTTGTTGTTTGTAATTGTACATGTGTGAAATCATTGACTCTTCTTCTTCCTTCGGCAGGGCTTATGGGTCAGATGGTCGAGTTCATGAGGTCACTGTAAAGGTCATCTTGATAAAATCACCATGGACACCAGGCCATCTAGTGTCCTGCATCATCTCAGGAGGAGAGAGATTAGGGTAAGTGTTAGGAGGAGGTGCATTGTAAACACTCGATGCATGGCTGATCATCAATGAAACGGAGTTAAGTCTTTTGTCAACTGTGTTTGTTGCTATGGCAGGCAGCCAGTGAAAAAGAATTTGGTTATTTAAATTATGGAAATGCAAGCAATAATTTAACAAACAGAACTTTGTTATTTTTGGCTCATTTTTCCTGATTGAGGTGTCGTATGAAAGAGCAGAAAATGAACTTTCTAGAGATGTGATTTTCTCTTTGAATTTCAGATACCGTCCGCCAAATGACTTATTGGTACCCTCTCTTCAAATTGTTTTTAATCACTAATGCTTGAAATATGCATCATTATGAGTTGCATCAAATGATCTGAGCTTTAAAAATATGTGTCATTTATTAATTATAATTGTGATTAAGTTATGATAAAACATCGATAAATTGGGGTTTTGTTTTTTCTGGGAAGTACTGTATAGTTTATTCTGGAATGAATTATATTCCTTAATTACTTCTCTTTCCAAGGGATTAAAATAGTTTCTTTTTACAGTCAAATAACTTCAGCTGAGAGGAATAGATTCATGAGTAATTATTATTTGTATACGGTATTAAGTATGTTTGTGGTCTGGTGGTTTAGGGTTTTAAACCCCCTTCCTTCCCCCTATCTATCTCTCATATTTCTAGTAATGATTTGTATTAATTGCTCTTATCTTTCATTCTTCTGTCCAGGACATATCTGTGAGGAAGTTTCAACAGATTCACCATGTAGATGAAACACTTATCAACAGACTGGGCTTGGAACATGAGTTAGAGGTAGGAGCTCTTTGACTTCTAGATTATCTCGCTTGCCCTAAGATTAATACAGGAACCACTGGTTGCCGTTGGTAATGATTAAAGCAAAACAAGACTTTGAGAGGTTTTGAGGTAACCTGTTGTATTGCAAATGCAAAATACCAGTGAATTCTAACTAGTACTAATCATAGTTGAACTGAGAAAACATTTCAACTGTGTATAAATATAGGATAAATAAAGGAGTTGTGAAACCCTTTACAGAACATTTTATTACTTTTTTGGTGTAAAACTCTCCTTTTTAGAAAACATATCTCATTCATTGATGCTCTGACAGTTCTGACCTTGTTGTAATTCATGAACAATGAGTTTTATTATATCCCATATTTCTTGTGTAAAGACAAGAATGGCCCCTTAATGTTCATATTTTGTGTTTCAATTGTTTCAGGGTCATAACGGGTGTGTAAACTGTTTGGAGTGGAATGAATCAGGATCGTAAGTGTACCAGAACATATTACTTAACATGTTTATACTACAATGTAGAATGTACAATCAAGTAAATCCACTTAGACTTACAGATATGTACACTGTACTTCAACTTACATTCTTTTCAATTTTTGCAAGAATAATATTATTATCAATTTATAAGCAGAAGTCTATGTTGCCTTTGTCTCTCGTTTGTATCTTTCTTTTATAGTGGGAATGTAACATCTCCTATACGGAATGGAATTGCTTTAATGAGAATTACTTGTAAATTCATACCAAAAAAAGAGAGTTAAATCTGACAACTTGTCTTTTCATTGCTACTGCTACTCTTTGTTTATATCCTGTTTATCTAACTGTCCATGACATCTGTTGACAATAATTACATTGTACACATTGGGCTTCTCTTGATATAATTAGGTTCCTTTCAATTCAATTCAATTTCAATTTCAATTTATTTATGTTTCTAACAACAAATTACAAATCAATTATAAACATTTACAACAAATGTAGAAATACATATTTGAAACAGAGGGGTCCACTAAAAAGCAGTGCTTGTACAAGTGTGAACACCTCAAATGAGCTTCATATCATAACTTTTTAGGGTTTTTTTCTTTAAAATTTCAGATTGTTAGGCAGTGGTTCGGACGATCTAACGGCCGTGATTTGGGATCCTCACAGAAGGAAAAAATTGACAACTATACGGACGGGCCACCTTGGAAATATCTTCTCTCTTAAAGTAAGGAAAGACAATTTTGGAGTAATATTTTTTTAAACATGTTTTATAGCTTTTTATCTCTCTCTCTCTATATGAATATGTGTGTGTTTGTAATTGGGTTTTTACAGATATGTTTCAATCAGATGGTTGATTACACAGGAGACGCGATAGCTCAGTTGGTAGAGCAATGGTCTCGTGATCCGGCAACCAGGGTTCGAAACCAAGGCGATGCGCTAGTGCCCTTTGTGGTAAGGCATTTATCCTCATTACCAGTTCCATCGGAGAGAACCTAAAACCGTCGGCCATCTGGTTGCTTACTTATAAGCATTTATGCTTTTTTAGCAGTCAGGTAAAATAACCACCACTACACCCTTCCTCCACAGTTCTTGCCAAATTCCCAAGACGAGACCATAGCCACCGGGGCTGCCGACTGCAAAGTCAGAGTTCACAACGTGCCTAGGGGCGAGACTACACATGCCTTCAGCTGCCATGCCGGTCGTGTCAAGAGACTAGCGGTGGTGCCCAACCTCCCGTACATGTTCTGGAGTGCGGGGGAAGATGGGACGATAAGGTATGTTACTTTATTCATCAGGGGAGTGTTTCACAAAGACTAAGATCGACTTTAAAGCCCATCTGCACTAGTTTGGTCATGGGGAATTATACCTCCCGGCAAAGTCACTTACAGGTGGTTATTTCATCAAATCAGCTCTCAATTAACATAATAAAAAGGGGATCATAGGGACCAACAGGCACTGAATAGGTATTGTTTGCTATATAGAGGGCATAAGTAGCTATAAGTAGTATAGTGGGGCTTTAAGTTGGACTTAACTATGGCAGGCAGTTCATGCCACTGTTTGCTCTCACCATTATGATCTGTGGATGATATTTTTTCCTTCAATAATGAGTTATCACAAAATAAAGTTCTGTAGATTTGTGACCATGATTTGTACGTCCCTTGAGAAACCAATGCCAGTAAATGGTAAAAGCAAACAATGGCATAAACAGCCTGCCATAGTTAAGTCCAACTTAAAGTCGATCTTAGTATTTGTGTAACACTCCCCTGGAGTGCAAGATGAGATTGGATGATAAGTTTTGTTTTTATTTTATTATTTTTGTATTTTAAATACTGATGTATGATACAAATACCTCAGACTTGCTCTACTATACATCGTAACATGATTTAATTTTCTCTTCTTGTTGCTGTTGCTATATCCAGGCAGTTTGACCTGAGGTCCCCCCACCTGTGTAGCGATAGCTGTAACAATGTCCTTATCAATCTCAACTATTACACCGGCAAGCATGGGGAATGCAAGTGCCTCGCGATCAACCCTCACAGACCTGAGCAACTGGCAGGTAAGACAACTTAGAAATTAAATCCATTGAAATCAATTTTATGCTTTAACCAGCAGACTAGCTGGACTATAATCCATTCCATTTATTGTCCTTATTTCACCACTGTAGCTGCTTTCAAATTCTACTTCTTGAGTTCCCTCTCACTCAATGTAGACATGTAATGAATGTAGTCTTTATAGACAGGGGGGGGGGGGGGAGTGTAGGTATGTGTGTGTAATTTGGTTTTTACAGACGTGTATCAATCAGATATGATTATATACGTCTGTGGACCAACCTTTAACGTCACCATCCGAAAGACGTGACTCAGTTTCGACCTGCGTCCCTCGGCTTAATCAGTTTGTAACTTCCATCGTTAACAGGTTCCCTTTGTACTGTTTTCCAGTGGGAAACTGTCCAAGAAACACAAAATTGTGATCCTCATTGACATGTCTTTCTTAACAGGTTATCGCTATTAAAAGCAGATTTGACTGTATAATATTTTCCCTTGTTTGATCTCTGTTCTCTACTAGTCGGTGCTAGTGATCCATTCATCAGGCTATATGACATTCGCATGTTGAACCCTCATGCTGTCCACTTCTCAAGAGATGAGGTTCTAAGGTCGGCATGGAGGACCCCCGCCCCGGAACCCGACGACCATGGTGAAGTGCCAAGGGGATGTGTGCAATATTTCATAGCAGGTGAGAAGGTTTAGGGTTCAATACTACAGTGGGGTAAAACTTATGCAGAATGCAAATGGAATTGTTGGTATATTTTCTAGGCCTCAATGTACCACTTAGCACAGAATTACTATGTACACATATAGTGCAAAGGGAACATGCCACAACTTTTGATGCATGTAGTTATTTGCTCATAAATTTACACACATGTGCTGTTTATAAAACAAAATTGTACAAGGTAATGAAGGCTCAATTAAAAAAATATTCAGTGAATATTAAAGACATAGACGTATTTTATGTTATCTATATACAATGCATGTACATTGTGCTTGAGCTACTTACTTATGTTTGCTTTCCAAGATGGTGAAAACATGATGCATTGCACCAATCGCATGACTATTTCAGCTATCACTTGTTATGTTTTGCAGGACATTTACCTGTCAAGGAAGAAGACAGAGGGAGGAGATATCGGTCACTGGTAGCAACATATGTGACCTTTGGCCCTACAGGTCATGAACTTTTAGCAAACCTTGGAGGAGAACAAGTTTATCTGTTTGATGTAAACAACAGGCAGAAGCCCAGACTCTACAATGTTGGCGACTACCAGGCTCCAAGCTCCAATGGGTATTGTACAAATGGTGTTTGTAAAGGTATGTTATTTTATTTCTGATTTTTTTAAATGTATTTATTTACAAAGCATATTAAGGAGAAAATTTAAGACAGAATCTTCTACCTTGTTTAATGGCAATTTTTTTTAGTGCATCTTCATATGTAGATTTTGAGGAGGCTCCAAGTTTATTTTTTCTTGACAATTTTCCTCATGAAAGTTGGTTTCCAAATTAATCCATGAACACCTACCATTGATGTAGTTGCTGGAGCTTCATTGACTGAGTGGGGTAGTGGTATTTGTCCAAAGGGTCATTTCCCAAGGATATGCTGTACTACCTGGTAGGATTATTCCTTGAAATGTGATATGCACTATACAAAAACCGAATATTATTATTATTATTAGGTGGGTATCCGTCCAGAAAACAGTTCTCCTAGAATCTAGTGTCATGAAATTTCAGAAGAGTTTTTTTAGATAAATTGCGTAATCAAGACTTCACCGAAGCAATTTCCATGAACATGTGGCAGATAGATTAATGTCTCACCCATGATATCAGTTCTGTGACAGGCATTTGATGACTATCGATATACAATGGCTTAAAATTATTATTGTCTTCATGTCAATTTTTAAATTGAACAGAAGTCCAGCAACACATAGGTGAAGCATTATCGTCTAACGGATCATCTGTAGATCCAGCTGCTAACGGAATAAATGGTCTCTTCCAGCCAACCAACGGCATGAAGAAGGAGGATTCAGCTGCGAGGGCGGGCTACTCGCATCACAGCGAGAGGCATCAATCTAGGTCACATGCCGCCCCAAGCCGGAGAAAAGGGTGAGGGATAGTGAAGGGAAATAGGATGATGTAACTGATGGAGATGATGATGATGGTCATAATGATACTGATGAGGATGTTGGTGTCGAGGATGATGAGAATAGTGGTGATGATGGTAATAATGATGATGATGATGATGATGATGGTGGTGATGGTGAGATGTTGGTTGTGATGATAATGGTGATGGCAATGATGATGATGATGATAATAATGATACTGATGAGGATGTTGGTGTTAATTGCCGTTGTGTTGTTGATAAAAATGACAGTGTACCATGCATATTCCATAAAAAAAGAACAGGATATAAGGGAGGAAGATGATGATTATGATTCATGATGCTTGCTGTATATTTAACGTGTACTGTACTTATGACATTGCACCTCACCAAGGCTTTTATTGGTGCCATCTTTAGTAAATGCAGTTCAGATCATTTCACCACCCCCATAACATATTAAACCCTCCAATTTTTGTACTCTTTCCTCCTCTTTCCCCCTTTCAGCTCAACCAAAGAACTCCCTCCTAAGATCGAAGCATGGAAGCATGAAGCAAACAAGTTCTACTGTGACAAGAAGGATTATACCTCGGCCATCCGTCTCTACAATCAGGCCATCAGCATGTGTTCTGACCACGCTATACTCTTCGGCAACAGAGCAGCAGCTTACATGAAAAGGGGATGGTAAAGCAGAATTGATTGATTATAGAAGAAAAAAAAATGTTGTTGCATGCAGCGAAGGCCTCCAAGCATACTCATGTATCTGTCTGTATTGAAGTATATTATGCTAATTTTGCTGTTTTGTTTGTTTGATTGTTTTTTGAGGTGCCTTTTGATGTTTATGATATATCTAAATGACACCTAAGGCGGTCAAGTTATATGCATTAATTTTTAGATACACTTTGTGTATTTGTTGTAGGTAAGTATGCATCTCGTGCTCTGTAACAAATGGACCAAGATTAGAAAATGCATTATTGATAATTTTTGTGTGAAAAGTTACCTGATTAGCCTGATGAAATTGAAGCCTAGGCACCAAGCATCGCAAGGCCCACATCTGTCCCGCCCGCTGCCTGCTCTGTCTCCTTTGTATACCAATTCAATATTTGATTAGTGTTTTTAAAACCACCTTTGTACACAGCTCTCTGTGACTACATAGATGCCAATCATTGCAAGGCCCACTTCCCTCTAGCCCACTGCCTACTTTAACTCATTTATATGTATTTACCTGTCTACACCGATTTTTCTTCTAGCCCTGCTGCCTGCTCTGTCTCCCGTAAATATACCAAATGAATATTTGATCAATGTTTTTAAAACCATCTTCGTATGCAGGGATGGGGACATTTACGCAGCTCTCCGTGATTGCCACAGTGCCTTGAGGCTAGACCCCAAGCATCGCAAGGCCCACTTCCGTCTGGCTCGCTGCCTGCTTCAGTTAACCTGGTCCAGCGAGGCCCATCAGTGCCTGCAGTCGTTCAAGACCAAGTTCCCGGAGTACGCCAAGTATTCCGAGTGCCAGGCCCTGGAGAGGGACATCACGTCTGCCGTCTTCTCAAGTTCAGACAAACGGACTAACGGTAAGATAGGATGCGGCCGTCATTGTTGGTCAAACAGTTTTTGAGCGTCAAGTAACGCCTGGCTGGAATGCTCCCCAGGGAGTGGAGTTTGTGCACACAGTGTCTGCGGGCAAGCACTGAATCCAATGACCGGGGTAATAGTATATTTGTAAAGTGCTTAGAGACATTTGTTATTATAATATATTATTTGCTATTATAAACTAAATATTATTATTTAAGATAAGATGGGACTGTTCCCCACATCCTCGGCCAATCCGCTGTTAACATTTGAACATGAAGCTCTGTGAGCATTCAATTTCGTAAGCTGCTCCCTGCGTCAGGGTAGTCATGCACATCCAATATAAACTAACCCTAAACAGCCTCATTTATGTAGAATAATAACCTTAAGTTTGACTAACTGTAACAGACATATTTACTCTTATCCCATATAAGTACATAATCATACAATATTGTTATGAGATAATATACAGTTAAAAAATTTCTGACAAATAGTCAAACTGTTTTCAATACTGCAAATGCAATTAAATGTGAACCCATTTGGTATACATATAGCTTATCATTTGGAAGGCATTGTATAAGGCATTAAATATTGTTCACCAAGTTTATCACCTTTAATGCTTTCCTCAAATTCCAAATTCCCATTTTGCAGAAGCCCCCAGTGATCAGGAGTGGCCAGACTCTCCGCCGGGCGGTTCAAAGTCGTCCAGTAGTGAGGCAGTAGGGCCGAAGGAGAATGAACTTAGAAACGATGCGTACGACTACACGGAGCGATACTGTGGGCACTGCAATACAACCACAGATATCAAGGAAGCCAACTTCTTTGGAAGGTAAATAATAACGATAATAATAATAGGCATATTTATATAGCGCCGTCTATCTAGACAGTTCTATTCCAAGGCGCACAAGAAAAATAGAAAGAATGAGAGAGTTTGGATGAGTGTCATAGGTATTGTTAAAAAAGATGAGATTTCAGCTTGGATTTAAAGGTCTCTAAGGAAGTTATGATTCTCAAATTAAATGGTAAATTATTTCAAAGAGAAGGTGCTGCAGCTGAAAAAGCCCTTTCACCACAGGCTACTGGCGTCTTGGGGATATTAAGAAGATGCTGGTGTGATGATCTTAGACTACGAGCTGGTGTGTAAGGATTAACAAGGTTTTGTAAATAGTTTGGTGCCAATCCATTTACAGCCTTCCACCTTAAGTCTTATTATCTTTTCCCATGTTCTCCCCATACCCTCTTTACAATCTGTGAAATTCCACTCGGTTCCCACTATATCCTTTTTCGACATATTCGCCTCTCTTTTGAATTAAGGAGATCATTTATTTAGTATATGTCTTGAAATATGAAACATTATAGTCTTTACATTTTTAGTATGTACTTTCAGTACTGGTATGTTAATTTAAGTCTGATAAAATTTCCTCTTGAGATGAAAGTATGCATAATTGTCAAAAGAGTTTTACATGAACAATCATGTTTGTTCTAATGTGTTGAAAGAGAGGTTTGCCTGCTTTGGTTTCTTAGTTTGTTAGGCAATCAAACCCTGGAAAACATATTTGATAGAATTGTCTACATGGACATGTGCCCCTTAACCCGTTGCCTACTAGAACAGGGTGGCTTCTGTATTAATCCTACAGGAAATATAACAATTTTAGCAGTCAATATGTTAATACCGTCGGACCTGTTTAATTGCAACCATGGGTGCAGGAAGACTACCTGTCTATTTCTATTTTTCCTGGTCTTGACCAGGGTTTGTTCATGGTAACATGTTAGGAACCTGTACATAAAGACCACCTGCATTATTGCATATAAAGATTACCTTTCATGTCTCTCTCTCTCTAGTGGTCTCTATAATTATACAGGTTTTACTTTATATCTTACTTCAATATAGCTATGTAAACTGATCATACATGTAGATGGTAATTTAAATGATCAGTAGCCAATAAGAGACCCAATCATATCCCTATTCAGTAATGGCCAATACATCATGGCCGGTTCTGACGACGGCTCATTCTTCATCTGGGATCGGAAGACCACCAACATTGCTCGCGTTCTGAGAGGGGACGATTCCATTGTCAACTGCCTTCAACCCCATCCATCCTCTTGTCTCCTAGCAACCAGTGGCATTGACCCTGTCGTCAGGTTATGGAGCCCTCGACCTCAGGTTAGTTTGCAAAAAAAGAAGCTGTTTTTGTATTTTAACAGAATGCATTAGTTATGTGGGGAGCTGCTACTTGTAGAGCACTGTCAAAAATACAATTCATGCTGTTATGATGATGATGCTGAAGATGATGCTGAAGATGATGATAACGTTAATGATGATGGTGATGATAATGATTATCATTGTGATGATGATGATGATGCTGACGAAAGTGATGATGGGAAAATTAAATTTCAAGGTTGTGAGGCTCAAAGCAATTAGACAGAGATGATGGATATCTACAATTTTATTTTGGTAGCAAGAATCTGAGCCCCAAATATATGAGAGAAAGTGAATGAATGTACGTTGTACATTGTTACATGCTTGATACATACTGTACATGGTTGTAAAGCCAATGCCTAAGGTCACGAGGATAAAGGAATTCATGGTAATATGCTTAGCATTGTGAGTGTCTGTTAATTGGTGCCTGGCTGGAATGATCCCCAGGGAGTGGAGAAGGTCTCTATCTATCTATCTTCTCCTGGTTCGGAGGTTGATTGCAACATCTCTCCATTTCACTCTTCTGCCATTCTGGTAAACTCTTGCAGTTTAAGTCCACTCCAGTTCTTGACATTCTCTTCCCAGTTGATTCTGGGTCTCCCTCTTGGTCTAGTTCCTTCCACTCTTCCCTCCAACACATCCTTTAAGAGGCTTTGGTGCCTTTTAATATGACCAAAGTATTTGACTTTTCTCTCCTGAACTAATCCTGCCAGTGCAATTTGTTTACGCCCTGCAATATCTCTTGGTTGGTTTTCATTTGTTTCCAGGATATTTTCATACTTCTTCTGTAAATCCACATTTCAGTGGAGAAGGTGAAAAGGTGACATAATATACTTGAATGCAACAAGTCATTGTTGTTCTCTATGCTTCTATATACCATCTCCAGGACGGCAGCAGCAACGACCGCTGCATCACAGAGCCCGACACGGCAGCAACAGCCAACCAGAGGCGGATGAAAGCCGACCCCCTGGAGGTAATGCTGATGAACATGGGTTACCGCATCACAGGAATCTCCACAGATGGCTCGGACGATGAACCTGATGCCCCCATGCCATGTAGACCTAGCTAGTGGTCCAGGGGACACGGTGTCCAAGTGTTCTTGTCGTGATGTCCAAACATGTTGGAAGACGCTCATTTAAAGTGCACAACACCCGACAGTATTTCATGCACACCTAACAGGACTTGATTTCAAACTGTTCAACCTGAAGTCATATCCAAAAAATGCTTGGATGAATGCCCTCTGACTTTACATGGTGTACATATATTTCACACGCGTGCGATGCTTATGTTCCATGTAGTCCTAGTGAGTATTCAGAGGGACATGGTTTCCAGCTGTTCAACATGTAGCAACTTCCAAGAAAGTTTAAAGACACTTCTTGCATGAAGTGCACAACAACCCTGACAGTATTCTATGCACACCTGGTGGGCATTTCACAGAACTTGCCATCAGTGACAAATGACAGTTTATGTTATAAGCTACTGAAATCCTTGCTTCTGATTGGTTATCAGCAGATTTGTCACCGATTTTGGTCATTTGTCATTGAAAAAAGCTTTGAGAAACGGGTCCCAGATGACCCTCTGCCATGTAGGTCTGAGTTATTAGTCCAGAGGACATGGCCTTTGAGGGTTCCTGTTGTGATCTTCGAAAATGCTTGACGAAACTCAAAATGTTCCTGACAGTATTCTGTGCTCACCTGGTACTGATATGTGATCTTGGCCTGGCAATATTCTTGGCGACACGGTTCCAAACGGTTCATCCAGTAGCAATGTCCAAAAAGTTTAAAGACATGTACTCACCTTTAAACGCACCATGCAGGCCTACATGTACTTGTACACTGTAGCTAGTAAGTTCAGGGGATAGTGTCCCTGTATTTTATTAGTGATTTACAAAAATTCTCCCTCGTCTCCAGTGCACAATGCCCCCGACAGTATTTTATGGACACCTGGGCCGGTATTCAATTTAATACTTAAGTACAAAATGTAAGCTTTATACTTAGTATTCGGCTTAGATAAAATACTTAGCCAATTTGGGTATTTAATTCACATTTTTGGCTAAGTATTTAACTCTAAACCTAAGCCAATTCCATACCAGACTTAAGTCAATTATTTGGAGGCCTTGATTGGCAGGCATATGGTTTTCTTACGCAGTATTATAACCTGCGCACAATTATATCAGCGCGCATTTATTGCAATGTATCAATTGCGCATTACTTTTGATTGACCGTGTGACGTCACAATGCTTATCACTAAGTATTTTACTTAGATTTTGTCTTATGTAAGTATAAGTCTAAAATGCGATTTGAATATGAGATAAGTAAATTACTTAACTTAGCCATTTACTTAGTAAATTTCTTACTTACTGGTATGCTAAGTATTGAATTGTAAATCGGCCCATGGCCCTGCCTCATTAACAGTTGCGATTAATCACAATTTTGCGATCGATATCAATCGCAACTTTGTACATAATAGAGAGGAAACTACAGAATTGCAATTAATTGGACTTGCGATTGATCCAGATCAATCGCAACTCTTTATAAGGCGGGGCCCTGATGTTCATATGGCATGTAGGTCAAGGACAAGGTGTCCATGGTGTTCCTGTTGTTCTGTTCCTAAAAGCGCTTGAAGACACTCCAATGGCTAGTGGGACCTAGGCTTAGCGAGTGTTCTAGTGAACGTGGTTTTAAACTGATTGACCTGTAGGGATGTCCAAAAAATACTTGTAGACATGCATGGAGATTTAATTTGATTTGCATAACACCAGTGAAAATATTGATATTTGAACCCATCAATGAAGCTGCCTGTGAATACATTACAATTGCTCCGCGAGATAGTCATGATTAAAAATATATTGCAAAATCATGTTTAACCCGTGTTTCAGAGTGCATTTATGATTATTTCATTTATAATGCACATCCATTAAGTTTTTGATAATAACTCTATTTGGAGCTGAAATATGAAGTATTCTCTTATTTGTGTTTAGATAATTATATTTTAGATCAGTTAGTCTATATATGGACATGAGTTTTATTATGTTATTCATTGTGTGAATTTCTTTTTTCACCAGTATCTCATAAAATAGTTTTGCAAAGTATTATTTATTTTACATGAAACAATTATTGCTTGTACAGAGGTATGAACCCTGTGTGCTTACTTGCATGGTACTGGGATTGAAAATCTTGTTGACAAAACTACCCTCAAATGGCCAGCCCTGGACAACGTCTACACCTCTCCAAGACCACGGTCAGCTTTCCCCTTTGGTCACTACCTCCTTTAAAGACCGTCAATACTACTGGGCCAGAGGGGATTAGACCACACAGCAAGGTCACTGACAGGTGGCTATCGCATTAACTCAGCTCTCAACTAACATGAGAAAAAGAGGATCATGGGGGACCAACAGGCACCAATTGGAGAAGTTTTCTATATAGAGGGAGCAAGTAGCTACAAGTAGGACAGTGGGGCTTTAATAGGATGAGTAATGAGGGGTTAAAGGAATAATCATGGATTGATGATTAAAAAAAAAAGTTTTTGTAAGAAAAGTTTGTAGCCTTGACAGAGTTGATATCAAATGTTACTTATTTGCGATTGATATCAATCGCATCTACATAAGAGATACATAAGGAGACTACAAACTTGTAATTGATTTGGATCAATCGTAAGTCTTTGTATTAAAGACGGGGGCCCTGATGACAGAAAAGCCTTTGTTTGTTACGTGTGGCAACCCCACCCCTTAGTGAATTATGGATCTGTCATTGTACCATGTTAAATACTACAATTCACCGAGGTTGTAGTAGTTAACCCCATTTACTTCCTTCTAGGGTTCTAGGGAGGGACCTGTAATTGTCTGGGGAGCAAAATATATATACCTCAGTGAGATAGTTGTCCAAAGGGGATATAAGGGTCGTCATGGGTGAAATAACATACATGTAGCTATTGGAGAATTATTCACAAGGACAACTAACCCCATACTTTATGCATTAAAATGTACATGTATTTCATAGAGCAATTATCCTTTATTCATATCCTTGCTAGGGAGCTACTTGCGCATTTAGTTCTCTAAAGCTTGTTCAGATACGGCACGTTAAACCGCCACAAAAATCAACCATGTTGTTGTTTTTATGTGGTAATGGTAATTATTGCGCACAACAAAGGACTTGCACATATCCAATGAGCTCTGTGATGTAAGATACAGAAGTATGAAGCTTATCATGTCATTAAAAAATGGCCATGGTTTAGCTGCGTCGTATCTGAACGGGTCTTTTGGCTTAATAATAGTGGATAATCATTAGGAGGATGGGTGATGTAACTATCCATCGATTATCTGTCGAGGAATCCCATCTTTTGAAGAGCTGATATACTAAAAAAGGTGACAGTGTTTTGCAGAAAGCTGTTTACCGGTACTTTAAATTTCCCAATAAAATTCTTGTGGAAATCATTTTGAATGAGCATGCAAAGTCATTAAAAAAAAGATTGGCATTACTCATTTGATGTACATGTGCGACAGTGGTATTAAAACACTCAAGACCAAAGTCTTACAACGTTCCTTATATTTACAGTTGTGAGAAATTGATTTGTCCCAATTTATATTTCTTGAGAATGTGACATATTAAAGCTTACATCCAACAGTATTCAACAAAGGCATTAATTCAACCAGTCCACCTTACATTCTTGAGTTATGAAAAATGCAATAAAACATGAAATTTCCAAAGGTATGATTAATTTAGTTGTTTACTGTACATGACATGAATTCATGAAAAGTTGAACATATCTTGTACATGTATAATTGACAAAACACTGACACCCCCTGGGCCTTTGACAAAAAACTAATTTTACTCTCAGAAAATTGTATGAACAGTTATACAGTATTGATCCGTTTTACTAAAAACGGTGAAACAAAAGTGTATTTCATGTAGTCTCGGCTATGTCGTGAAAAGAAAAAGCAAGTATAGTATTTTTACGGCTTACATCATGGCGTTGATTTTTTCAAAAGTTGCAATATGTGTATGCTTGTTCAGATAGGACGCGGCAAAACCGCTGAATTAAAGAAAAAAATGATGACATAAAGTTGAATATGTTGCACGTTTTACTATCTTTGAACTCTGGGCTCCTTGAAAACGTGCAAGTTCTTCGTTGCACAGTTATTATTTCTTTACACGTTTAAAAAAATGTGACAGATTTTTTTAGGGGTTGTTTACAGAGTCATATTTGGAGAAGCCTTTAGGAAGCAAAACTCATTGTATGCTAGGTTTTTGCTTCAGTCGCACGCTAAATGATATTTTGATTTGTCCATATCATTGCTTTTACTTTTTTTTATTAATTTTCTTGACCATGATTTTGATCTATATTGCATGAAGTAATTCCCATGTAAATACAAAAGACATTTTATATAGAGTTTTGTAAATACACCCACAAATGTACAATACATATGTTCTTATGAACTAGGTGATACCGATTTTGTTTGTTTTGTCACCGACTTTTGCATTACATATATATGAGAGGGGTGAATAAATATTGATAAAAGATTATTGGGGAAATGCATTCCCCAGCACACAGAAGAGTGGTAGATCTCTTTTTGATTTTTTTAATTGTTTTCATATTTGTCTAGAGTGTCTGATATTGTAACTGTCTGGAGCTAGAAGGCATTAACTCTGTGTATAATAATGACTTAATGAACTTCTGGCTCTGACAGGTGAACCGACTGCTCACTTGATGATGGTGCCTCATATCCTGTGAGACCTTGGGCTCTATTACAAATGATTATGAACAAAATTAAGTCTCATTCATGTAAAGGAGGATGAATTGAGAATGAGAGAGTTTGTGCTTGTATGTGAGAGAGAGAGAGAGAGAGAGAGAGAGTGCGTGTGTGTGTGTGTGTGTGAGAAAGATATAGAAAGAGAGAGAGAGAGAGCGAGAGAGAGTGTGTGTGTGTGTGTGTGAGAAAGATATAGAAAGAGAGAGCGAGTGGGTGTGTGTGTGTGTGTGTGAGAAAGATATAGAAAGAGAGAGAGAGAGAGAGCGAGAGAGAGTGTGTGTGTGTGTGTGTGTGTGAGAAAGATATAGAAAAAGAGAGAGAGAGAGAGCGAGAGAGAAATAATAAAAAATAAAGAGAGATGTCACCCTTTTTCAATTCGTCCAACTATAATATATTATTTCTCGAGCAACATCATATTTCAATTTTCCTCATGGTTGGAGAGAGGGAGAGGGAAAATGAAAGGTGAGGTGGAGAGAGAAAAGAGAGGGGGAGAGAGAGGGAGTGAGAAGGGGGTACATGTTGCTAAAGTCATTCTCATATTCAACTTGAAATGGCAATTTTTCCTTCATCCCTTTCACCCTTCTCAACGTAGAGATAAGAAAAAAATATTACAACACAAACATTCAAGTCCTCTTTCTTTCTATATTTAATCAATCTCCATGTTTACAACCATAGGTTTGCAAGGATTTAAGTCTCTATACCCTTTAAAAGATCTTTTCTATTTCTAACAATTTACCAATAATCAATTGCTTATAGTGTGCAACTGCAAGGCAGTCACCAAAATTATAAAATACTTTTTAACTGTAATTTTTACTACAAGGTTCTCTTACAGTATTTATTAACTAAAGACTCTTTCCCCAACACAGTTGACAGTGAACTCATTTGTACTTACTGTTTTCATCAGATTGGATAACTGTAACACTTTAATGTACACAAACCTAGTACAGAATCTTCAGTTATATGTATATGTATAATGCTCAAAATGTTTGAGCCAAGGCAATGAAGAATCCAATTGCATTTCATGTGCGCACTTGTCTACACTAATAATACAACTGCAATTCTTTTTGTATCAATAAGTCAGATTAGTAATGATAAAATAAAGAATCAAGATACCTTATGATTGAGAAAACAAAAAGCAGATTATGAAAATATTGTGATATTCTACTTGAGTATTTTGAACCACATTATTTCAGAGTGATTAAGATTGATATCTAATATCAATTTAAAAGATTTTTGAAATCCTACATTATTCACGTACCCTAGCTTGCATGACCTCATGCCATTAAACAATTTACATATTTCTGTGTAAATAATAATAATAATAATAGGCATTTGTATAGTGCCGTCTATCTAGAAATTCTATACAGTGCATGTTACTTTTAGCAAGACTGTATGGGCCTATTTCTTATCATTTTGACGATTCCAAAAACTCACAGTATCGCCAATACTGATCTGCTACAAGTTCAACCTTTTCCAATCACTTCCAGTTTCTTTTATAAATGAAATTGCATGACTAGAACTCAATCTTATCCTTAGATCATCTAAAGTTATCAATAATATATAACTAAATATGTAACTACATAAATAACTAAATACCTAAATAAATACACAAAATTAAAATATTTTTATGGCAAATCATTAATCCATATCATAATTTGAATAAATATACATGAAATAAAAGAATACATGCCTCATGATGTAATTTATATCAATACACTTAAATACCTGAATAAACATTGCACATGATTCATGTTAAAGGTGATTAAGAAAATGAATTGCACGTATAATAAATTATAAAACCATCATAATCGTGATGATCAAATGTGATTATCTCAGTGGAATGATCAATATTATTAAAGCAGGAGAGCATTTTTTTTGGCAATGAGAACTGAATCCTGGAATACATACATGTAGTAAGTAGTAGGAATTAATAGTGTTTGAATGAATTTTTTTCATAAATATTATATGCAATTTTTTCCTTCTTCAGTTACAGAAATGTAAAAGAATGTTGGAGGAAATAAATCATTGTAAGTAGGTATTTGAGGGAAATTTCTTGTGGCCGTAAACCCAACTCAAAATTGACCCTTATGTTTTCTTATTGCAAAGATATCAAGAAACCGAGTTGACAGCCATATTGAATTCTGATTTACTTAAATAAAATTAATATAATTGGCAAAATAACCTCAAAGGCCTCATAACCCACATGAACCAAACTTTTATGGTGTAGTTTGAACAAACTTAATAGTAACACGTTTCTCCTTGAAATTTATTCACTACCCTCTATGTGCACGTACATTAGCCACAAAGATCGAAGACATGTAGTTTATAGTACATGTACTTTTATTTATATCTATACCAGAAGAATGTACATTATTTCAAAATAATGTAATCAAGGTTAGATTTGATTTGATTTATTGGTATCTGCATCTTTTTTTTTCTTTCTTTTTCATCAGACATTTTCATGAACATAATATGGTTTGATACAATATTTCAAGTGTACATAATTTTATACAGATAATATCCAAGATGTCAATGAAAATATTAGCTGTCAATACATGCACATGCCGTTATGTAAATAAATGTATTCAAAGCGTTGATTTGGGTATAATTATGAAAACAATCAAGATGATTCCTGGCCAATAATTTCTGTAGAAACCATGTGTAGGCAAATATGTATAATGTTAGGTGTTAGTTACAATAGTCTATACTCAGAAATAATTAGAAATATTTCCACCATAGTGTGATAGTAAACCTTTCTTTTTTTAAATGGAAGTTCAAAGGGAAGGCTTATTCCTCATATCTACCCAAAAAGGATTATCTAATACACAAATAAGTTTCATTAAATCACAACTTATACATCCTTTAATTATGCTAATCTAATCTAAAACTAAAGCTGTTCAAGAATCAAGCATATACAAAGTAATGTCATAAAATCAAATATAATCAAATCAAATTCATGCACATTGTAGCGTGTAAATTTGTGGAATTTTCTAACTCTAAATGCAAACATAGATCCGTTTCTTTTACAGTTCAAACAATTCTTGTTTTAAAGATATAGACATGCCTTTTATCTAACAAATTTGACTACCTTTCCCCTGCTCTAAAATGATGTTAAGTCTATGTGTAATGTAATATATCAGCCTCTTACTAGTAGCAAAATAAAACAACTGAAAATAAATTAAAATCTATCAAATGAGAATTAGAATACTGCACATCTACACTTGTGCCCTTTTCAATAAACAACTTGCTTAAATCTTAAATCTGAGTAAATTCAATGACAACAAATTTTTCAAAGTAAGCGATATAAGCTGCCTTAATTTGGGATACATTAATGAATTGTCTGATAGCTGTTTTGTTAATAACTGCACTCATTATTAAAATGATTGGCCTGATTTTCTGTTTCATGAATTCTTATGGAATGTATCATTATATTGCACAGCAGAATCAAAATACTGTTTCTTTTTTCAAGGTTTTTCTAAGAATGATGCACAGGATAGTATAGTAAAATAAAACAGATCACTGTATTCAATCCTCCACAAAACCAAATACAGTTTGAATAATAAATGTACATTGATGATCATGAGACAATTTGCCTGCTCCACTTATTTTTTTCTTCGCTATAATCTTCTCAGATCTTCTTAAACTTTACTTTAAAAGATCTACTTAATATATTTTCAATAATATAATATAGCACAATATAAATAAACAGCATAAGAAATAAGATTGAAGTAATGTCAAGATGAAAGAGGCAAAATCTCTATTAACCAATACGGTAGTAATCTACACACATAAACAAAACAAATAAATAACCTTAAGAAAAAGTAAGCAATTCTTTAATAACCTTAAGAAAAAGTAAGTACAGAGCTATTCAGAACAACAAATCTACATAGTCATCAGTCAATGAAAACTACTTGTTTCATAATTAACTGTTAAAGTATAGTGTACATTTGAAAAATCTGCAAGTGGAACATGGAAATCAGACGATTCCATGAATGCGTGCGACCCTGTCCATGAACTCCATGACCCCTTGCCTGACCTGATCGTTGGTCACATGACATACGAGCTGGTTGATGCAAGGGAAGATGGCCGGGAGGAAGGCGCTGAACTGTTCGTCCGGTAGGAGCTGTAGGAGCTTCAGCATGGTGCCCAGCATGTTGCCCCACGTCTGCATCTGTGCCTCTCCGTCCTGCAGGATGGACGACTTCTGTTCCTCCTGGATCTGCTTGCGGCGTTGGCGCTCCACCGGCGTCAGCTTCGCAGCTGCTTCCTTGGCCTTGATGCGGCCGTACATCTGCTCCTTAAAGGTGGGCTTCTTGACGAAGACGGAGCGGGAGTGGTGGAGCTTGCGCTTCTTGTACTCCTGCATGAGACTCTTGATGGCCTTCTTGGTTGCTACAGTGTAGATCTGCCCTTCCTCTTCCCCACTGCTTCCTTGTTGTAACATCTTCTTGCGCTGCTCGATCACATTGACCTCATGCTCCCTGACATCGCCATTGACCTCCGACCCATACTTGACATTAGGAGTCCAATGGGAGGCAAATTTGAAACCTTTGGCTCTTGGAAGACTGCTTCGGTGTTGCCTGCTCTGTTTTGTTTCGCCATTGGCTTCCCTTTCCTTCTCATCATCCTTGTCATCATCCTCGTCATCATCAATGTCTCCATCAGACAGAGGATCATCCTCAAGTTCAAAGGTGAACATCCTGTCCCGGCTTTCTTTAGGTGACGTAGTGGGTGCCACTAAGAAAAAGAGAGCCATGTCTGAGGACAGAGGGGCCTCGTTCGTACCACAATTTGGGGTAACATGCAGCTGAATGAAGGAGGCACAGACATCGTTACAGATACCATGAAGCCGCTTAATCAGCCAATCGAGATCCCCCATGGAGGTAGGGTGAAAGGTCAAGTCACATTTCAGGTGCAAATTGTCCACGCTGCTGACACTGCTGACACTACCCCTACTCTGCAAGGTACCCGATCGCTGACGAGAGTTATCTCCATTAGGAGAGGCGGTGCTCGATGTCGTCTCTTCTGCTGGACCCATGTCCCCTTCTCCAAACTTTGTGACCTGCTCAGGACTACCCTCATGCCTGCACAGCGCCCGTATGATCCCCTTGATGTGGGCCGCCTCCATTTTATTGCGAGGGGTGTGGTGGCAGAGCTCCAGGAGGGTGTGGAGGTAGAAGGTGAAGCTCATGGCACCCTGCCAGTAGAGGTTGGCCGCCACCTCAAACCTGGCCACCTTCTGCAGGAGAAACTTCAACCCTGGCCTGCTGTTGAACTCGCAGGCAATCTGGTAGGACTGAACAAAGCACTCTAGGAGGAGAGAGAGGTTCCGGGGCGAGAGGTACGCCAGGAGGCCCGGTAGTGAAGAGTCGAATGGGGGAACCTTACTGGAGTTGGTGGTGGTAGTAGGTGAGTTGGGGCCATCCGCTCCATCATGGGGGCTCAGCTTTGACGGCAGGCTAGTGGTGGAGATGGCGGTGTGCTCACCAGAGACTTGAATCTCAGACCCATGGAGGAGGATGGTACCTAGCGTCTGAACTAAAAGCTGGTGAGCCAACAGACCGAGGACTATACCACGGAAAGACACCCTGAGAAGAAAACAAAGTTAGATCATGTTATTTAACATTCAAAAATATTCTAACCCCATTAAAGAGTAACACAAACACATACAAAATACTAAATAAAGCTCTGAATCCAATTGTTATCAAGGTTCAACTTCCACAGGATGCACAAAAACATTGATAAATTTCCTCCTACAGAATACGCATTTACTTGTCAATTAATGATTTTACTCAATACATATAGTATAAGTTAAGAAAGAATATGGGATAGTACCTAGGTCTGTGAGTCCTATTCCAGAGATACTAGAGACACAATCATTTAAAATACTTTGTATTTCTAATAAAATCATAAAAAATGAACATGATTATACATTAAAAAATGGTAGCTTCTTATTCCATAGGGAATCATGAGAACTTCATATTGTACCTGGATTTAATTTGATCAATATTGGTGGTGAGGTCCGTATCAGGAGGATAGATGATAAAGATGAATGACCTCGGGTCATCCTGAGGGGTCATCTCCATGGAAAGAGGTCGCTGGGAATCCAATTGGAATACCTACATGTAATGGAGAAAATCATTGGTGATATTCACAGCACAATCTGTAAGTGAGACGTTTTCAGTCGCAAAACTTTGATGTTTTACTTAAATCAATAAATTCTTAGTCTTACAGACAACAGGAGGTTATGATTTAGGAAAATTGAATAAAAGGTCAAGCAAAGTATTTGCTAACTACTCTATAACAAACAACAATGCTCTGTGACTTCTATATCATTCATTTTTATTGCTAGCAGAGTATCAATACTCAATGAACAGGTTCCTGTACATTTTGACTTTTCCAGACCTATGTAGCAGAGGCAGGATCAAAAGGGCACCCTGTCTTGCATGTACACATAAATACACTTTACACCTGAAGAATTCATACCCCTTGTGAATTTCATGTTTTGTTTGTATTTCATAACTCAAGAATGAAAGTCATAACTCAAGAATGAAAGGTGGATGGTTGAATTAGGGCCTTTGTTGGATACTTTTAGATATAAGCTTTAATATGTCACATTATCAAAAAAAATTGGGACAAATTAGTTTGTCACATAATTGAAAAATTACAAACCTTGCTATAGGTATGAATAATTTACTTTTTAACTGACAGTATATATAATCAGGTCTCATATATGATGGTTTCACCTGTTGTGCAAGTTGTTGCAGCCTGAGGTATTCCATATCCGTCACATCCTTGCGAGCGGCGACCTTGACAGGGCAGACATCGCCCATGAAGTCGTCTGAACCGGGCTGGAAGCAGGACATCAGTTGTCTGATGCTGCGGAGGCTGGTCGCCACAGCTCGCTGCATGCCATTGCAGGCCACCGTCCACATGTCATGGGTGAAACTAGGACCAGCACTCAGTAACAGATGTCTGCGATGATATTTTTTTGAATGAGAAAGATTCAAGAATATATACTATCGATCGATAATCAATTTGTATCACATGATTATGCATATTTCTTTTTCTACCAGGCAAATATCTCCTTTTTAATATACAGTTATCATTAAAAAAGCATAGAGAAATGAATCTGTAGCACATTCAATCTATATAAAAATTGTAGCAACCTTGTGATTCAATCTGGACTCAGACTCAGGAGATGCTATTATCATTAGTTTCAAATCTCTCAAGTGTGCTGCTCTTGGTTCAATGATTGAATATATCTTTGGAATCTGTAGCACATTTCAATCTATATAAAAATTGTAGCAACCTTGTGATTCAATCTGGACTCAGACTCAGGAGATGCTATTATCATTAGTTTCAAATCTCTCAAGTGTGCTGCTCTTGGTTCAATGATTGAATATATCTTTGGAATCTGTAGCACATTCAATCTATATAAAAATTGTAGCAACCTTGTGATTCAATCTGGACTCAGACTCAGGAGATGCTATTATCATTAGTTTCAAATCTCTCAAGTGTGCTGCTCTTGGTTCAATGATTGAATATATCTTTGGAGCAGCCTACCTGATGCAGGAGCATCCTAGCCTGGCCACTGATTCATTGGACTGCCCTATGCATTCCACCAGGATATCCAGCATCTGCTTCAGCATCAGGCAGCGGCCATTTACCGGTGGCAGTGGTGGGATATCCTCTGCCCCATCCGTGCTACCCGCCGACTGGGAGTTCCCCTGAGTAGCCGGCTGGGGGTTCCCCTGAGTAGCTGACGGGGAGTTCCCCTGAGTGTCCTCCTGGGTCAGGTGCTCCACCACAAGGTCGGTTGCCAGACCACATGCCTGCTTGAAGTTGGCGGTGGTGGCGTCCCAGGTGGAGTGGACGTGGCGGTTGCGACGGACCCAGGAGTGCATCATAGGCAGGAGGAGCTCGGTCACAGCGTAGACACCAAACATGGGGCCTGAGCCAGTGAGAAAATGGAGAATATGGATGAACTAAAATATCAAATAAATGAAACTAAAGCTCTCTAGAAATATATCTGTCGAATACAAAAAAGAATTGAGAAATGACGGGCACTGTCACTATCTAAAGATTCCAGTCAAAGAATAGTATTACGCAAAAGCAATATCAGTTCTTACCGAATCTGCTTTCTGTTACAAGAAGTTAAATGTCGAGAATGACTAAAAACCAGTAAGTTTGTGTTAGATTCATCATTGTTTATTACTATGTTGCCAATATCAGGGATGCCAGGTAGAATTTTTTAGAGGGCCTGAAAATCACCTAGAATGAGCTATTTTGTACACATAAAAGCCTAAACTATGGTCTGAAAATTACTCGCAAGGGCCTGAATTCAGGCTATTGCCTGAAAACTGGCATCCCTGCAATATGTGGTAAAAGTCAAATCACAGCAAATCAAATCAACACAACTAGTGCCTAACGATCTCCTTTTACCTGGATTGACTGCCATCACCCTCAAGAGTTCAAAGAGTAGCTCCAGAGTAGGAGGTTGGTATCGTCTAGGGCAGAGGGCCACCGCTCCTGTCAACCCCTCCAGCAGAAGGAACCACACCCGGATGATGCCTGTGTAGTCATCCACTGATTCCATGGCGATAGGTTGGAAGAGCGCATCATCTACACCGAGGGATGACAGCCCTCCGTTTCTAGGAGATGTTGGCGAGCTTGGGAGAGGAAAGGACCTAGACCAGGCAAGAGAAAACATGCTACTGTCAATCTATTTCTAGAGAAGTTGGTATAGGTTTCCTAATTGAAAGCTTCTTTACTTCCATCACTAATTTGAATTGCCTAGCACATCATATAAATGGTATCAGCCATGTTGTTGTTTTACCACATACTAAAACAGCAGCATGGAGTTGTGCCCAGTTTCATGCATCATCTTGATATCTTCTGGGGTTCCCTTGCTCAATTCTGTATTATAGAGAATATCAAGTTACCGACAATGGAAGGTGTTCCTTAATTGCTTGAGCGCCTTATCATGGAACTTGGCTAAAGCCTGAGTAACAATATGATTGCAGGGCCGTCAGGGAGAACAGTATTAATACTGATGAGGCTACCCTTGGTAAACAAGACATATTATTATTATTATTCTTATAATCATTATTATTATCATAGTGGACCACGTGTACAGATTGAGCAAGTTGGATTCAAATGAATGCCAATCCACGTTTAGTAGCTAACCTTTGAGGGGACAGTTCTCCTGCAGGGAAGCTCTCCCTGGCTACCAGCCTGATGGAATGCGCTCCCCTGAACATAGGGCAGGATGGCATCTGGTGAATGGAGGCAAGAATCTTGTGGCACCGGTGAAGGTAGTTGAGCGCTGGGAAGCAGAGGTCGAAGACACCGTAGGTCATTGGGGGTCGTTGCTGTGGGGATGAGGGCTTGGCCTGAGAGCCGCTACCGTCACCTTCTTCAGCCTCACTGCTGGTTTCTGATATACCAGCATTGTCTTGAGAAAAAAATTTATGATAACAAAATATGCAATTTAGTGGTAAAGGCAGGAGTGGAGTTATAATGGAACTACATGCTTAGATATTAAGGTTTCTTCAGAAAAAGCTTTTGAAAAATGTGTTTCTTTATTTCAATATTCATCTAAATGTTCTACTTTCAAGCAATACTAGTACTGATAACTCATTACATTCACATACTAGTCAAGGTAAGGTTCTCATCAGAAAATCATTATCCTTTGAATGCTTTTTGAACTATACCTCACCTCATGAAAATCTGGCTAAAACATTCCAATTCTGCACTTGTTACTAGCAATCATTAGTACAAATGAACAATCATGTTCCACAATTATTCTAATCCATGTCTGTGTACATCTGTGCAAAGTAAACTTTTTTTCATTCTTTGAATGTACAAGGTTTAATAAGTTTTCTTTTTATCACATTTCTAAAAATACCAGTGAACAAGTTGTTGACTTGAGATTCAAATATTTATATTGCATAAAAACGTCAGTCTCAACTCACTTCCACCCCTGACGAATTTCAGAAGACATAGTATGCAGTCAATGGCAGCATTCGCAAACACAGTCACGTTATCTGTGTTGAGGAAAGCTTCAAACACGTTGCACACCGGGGCCAATGGGTGTTCCGCCCTGTCCGGTGAGTCGTCCGATTCGTGATGCTGATGGGGTTGCATGCGCACCGCTCGCAGGGCTCCAAATAGAGGGCGCCAGCCAGACTTGATGTTTGAAAAGGATCCCTCGACAAGCTCACATATTGAAGAGACGACCTAACAGGGAGGAAACGATTATACCAGTGTTTTTTATTCATTTTTTATTATCATTTAAAAATTTTATCAATCAAGTAATTCGTACATGCATTATGATAACAATAATCATAACATCATTGCACAATAATTACAAACGGTAACAACAGATGAAAAACGTCAAACAATACAGAAATGATGGGTAACACTTCCTTTTCTACAGTGTACAGGTATATCATAGGATATACATGTATAATCAAAATAATTCTTCCACAGGGGACCATTTCTTATAGTGCATTCCTCCAATCGATTGTTCCAGTGTTACCGCACATGGAATTTACACCATCTGACGTGTATTGAAAATTAAAATAATGCAAAACCAATTAGCAGTATAATACATGATATTTCATTTAGAATTAAATAATAAACTGTTAACAATAATTTTTTTGCTGGAAAGATGACATTTCAAAGATTGTAAATGAAATTGCAAAAATCGGACAATTACTCTAAATGTTTTGGCCTGTTTTTGTATCACCCTGCATTTTCACAGTATGTAACGTCAGAAATTGTATGTTTGTTGCTTGGTGTATCTGACTTACAAGGTTACATGCCACATCTGCGTTTCATAAAGCTGTTTGTAAAGTTACACATGACTTTACGAATGACTTATATATGAAAAGCCAAATGGGATGCTCAATCATTTTTAACTGCATCAACTTAAGTTGAACTGTGCAGATATAGATTAACATTCTTATTATAACAATCATTTTTAATGCAAAGTATATTTTGTGCTATAATTTAATTGAGGTTATTGGAAATATAGTCACACTTTGTTAAAAATTTTGGAAAAACTTTGGGCATCCTCTCTGGCACGTCATATTCAAGTTGTTCGTAAATTCATGCGTAACTTTACGAACAGCTTTATGAAACACAAGCATTATTTATGATTCAGTACACCTGGTTGGAGAAAGGCAGATGTAGATTAACTGTGGCTATTACCTGATCTTGGACATCACTGTCACAGAGCTCCAGCCTCAGCAGACTCTCAAAGGGTTTGAGAAGAGCCTCATGGAAGTTGAAGTGGGGTAGCTCCTGGCTGGACATCATCACCTCCGTGAGGACATCGTGGATGATGTCGATGGCTCGCTTGGACACGTGACGGTCCTTGTGACAGGCAGACTATAGACGAGAGAATGTCATGGTAAACATGTACATTGTCTGGGTTTTTATAACCATTCACACGTTCTTTTAGCTTAAAGGGAACCAAAACCTTCATACTTAGTTACTTTTATTGTAAAGTTTAAGATATTTGAATAAAATCAGTGAAATTTGAACAAAGTTGGGCAAGGAATAAGGAAGTTGAAGCTTTTGGAAATGACTAGTCACTAGAGGGCGATATTCAATTTGATGACATTATTTTTGGACGACTCTCCATGCCTTTTGTACATCAAATTTCAAAATTCTTCTATTTTCTTCATATTTATTGGTATTCTTGATCCGGTTTCATAACATGTGAAGTAGAATATCATTTTGCATTCTATACCTTGCTTTCAGGGGAGTAGATTATCTCAATCACAAGAAAGAAGGAAAAACATGAAATTTGATGTACAAAAGTCATGGAGAGTTGTCCACAAGTGATTGACTGTATCGAAAGGTTCCTGTTGACCGTGCAACTTGGCTAATACGTGTGAATCACTAGTATTTGTATCACTGTCACCACAATGGCTATCAGCATTATCACAACTACCACCATCACCTCTATTTTAAAGGAGTTGTAGCATGACGAGACTATATGTCTTTCCCTTGGCCTGAATCAGGGCCAATCGAGTATAATACTACGGATGACGTGACCGCAGTATTCATGTGTGTGCAATATACACAAAACCAAAGCGTGAGGAGAACTTTGGTCTGTTTCGCGAATGCTAGGGCGCTGACCATCAATCAAGTCTTACATGCATTTGTCCAAAGGAAGTAGTAGATGTTGTCAACCGGTATTTGCCATGCTACACACCCTTTAACTACTGGTTAATCTTACCTCTATGAGATGAGGAGCGACGACACTCCAGGCCTTCATCATGTGGATCACGGGGCGACTGGGATGCCTCACGCACTTCAGGATCACATCCCCCAACCTGAACAGCAGCAGGGACGTCTCTGCCCTTCCCACCGTTGGGAGGGACTTACTGGGCGAGGTAGGGGTGATCATGCTGTGGTCGTCAGCTAGGGTATGACCGGCAGCATCCTCCCCCATGGGACCGACGCCCTTGGCAGATGAAGGTGACTGGGAGCAGCGGTACAGCTGGGCCTGGGAGGCAAGCCGTAGCTCGCGCAAGAAACCCAGAAGGGCGTGGAGGTTTAGACTGGATGCAGCATCATCAAATAATCTGAGGAATAGAGAGTATAAATTCAAGAAAAAAACTAAATAAATGACTATAAAAAGTGGGGAGGCGCGATTGCTTGGTGGTAGAGCAATGATGTCGTAACTGGAACATCTCGGATTCAAAACCAAGTCATTGTGCTCATACCCTTTGGCTAGGCACTAATCCTCATTACCAACTCCTGATATGCTTAGATTTACAGTTAATTGAAAAGATGCACTTTCAGTTTTGATTTCAAGATATTCACAGATGGTATTACTAGTGAAATCAAAGGAAATCTACTTTTAAAATGCGTCTTATGCAAAAATAAACTCAAGGGTAATAAATTTAGAATTCTTAGTCTCCAAATTGATTGTTGAAAAGTGAAATTATCAGACACCTATATGCAGTAGCATCATGTTCCCATTGCGTACCTGTCAACTCCAGCAGAGAGTCCACAGACCACCTTAGCAGCCTTGGCCACACTGAGGAGACCACCCTTGGCTGACCCAATCTCAAACCCCAACTCCTCCATCTCCTTCTTGATGAACTCTTGCACGACGATCCCCGACGACGATGGAGGCGGGGCTTGGGCGGCAGGGGGAGGGGCTACGGGGACGTGTCCCGACATGTAGGGGGGAATGAGGTCAAGCTCGTCCGCCATGGCCTCCTCCATCGGTTCCATGGGCCGGGTGGATTCTTTGACGTTGGGCATGGGGGTGACCGAGGGTTGGGCTTCGGTGCTGCTGAATTGCGTGTGTTCGAGTTGTGAGACAAAGGCACAGCACCTGTTGAAAAATCAATAAAGATGAAGATACATGCACACAACATCTCCATACATACAATGCACATGTATGTTGCAATACTTCTACACCTTGTGATTTATGTAGAGCGATAAATTGTACCCTACAATGAAATAACATACAGTTTATCCCAAAATATTGATTTGTTTTCTCCCTGTAGGTTATACAATATCCATCAACATTTAAACATTGTCTTTGAGGAAACAGTAAAAGCAACCACATCATACAGGTGATCTTTATGTAGAGGTGACTACTATTACCTATTTGAATGTCGCAGATAATGGTATAAAATTACGAATGCTATTTCCTTTTAGGGAGATGTGAGTTGGTCTAGCGGTAATGTTCATGGTATGGTCAGCTCTCTGTCTTCGCCAACAAACTGACTCAGACGGACCAGGTTAAAGGTCGGTCCCCAGACGAAAATAATGATATCTAATCTGTCTGTAAAAAACCAATTACACACACAGTTACCTGAAGACATGGCTCCAGCATTCTGCAGAATGGCTGCCCATCTCAAGGCCCATGGAGAGCAGTGCGTCCATGCTAAGGACATGGGCAGCATGCAGCCTCATCCCCTGCCCCTTGCCCAGCTTGCCCCTGAGGCTTGCCATCCTGGAGGACGTCTCCGCAGGATGGGTGTCAGGAGTGGGATTGTCGCTTGCGCAGGATGCCTCGCTCAGCTGGGCGAAGACAGCGGCACAACGAGTCTGGAGGCCTACAAGTGAGATCATTTGGAAACAAAAACTTAAATTTTACAAGGAGAAAAAAAAGGCATGATAATAGATTCAAAATTCTTCCAGGATCACAAGCAGAGTTTAAGTAGGATCTTTGGGGAACAAAAAACTTACATATTACGAGGAGCAAAAAGAGATGGTAATACATTTAAATTCTTCCAGGATTACAAGCAGGGTTTATTAAAGTAGGATCATTTAGGAACAAAATTTGGTTGGCGTCAGGAGTGGGATTATCACTGAGACAGGAAGCCTCTCTCAGCTGGCCAAGGACAGCTGCACAACGGGTCTGGAGGCCTACAGATAGGATCAATAAGGAATAAAAGTTAAAGGCAAGGTTGTGTCAAGAGAGGGATTAAGTGGATGGCGGTTGGTTTGCTCAGTTATGTAAAGGCCAGCTGCTCACCTGGTGAGCATATCATATGAATATATACCGGTACTTATATGCACGTACCTGCTTCTCTCCTTCTCTGATATGTCAAAATACTACATGTGCATATTATTGAATTCTTATTCCTTGGGGTGTTTCACAAAGATCCTAAGTCAAACTCATCTCTTAGTTGGACTTAAAAATTATGGAGAGTAGCCTTAAAATAGAATATATTCAAAAGCGAAAATTCAAATATTTTAGACTTTTTATAAATTCCACATCCAGAACATGAAATCTCCTTGGTAATAGAAAATATGAATGATTTGAATAATTTTATGCCTTTTAAAATAGCTTTTACAAAATATTTTGATAGATGCTAACAGCTTTCCATCATTGTCCAATTTAGAGATAAGTTCAACTTAGGATCTTTGTGAAACACCCCACAGGTCTTACCTAGTGTACAGCTGAGTTCTGCAGCCTTCCTGAGACCATCCAGACTGAGACAGATGGCGTCCCTGTCCCTGGAGTTCTGCTCCTTGCTGCTGCTCCCCTCACTGCCCAGCAGGAAGGCCAGACCGCCTACCTGGGTGTGCTTGGAGGAGAGCGGGATGGACAGGATGGACAGTATACGCCTCCAGAAGGTCGTCAGAAGCTCTCGTGCAAACACCTCACCTGCAAAAATATATAAGTGGGTAGAGGTTAATTGCAGGTGAAGTATAGTACAGGCAGCATAGATACAGAGCACAAAAATAGCAGGAGCCCAGGATGCAAGGGGGCCCCAAATTCAAAATTCAGGTCTCAATAAATTAAAATGTTAGCAGGGAGCTAAAGCATAGATTTTAAACCTTGACCCCAGTGAAAACAGCTACTGTGAACCTCTGTGTGATACATTAGGCACTTTGTTTATTTTTTTTACCTGACTGCTAATCAAGAAAGCGTGTGTAGGATTGTAATTATTAAAGCAACCAGGAGACTAATGTCTTTAAGAAAGACCTACATGTAATATTAGAATAGTGGTCTCCTGACTAGAGAGTCCTGGCATAGGAAACAAAGTTGGTTTTCTGGTGCCCTTCTGTAATTACCAAGTCCCCAGGGGGGGGGGGGAATTAAAGGCATAGGTGTGTTACGTATTACAACCATATACAGTAAACTCTGCATAAGTCAAATCTGTTGGGACTGCACAAAATAATTTGATCTATGAACAAATTGACTAAGGAAGTGTAAATAACACAAATTTTGTATAGTTTGGTCAACAAAATTTGAATCAACTTTAATAGAAAAAAAAATTGATTTGGGCAACTTCAATTTATGCAGAGTTTTCTGTACAGTGTACTAGCTTCCTTCACGGTAAAGTTAAACCTAAAAGGTACATATGGGAACCTGATAACTCATGTATCAAAGCATGTGGAAATGGATAATTTATTAGTCAATGGGTTAATTAAATGAAATCACTATCATACCTGCAGATCCTTCAAGGTTGGCGTTGTTGACTAGTAGGGTTCCGATCCCCTGATTGTATTCAGGAGCATCATGAAGCATCTGACCACCGAGCTCCTGGCTTCCTAATCCATCAAGATCTGAAGGAAAGAGGACACAGAATATTCAACAAGCTCTCCTGTACATGTAGCTTCTATTGTTATCAAGAATGTAGCCAATGAGAAGCGTCAAAATGGATCATGTGACCGTGCATTATTTTTTACTATATGCATGGTACCATCTGCATGGGGTGCAGTTTGGTGATAACAACCATGGATGAAGGTTGCGGGGACACATCTAATGGCCTTGCAAAGTAAGATTGTCGACCCATTTTATAAAACAAATAATGCACAGGTTTTCGTTTGTGATGTTATGGCGATGCAGCGCTATTCTGGTATTCACAATGGTACAAAATACTCTTGGCTATACGCCTCTTGAATTTTATTGCACCATAGTGAATACCCTCATGCGCTGCATCGACCATATTAAACGCACTCACACCTGTGTATTATTTGTATAACATCATCATTGACATAACGCTTCCTCTACTCTTACACATTGTCACTATCATCATCACTGACATCACAATCAGTAGTATATATCAACATCACCATATGGATCTGCATCTTTATCAACAGCATCGTCTTGTCATGGTCTCTATCATCACAGGAACCCTGATCACCACTAATGTAATCATCATTTAAAAAATTATTGAATAGTTATACTAATAAAACTAAACATTTTAGTCATTATCATCATCATCTTCACCTCCATTACAACAATCAAAATCCTGACAACCACTGTCATCACTATCAGAACCACAACCATCATCTATCATCATAGTCATCACCAAAATCTTAAGCTCAAACTTTCTCATCACAACGTTCATCAACAAAAATGACAGCAACATCATCAACATCATCATCATCATCATCATCTCCACCAACATCATCATCTTCATCACCACCACCATCATCATCATCATCATCATCTTCCTCATTATCTGCCTATGATTAACAAGTTTCTCCTCACCTGTCAGGATGGAGATGAGAGCCCGGTTACAGTGTTCCATGGCAGGCTGGTAGCCTCCGTCCTCCAGGAGGTTCCTTGTAATTATTATCCTATACAATTCACCCAACCAAGTGGCTGACAGGTAGACTAACACTCCACTGTAGTGCACACTGTCTATGAATTGTTTCTGGAGAGGGGGAACAAAAATTTAAAAAAAACTAAAATTAATTGTATTCTATTGTATTTTAATGTATTGACTGGATGTACATTGTATCTGTGCTTCTGTATTTTTAACGAATGTAGGTTGTTTAGTAGTTATTAATTGTACTTTGTTAATATGATACTTGATTTAATGTACTATTATCTGAATATCGCCATTTTTTGTAAAGCGCTAAGAAACATATTGTATTAAGCGCTCTAGAAATAGAATGTATTATCATTATCATTTATGAATTCTTAACTGAAAAAAAGATTGGAGTGATTGACAGCAAATGTTTCATCAGTATCACCCATTATGCAAATGTCAAGTATATTTTGCAATTTATGGTAAACCCACTTCCATTTTTGTTGAAAAAAAAGGCATTACAATAGCAGTGTGCTTAAATGCACCAGGGACATAAATGCTGTATGGACATAACTCACCTGAGTGAGAGGCAGGGAAGCAGGGTTCTGGTAGTGATCGCTCCTCACAAGTTTAAGGTTGAGTAGCAGACAGGCGTAAGTAGCGACATAGATACCATCAGCATTGATGACCGGGGTCAGGTTCAGCTTGTTAGATTTGTCATCTTCTGCATCGGTCTTCTTCATGGTATAGCCTGCACAGAGCAAAATAATTGGAAACGTAATATTAATTTCTAAACATTTGTCAGGGTATCCCATTCACCAATGGTAGTGGTCTTCCATGGGGCCCTGAATATTAAAGCATGAACATATTTACATCAAAAAGCATAACGTTTATACAAAACAGTTAAAATAAAATTTTATAGTACATTAAGAAAGATATGACACAACAATAATAGACGTGGCAAAAATAATACTCGTTTGCAAAATAAACATATATCATTAACCCGTTCAACAGTAATGCCAAAGGAAAATATTGATTAAGTCACAATTATGTGATCAATTAAAAAATGTCGAACAAAAACTGTACAAGGATGTCCTCATTTATCAGCATGTTTGGACGACAGCCTAATTTGTTCAATTTGACGATAACATCCCTTAATCTTAAACTGTTCTATTACTTCCCTTGCTTACCCATCACATATCTGGAGGCAAAGAGCTGAATGGCCTTATCAACATCCATCACATCATCGATGACTAGAAATCTAGGCAGCATGGCAAGGAGAGCATCAGCGAAGTCCTGGGCAGCTTCTTTCTCCTTCTTGGCATTGAGGAAAGCAGCCTATCAAACAAGAAAGGAAAGGCTACGGGATGAGCCAATCATAATGGACATGTATATATTGATCAAAATATGCAGTAATGTACTCCAGAAAATAAGTTGCGATTGATATCAACTCTTTGTAAAATGGGGCCCTGGACAGACACAGCAGTTCACAACAAATAATCAAATTACATAAAAAAGAACAAAACTTCAACATTCTGTTTTACATCCTATAGATATAGACAAAGTAAGTACATACTTGTAAATATACAATTAATCTGTGTAAAATACATACAGCTCCGCATTTACATGTTCACCATAGAATGAACAGAAAGTGAATACTCAGAAGAAATCAAATCAAAGAGTTCTGACCTTCTCTGCAGCGGCCGATGGGCTTCCTGGTAGAGATGATCCCTTAGCTGCCCCCTCCTTCTCTCCTTCCTTCTTCTCTCCTTCCTTCTCCTCATTCTCTGACGTCTGGGCATCTGCTTCAGGACACTGGCCACTGCTCTTGAGATCCGTGTCCGGAGAAATAAGAGGTGAATCCTCTCCTGAATCTTCACAAGGCTCTTCTTTGTCCTCCTCACCCCCTTCTCCTGCAACCTGTTTGGTCTCTTCCCCCTCCTCCTTCTCTTCTTTGCCTCTTGCCTCCTCCCTTGCTTCATCCTGGACTGCATCACTGGTAGCATCATCCACAGCATCGTCCTGTGTATCATCGTCGTCGGCAGCGAAAGCAGCTGCAGCAAGAGCGACTGGATCCTCCTCATCCACCACCTCTTCCTCCTTCCCTCCATCTTCTTCCAATCCATCTCCATTGTCGCATCCTCCTCTGGGCGTGATGGGATCCACCTCCTGCAGATCCCCATCCTCTTCTCTCTCTCCATCTCTGTTCGGCAGTCCGATCCTGTCCACTCCTTCACCCGGCCTGTCCTCGTCTCCTGTGACGGACCTGTAGGCTCCTGCAAGTTCCAGCAGCGTCTGTTTACGCTCTGGCGGGAAGCTGGTATGAAGGTTTTCTGGTGCAAGGCAAGGTAGTCCATCCAGTTCTTGTTCCATTTCTGAAATGTGACGATTGTAACTTTTATCAAGTCAGTTAAAGAATTCAAAAAATACAAACTAAGAGCATGCCAATGTCTTTAAAGCATTGTCATCCAAGGGGAGACCAATCACCTCCCCCACCCCCCTTCCCCACATTCGCTTTGCATCGTTAGAATACATAAAGTCACCCATAACCTAAGATTACATTTGATTCAAATAGTTGACCCTAAAATATAATCTCTATAAGCAGACCTCCCCCCCCCCCCCAACCCCCTCCGTGAAATGACAAACAGTTCTATGTTGGCATGTAGGGTTCATGTAACACATCTTAAAATAAATAAGAAGACCATGAAGTTTCATTTCTATATATCTCTTACCGCATTAAGATCATCACTAAGCAATTATTCATACTAAGTCATGTAAATACCAATGCCAATTTAGGCCACGAGCAGCACCATGCTTTTTAATGCTCTGTGTTAATTATATGCAAGACTATAGCAAGACTATCCTTGTGGCGCAAAAAATACAATAACCCTCAAATAAAATTGTTTTTAGGAATTATCACACTGCAGTCACAGTGCATCTGCAACACTCTTTAAATTCTTAATCTAACCTTTCTTGTTTTCTTCTTCTTTCTCCTTGGCTCTCCTGACGATCTCTTCTGCCTGCCATTGGCCCATTCCTTTCCCATGACTGATCTGTTCCAGTGAAGCTAACAGCGCCCCCACACACCCGATGCTAGACAGACACACCTCATGGCAACCTGATGCTTCAGATATACCATCCATGAGCCTTGAACCCAAGGAAAAAAAGAGAGAAATATCAGATTGTCATCATCTTGTGGTTAGTTAAAAGGGCATTCTTGAAGATTTACCGTAGATGTTGGAATGGATGTCTTGAATTGAAATTGAAGTTTACAGATGGCTATGTTTTGTCCAAGAAAGAAATAGGTGATTGTGGCAGACTTAGGAAGGGGTATAATAAATAATGAGGGGAGACATGCATGTTTGGGTTACAAGTGATACCATAGCATTTACATAAAAATAAGTGTAATCTGGACAAGGCATAGTAGAGGTAGTGATGACATAGTTAAGAGGTATACACTATGAATATGCAAATAAAATAACTGACCACTTGCCACAAAGGTCTGAAGGCTCATGACACCATAAAACATGGAGAATTCTTCTAATTCACTTCTCTGATTGCTTGTTACATGTATCTCTTATCTCTTGTTATAGTGTAACATGTAGTGAGGTATAGAAGCTGAGATATGGACTCACAGTTTGATTAAGTCCAGGTCTGCCTTGTGGTCTTTGTTTGACATGCTGGTGATCTCAGCTCCCTCTATCGCTGGTCCAGCTAGGTCTAGGATCCGACCCGGAGCAGACAGTATCTACAGTGGAGGAAAATGTTCCAGTTAATAAAAAGTCAATTTGTTTTAAAAATCTGGAAAAAAAAGGAGGCTAGCTATGGTGTACATGAATATGTTCATGAGTGCAACACAACAAATTTCTAATATATTTTACAGTAAAAAAAAACAACTCATTTTGAGTTTTAGTGATGGGACTGCATTTAGAAAATGCCTTAAAAATAAACTTAAATTGTCTCTCACTTGCCAGAGTGGTACTTTGAATAAGTAATATATACACAAACTAACAAAAACTTGATGGAAATAACATTCACTGAACCATTGATTGACACAAGCTGGTATGACTAGCTCCGTTTTCTTATCTTCACTTAATACTCATCTCTTGAACAGTTTTTTCCAAAATAGTTTGCAGATATCCTATTTGGTGCTGTTATTGGACTTTCAGGATAATTTGGTGTGAAATAATATTTCTACAATATCAGATCTCAAGGCTACCCTTACAAACTTAAGGTAATACCTACAGGTACATTTATGTTAACAAGAGTTTTTTTTAACAGTATTGGTATCACTAACGCGTACACCAAGTAACAAAAGGGATACAGATATCGTACATGAATTTGGGTATAAATGTTATTGTTTTCTAATCATATTTTGCTTTCACCTCTTTAAGAACCTTGAGGGCCTCGTTCCTCTGCGAAGGGGGTGGGAACAGCAGCATCCTGTGAAGCAGCGAACCAATCACGGGCCTCATGGACGCCACGCAGCCCACCAGTCTGATCAGTTCTCCAGCTATGCAGTAGATGACATGCCTGGCTGAGCGGAAGGAGACGGGAACGGACACCGCGCTGCTAGATCCCCTGCCATGCTCTTGATGGTGGTTGGTGGCTAGGTGACCAGGAGGATAATAATAATAATAATGATAATATACTGTAATATATAGCGCATATCACAATGTATCTCTATGCGCTGTGAGATAGAGTAAGAAGGAAAGGTGGATAGAGTAACATAAGAAGAGTGAGATATGCTCAACATAATTCCTCTCGTTAACATTGAAAAGTATTTTTGAAAAGAAATGTTTTAAAACGTGCCTTAAATCTGTCAACAGTATCACAGTTTTTTAGATTTATTCCAAAGTTCAGCTGATGCAATCTGAAAAGAGTGAGACCCGTAGAATTAAGTATTTATTTGTGGAATGGTGAGGAATGGCTTTTGGGAATAGGGGAGATATGTTCACTTGAACGAGATCTCGTAACAAGCCGTGCGGCAGAATTTTGGATTCTTTGGATTCAATTCAGTTGATTTTCAGGTAGATTATACAGAAGAGCATTACAATTATCGATATGACATATTATGAGACTAAGAACTAGTCGTTCTGTCAGTTTCTCATCTAAGTAACACCTAATTTGTCCTATTTTATATAAGGAGAAGGAGGCTGCACAGAAAACCTTACTTACTTGGATGATGGTGATCGCCGGGATGATGGTTGGAGGAGGAGGAGGAGGAGGAGCTGGAAGAGATGATGGATTTCTGGTCTTTGGGGATGCCTAGGACGGCTATCAGTGTGGGGCACAACTCTTGCCTGTTTCATTAGAAACATAAACAAACAAACAAAACCAGAAACACAGTATAAAGACAATGGTTTTAAAAGATAGCTAAAATGGTATTTATGGCATTTATCTCTATTTGAAGCTAACATAGAAAATAGATTTGATAACAAACCAGTGTGAAATTTTATGTACAGTGGGATCTAACGCAGAGTCACAAAACTTGTACATATCCAAGTAGCTGCGGTTCTACGCAACATTTCCTTTAATTTCAAAGCAGGCCTACAACTTGTATTTTGTACACTACATACTCAGAATCCATCAGTTACTATGATACAGGAATTGAGCCCTTTGTCTTATTTCGACAGTGAATCTTCAATTGAATAAAACTTGCAATCAACTGAACATCTGCACTTACATGATCAAGCACACATAAATAAAAGAAAAATACAGAAATTTGAGTGACTGGAATAAGCCAAGCTCCTGTATTTACCAGAGGACTTTCTGGAAGGCTGAACTGCCTCGCAGGCCAGGCTCCATGTTGCTCAGCATTGCCAAGATGGCTTCCAGTTCAAAGGTCAATTGGGTCTGATTCTGGGTGCTGGCTCCAGCTCTGAAAAGAAGAAAGAATATTACAATAAGTTCTCATCTTTTTATAACAGAGGTAGATTAAAGATAATAATTTGTGTAGATCCACTTATCCATTAATGTATTTTTTCCTCAAGATGTATGCATATCTTTTTTTTTTCCTTCCCCTTTTTCCGTTTTTTCCTCCAATGTTTTTTTCCTATTTATATTGTTCCCATTTTTACAGCTTGTATAAAACTGCTATTTTCCTGGTTAATACTCTTGTTGTCAATTCTTAAATTTGTATTTTCCTTCTTTATGCAGGACCATTATGTAAAACAGCCTGCAAGCTGATCAATGTTATCCTGTCAAAAGATGTTTTAATAAATAAATACATAAAATAAGGAAAATAATAGAAAATAATAGAAAAACACAGAAGGAAAAGGAGGAGACAGGAAAGGAGGAAGTACAGTCTGTAAGCATGAGGTGGTGGTACATGACAGGGTTAGGTAGGAGGAATGGGAGGGGAAGAGGAGAAAGAATAGAATAATTATCAATGGAAAACACATAAAAGAAAAGAGAAGGATGACTTACTTGTGTGTTTCTGAGACCTTGTTACATAAGAACCCTAGTACAGCAACCACATCACCACAAAGTCGGTCTTTACCATCAACAGAAGCTGCAATGTAATACAACGAGTAGAATGGTTATTATACAGAAATAAAATGTCATCAAATTGTCATGCATAACACCAGAAAAATAAATGTGAACTAAAATATGGTGTGTAAAGAAATCTAGTCTCTGGCTCAAAATGAGTTTGTTTTTCTCTGTAATATAGATTCAACATGCAAGCAAGCAAGCAAAACTAAAGCAAAAGTAAATTTCTTGTGATGCTTAATAAGAAAGAGATGTTGGATTGCCAGGGTGTTTGCCATGCATTTTACTAAGGAGACGCATTACTGTTGATAAAAGCATGCTATTCCTTTTTTATAAGATTACATACCGGTAGTCTACATTTTATTGATCTAACAGCACATCATTCTTAAAAAAGAGATAGTTATTCTTAAGCGACTACTCAAATTACACTTTTTGCAATATTTTCCATGATCAGTAAACAAATATATGCATCAGTTTAGGGATGCCAGTTAGAATTGATCAGAGGGCCTGAAAATCACCTAGAATGAGCTATTTTGTACACCAAAAAAGCCTAAACTATGGTCTAAAATAAGTCCCTAGGGCCTGAATTCAGTCTATTGCCTGAAAACTGGCATCCCTGATGAGTTATAAATTCATTCACAGTTTTCATAGTTCTTTTAACAAGTCTTGTGTCCCAAAGTGAGAATTTGGATTTTGCAATGGCCAAGCCCTTTTGCTTTTTTGAGTAAAATAGCCACTACCACATACATTCATAAATTGGTTCACATCACACACGTTAGTTAATGCATATTACCATAGGTGCAGCACCCGTATGCACAAATATTTTGCTTTAATGCAGATATTCTCAAGTGCTAACATGAGATGTGCTATTTTGGCCTGAACGTATCACATTAAATAGTTTATTTGCTGTATTCCAGCAGACAAAATAATTAATATTTCTTTATTCAATCATTCTCATGTTTTCAAATCTCAAATGGCAGCATTTACTTCATATGTGGTACAAGTTAGAATAATTGCAAAAAAATAAAGACAAATATTATTCACTTCAAGCTAATCTTGAAAACATTTTCAGAAAATGCAAAAAAGCATTTAGTGGTGCAAAATGACTTACGTAGGTATGAAATCCACAATGAAAGGCATGTCAGAAATAAATCAAAATATGTGATGAATAACATACATGGGAGATGAGTTAAACAACTGAAACGTTTGAAGATGTACTTGAACATGAACACATAAATGTATGTCAATCTCACAAACATGGTAATAGGCAATGTTATGCCATGGTGCTTTATATGTACATGTAGAATGAGCAAACTGGACTGGACTTGATACAATATAATTTGATTTAAACCAAAGATGGCCGCTGTTATTTCCATAACAGTCAGAGTTGCCAATCAATCTTTGAAATGATTTTTAAATCCATGGTTACAGACTGCATCATTGTTTCCAGATTGATATCTGTAATAAAAAAAAATATGTGTAGTCCAGTGTTACTTGGATCATATGCTTGAGAATGTGTATGACATACATTTGTATGTGTACATGGACATACATCTTCAAAACTGTAACAAAATGTGGAGCAAGCGATAAAGCCTACAATTGAAAGTATATTCCACAGGTTTCATTGATTTATTCCTCATTATTCTGTTCACTTGCATGTTCGTGAATGTACACTGTGAGAGTACTATTTTTTTCGTTCTTGCTCCAGATTCTGTTTACTTTCTTCAGTCCATTGCAATACGCTTACACATATTTCAGTATGATGTGCAAAACAATCAGCTTTCATGAAATTCATAGAAAATGGGGAAAGGTGCTGTGACAATGTCTGGAAAAGGAAAGAAATTGGTGATCAAGGTTATAGTCAGACATACTGTACAATGTATATTATTACTCAACTAACAAAAAGAATATACAATCAGACTGAAATTTAAAACTAAAATAATGTCTAAATAAAAACAATAAACCACATATGTTCACAGAACTTTGTATGTAATAATGTCTAAAGAAAAGCCATTAATTAAACATATGAATGATGTACATGTACATAATGAAAGTTACAACTGTCAGTCAATCCTAAACTACTTTCCATCAGACCCCGACAGTAGCATAAAAACATAAAAAATAAAAAAAGTCAAATAAAATTTGAGCCTGTCTTAATAACAAAATAAAGTAACCCTCTTACAACTATTGACAGAAATTGTATTTGAAAAAGTACATTTAATGAATCTTCAACCTGTATGAGCATCAGGAGAAGAATATGAACATTTGAAGGCTTTATTATTTTGAAGAATCAAAGCTTCTATTTAAAAGTCTTTTTAATACTAAAAATGCTTGAATAAGGAATGGACTTCTCATATTGTACATGTATATTAATGAAATGAATGGGTTCCCACATGTAAAATGCAGAGCAATATACATGTAAAGAGGACAGTGGATGACAATGTATTGCTGGCATTTGCTGCCCACTGATTTTAAATTGGACAAATGTAAAATGTAACAAAAGAACTTGGAGCATTGGAATATTATTTTGAAGAATCAAAGCTTCTATTTAAAAGTCTTTTTAAAACTAAAAATGCTTGAATAAGGAATGGACTTATCATATTGTAATGAATGGGTTCCTACATGTAAAATGCAGAGCAATATACAGAGGGCAGTGTATGACAATGTATTGCTGGCATTTGCTGCCCATTGATTTAAAATTGGCCAAACTCTGTCTGTTCATGTACTGAACTGTAAATATAAGCTAGGCTACATGTAAAATGTATCAAAAGAACTTGGAGCATTGGAATATTAAATATAATGAGAACAATTCCGAAGCTATTTCTTTTCTGAAACAATGAAAGTTCTTACCCATCTCTCCTTTGTCTAGCATGATGGTGTTTTTGACCTGGGATGAAAATAGCATTTTATGTTATGAGTGAGTACACAAAGTAGGCAATGAACCAGTGCGATCGGTTTTCAATTTTGAAAAAAAAAATCTAATTTATGACATTTTTCTGCACATTACACAAGGCCAATATTCTTGAAACCCAATGATAAATGTGTTCTTGGTCTGATACGAGTTAATAGAGTGACCACTGAAAGCTTATATTATAATAATAATAATAATAATATGCTTTCTTAAACTTGGCTTTAGATCACAACCAAACTGAGAATAGAGCTTAAAGTTCAGCAGAATAAAATAATGAAAGGAAAATGCTCAAGATACATCTTTTCATTTTCAAAAGAGTATTTGCTCAACTTGTAAAAAACATGTAACATGAACATGAAATATGCATACTTCATGAATTGTGTGTTTGAACAATTGATAGCTCAGTGCCACTTGTAAAACAATAATAATTCATTCAAAAAAGAACTACTGTACTTTCAAAAATTACAGGAAATGCAACTATATGTACTTCAAATACGCCGTCTTTTACAGAAATGTAATACATGTACATCGATAAAGAGCAACATTGAATCAAACAACCACAAAATATGACATGAAAAGCAAAATGTGTGGATGTATTTGGATGTTCATGAAGTCCTAACTCACAAAGCAAATTATAGAATACACAACAAGCACTGAAACAAGTCTTTCCAAAAAGGCTAAATTCTTAGGAATATGTAATGAATTTATATCAATTATTCTAGAGGTAATTTGTGTATTTTTGCGGATGACAGGGGCAGGTTTCATTTCAGCAATTTTTTTCAAGATAATGAACACAGGCTCCTTACATTACATGTTTGCACATATGCAGCTATAGACCATTAAATCATCTCTACTACAATGACATTTTGCAAAAAGAAAACTCTCACAAAAATAACGGCTTATACATGTACACATACTAAAAAACAATGGATGCGAACACAGAACATGAAGCAGACTTACTTGTGATTCACAGAGCATGCGTAAAGTTTGTGTTAGCGTGATTTTAGCAGCGTTACTGGCTGGATTAGGATGACGGGTAGCAACAGACGGCCAATCAATGCAAGCCTATAGGGCACACACACAAAAACAAAATCGCATGCCAAGCTGGTACTACTAATACATGTATGTCAAGTGAAAATAACGGTAGTTGGGTGAATAAATGCATGTTTCTTAAAATGCTTCATGAAACATATTGAAATTTGAAGGGGAAAAAAATGCACAGAACATTCGTTTTTGTGTGTGGAAAGATGTCTCTTGTTTTTAACAACAAATTTTACTTTGTAGAGTTTTGTTGTTGGTTACTTTCTTGAATTCTAATCATTTGGATTAATATGACATCACATATGTCGCCAAAAAAATCTTACATAGACCTTAAGAATATAAAGTAGATATAGAAGAACAAGTAGAAGGATGAGAAGAAAAAGAAGGGAGGAGAAGAAAACAAGAGAGCAATAAAAGAAAGAAAGAGAGGAGAATGAGCAAGAAAATGACCAAGAAAAAAAGGAATGGCATGTCAGGAACATCACAACAATCAAATGAACTACGTGATAGATTAACATAGAATGTATCATACAAACATCGAAGTCACTGTCTCACAATAAGCATAGCATACTTATGTCAATTACAATTATGGTTGAAAGATTAACATGGATTAATACATTTAGTTGATATGCTTTTTTTTTTCTCACAACAATGCAATGAGTAGACATTGACCATAATACTGACATACACAAAGCACTGATAGCATTTCATCGATAGTAATTTGAGTTCTAGAAATAATGAACAAACTCATAAAATCAAACAATATTTGCAACTGAGTATTACAAGCTACATACAAAGGAGGTTTGACAAAAAGTATTTTGAGAGAAAAAAGTTTAGGCCTGCCAGAATCACAAAAATCTGGTCCATAAATGTGTATACATGTACTTGTTGCTTTTTTTCATGGTTTTCAAGTTTTTATTTCAACAAATTATACCTTGTTTACACTCTGCTGGTCTAGACAATTAAGTGATCAATTTCTGTATGATTTCTGAGAGACTTTTACTCTGTCTATTAAACCACAGACAGAGATTTTCTTTTGTGTGTGTACAGTGCCTCTTTGTTTTTTTATAACTAGAATTCAAGATTACATACATGTATAGCATCAAAATGTACATGTACATGTAACACCTTCAGGATGAAACAAAACATGTTTTATGCGTATATACACATGAACAATGATAAAGATTGAAACAAGAGAAATACACACACAGTGTAAATACAACCACAAATGAATGCAGCAAGCAGCAGGGAATGCACTATATGTGAGGGGAGACTGGTAACATATCACTTCTACCTGTCTATTGGTGCTTTGGGCTACGTCTGTCATGACCTGAAGAATGGTCACCTGACAAGCCTTGGTAACCTCAGGTTTGCTCTGTACATAGACTGACTGGCAGAACTGGGGGCGACCATGGCATCAACATATTTTATAAGATTATTCAATAATTACGTAAATTATGCTGATGCTTTTTTAGAGGAGCCTCCAATATTGCATTCTATTACGGCCATATAAAACTGATTCCGATCTCAACCCACGTCTTTTGGATGGTGACATTAGAGGTCGGTCCTCACACGTAAATATTCATATCTGATAGATACACGCCTGTAAAAACCCAATTACACACACACACACACACACCCACCCCGCTTTTTTTCTTCCTGCAACTCCCTTTTTTGTATTATTTGATGCAAAGGAGGAGAGACAAGAAGAATTTGATAAAAATTGTCTAGTCGATGGAGACACAAGTTACAATCTCATACTCTTAATCCCATAGAAGGTTCTAATCACGTTGATAACATTTCAAACTAGGTGATCAATTTCAAAGGAAAACAAGACATACACACGTTTTCTCTCTTTTTTTGTCTACCCCTATTACAGCATATCAGTGCATCTTTTAATTTCATATACACATCTGTATTAGAGGCTGACAAATTTTAAAGATAAGCTGTAAAAGGAGAGACAGGGTTAAGGTACAAAAGTTCCTGGAATAGTTACCTTGGCAATGTTGATGACAGTCTGTGGAGATACATGGGATGGGTTGGAACAGGCTACCATAAGGAGAAGCTAAAAGAAAATATACAAATTTGAATATTGCTACAAAATATTTAAATCATAAATAATAACAAATCAACCTGGATTCATATAGTCTTTGACACGGAATACACATGTATATCTAAGCGCTTCACAGATATTATTATTACCCCGATCATCAGATTCATTAATGTACAAAGTTGCATAAATTCCACTCTCTAGGGAATATCCTACCATATGGTCACCTTGAGGGCAGATGGCAATTTCTATCATAAACATATGACTACTATCATCACTTTCACCGCCCTATAAAAATCATCATCATCATCATTATGATCAGCATCATAATCATCATCACCACCATCATTAACATAATCATCATCACCACCATCATCATCATCATCATTACCATCATCATCATCATCACCATCATCATCATCATCATCATCACCATCATCATCATCATCATCATCACCATCATCATCATCATCATCACTAAGACCAACACCATCATATTGTCATGATACCCACCTTCATGATCTCAACTTGGTGATCCTCGCTGAGTGAGGGGGTGATGGCCACCGCTCTAAGAATCTGGTTTGGCATCGTGTCATCCTCATGCTCTATCTCCCCTTCTCGGCACTTCAGTTTCTCATCTGTTACCACTTTCTGCAGGGAACAAAACACACAATAATAAAACAATAATAATCTGGATTTATATAGTACTTAATAAGAAATACAGTCTCTAAGCACTTTGCAGATATTATAACCCCGCTCATGGGATTCATTCATGCACAATGTGTACCATCTTCACTCCCTAGGGTCACCGTGAGGGCATATGGCAATTACTAACACAAAGGCTTTTGTCACCCTACCAGGTCCCCATTTCTCTCCTGGGTATGAAGTGGCAAATATAGATTAATGCCTTATCGGGATCGAACCCACGACCTTTAAATTTCAAGTCAAGTGCTTAATAAACCACTCGACCACCACACCTCTACGATACAATGAGATTGATTTTTCAATCTATGTATCAAGCCTACGGGAAAGATAGAATTCGACTGTCGATGGGTTAAAAAGTTAAAAGTTTTAAAAAAGTCAGCATTCAAACCTGAAGTCCAGTGATCCCCAGTGGAATAATCTTGCTAGTCTTGGACTCCAGACACAGTTTGAATGGTTCAATACAGACTTCTCTCTGTGAGTGTGTAGAAGCCTCAGACTCCTGGCTGTATGCCCCTGCATAAAAAAAAATAGTTAAAGGGAAACCAGACCTGGTTAATAAAAATTGGTCAACCATTTGAAAACAGACTATCAGTATACTGTAGTAGTACGTATAGAGACAAAATATGATTACTGTAATTAACGTTGTATAAACCGCCCCCGTGTATAAACCGCACCCCCGACTTTGAATTTTTTGTGGCGGCAAAAAGGTGCAGTTAATACACCGTTAATTACGGTAGGCTTTAGAAGTGAATAAGAGCCCTATAGAATGCTAACATGTTTGTGAATAAAGAGAAAAGTGGATGGGTCAATGCTTAGAACTCATGGAAAGTAGAATGCAAATGAAAGTTTAGATGAGACAAATAGATAAATATTGCACATTATCCTGAAGGATTGAGCATGTGTACAGGCGTATTTCAATAAAAATACAAATTTGGCAAAGATTGTTTTTTATTTTATCATTCTTCTTGTTCCTGTATCTTTTTATGCATAAGTCATCATTCATAGACAATGTACTTGTTCAACAGCTTTTGTATGAATGTAGAATTCAGATTGTTTGTTTTCTTTATGTTACTTACACATCAGTCACATGTATTGTTTCTAAATTCTATATATTACAATTTCTGTACATACATGTATTTGCAAGATACAAATATTCACTTATAGTTGTAGTATATTAATTATGAAATATTGATTTCTCTCTTTTTATAAAATCTTGTTTCCACAATTTGCTTTACAAACATATTTTCAGTGAAAGTTAATCTCATTAAAATTGGAGGCACCAAGTTAAAAAAACATGCATATGACCTTTGAGGCTCGTTCAGATATGACAGAGCAAAAACACAAGTTTATTTTTGATGATGACATCAGGTGTAAAAGGCTTCACATTTTTGTATCTTAATTACAACACAGAATTAAGTGAATATGCACAAGTCCTTTGCTGCGTGCGGTTGCCATTAATTTATACATACTGTAGGTAAACAAAAAAAATTGCTGCAGCTTTTTTTGAGATGGTTTACTAGGCAAAGTTTCATGTACACATGTACATGTACTGATTAAATACTGTAAATACTAAACAAACAATTGCAACTCATTCAATCAGCTCCTTGTTTACAAAGGAAATGAGATGTGGCAACAGATGTTCTTAAATCAACAGTTGGTAATGAGAGCTCAGGGCGCGACAAACCCGCTTGCCCGACGTCCCGGGGCAACCAAATTGAGCCGTCGGGCAAGTAAATCAAATTATCACTTGCCCGATTCGGGCAAGTGATACTTTTACAGTAATTTCCTAGTGTCCAAGAACTCTACCATTCACCCGTCAACTTCTTACCCGTCGTCAAAATCCAGAAGCAAAAAAGCGATCGTTCCGATTTCGAAAAAACTTCACAGACAGCTAGCCAGCTCAGCTAGCTCAGCGCGCATGCAACAGTGACACTTCAAGCCATGAATGCCGCTCCGCCTCCACGCACGGCCGGCCGTGAGCTAGCTAGAGACAGCTAGCGCGATCGTACCAGCTGCGAGCTTATTCGCGCTCTCTCTCTCTAGCTCTGCAGGCCGCACCGACAGGCCTTTGCTATTCTCTGATTGCCGATTGGTTGAATCACGCCAAATATGACGTCATTATTCTAGGGAAATGAACACGTGCGAATCGGAATGGAATAAACAACAGGGATTTTCTAGTAAGTACAAAAAGTCAAATGTTTGATATTTATTCATAATGACTGTTAATGATTGTGAACATATTATTTAAAACTCGCTGCTCATAGAAATCAGATGAATGTTTTTGTCTCGTTTTCAATTTATTACTGCGGTCTCAAGATCCGACCGAGCGAGTCATTTTGATAATAGTATCGAGACCCCCAGAATATAAGCCGTTGTTGTTTTGTTTTCATGGTTTTAGCGACGTTGTTTAGTCTAGTTTTCGCATACTTATCCGAGATTTATCGTAAAATATCTTCAATATTATTATTTAGTAAGAATTTACAAATTTTGGCATGATATTTATAGCAGTGAATGATGAAATAAAAATGTCCGTACTTTATTTAAAATAGTTGATTACCCATTATTTACATGACGTTTCTTGATGGAAGAGTTGACCCAAATTATTAACAGCTGAAAATTAGCCTACGTTTCCAAATGACAGCGGCTTGCACAGACACACATGTGATGTTGCACCATGGTACATGTGGCTACCATTAATGACATGTTTGTATCATATTTTTTACAACAGGGTCATTATGCTTTTTTACATGACTGAATATTAAAAACTTAAACCTGCTTGAACCATTCTACCTTGCCGAGATTCATGTGAATCTGATTATTTATGGAGAATCAATAAAATGCGTTTTTTAAACCTTCAACCATCCTTTGTTGACCATTTTCTTTGACATATTAGGTTATTATTCAGTACAGTTACACTGTACATGTATGTGCATTAATTTGCTATCTAAAACACTAACTTATCATTACGAGATAATAAATGCTTTAACCTCGAGTCCTTTTTCGCTTTAAAGTTTTGGGCAAGTGGAAATATTGTTTGGGCAAGTAAATTGAAAACCCACTTGCCCGACAGGGCAAGTGGTGAAAAAAATTCTTGTAGCACCCTGGAGCTGCTTGTGAACACTATTCGAATTTCTCATGAGCTCGACAATATATACACCTACACTATAGTGTATTTGGTTAATAAAACCATGCAAGTGCTTTGTCTGTTTGGAGCCAGAAAGGCGTTAACTCACATACTTTGATACAGAGTAACGCTCTTTTGGCTCTAAACAGACTAATTCTATTCTACATGTAGCATGGTCACAAGGTCTTTCAACTCAAGAGCAATGTCAATATCATATTGCAATCATGTTCGGATGACTTATTACACTGTATGTGTACTTGTAATGTTTCGTAATTTTGAAAGGGCATGCATGGGGTAATTGAAACTGCCTCAGATTTAATTTATGAAAGTCTCAATGATCGTGTTATATTTACATGTACATGTACATGTAGATGCACACAAGAATCTGTTGCTGCACCCACTATCCACTATCTATCTCTCCCCCTTAAATTTCTTTAAGTTTCCAGTAGATTTCTGTATAATACAGGAATAGTAACAAATTTGCAGTGATACACTAGGTATGCAGGTCTACGTTCTAATACATGTACATCTATCATAATGGAAAAACTAAAAGACAAATCAGTGAATTCTAATAATTTCTAATGTATCTTAATTTTTTTTCCCCTGAACATTGCAGCCTTTTCCCTCATAACTACAGTCAAACATGCTTTAGTAACCACCTTTCTACAAAGACTTCATTTTTGTTTCACTTAAAAATGGCATGGCATATTGGCATTTAATTGATTGTCAGCAGTGAAAAAAATAAACTAAAGCACGGTAAATGCTGAAAAGTTTGAAGAGAAAAAACAAACTTTCCAGGACAAATATACTGTACAGTGTACCTGCACACATAGTTGACCTTTTATCAATGTTTACAAACAAACAAGCCTAGTTATCTACCATACGGGAGATCTAAAGTTTTTCACTTGATTTTTAGCAAGCACTCAAGGAGAGTTAGTTCTGTCCTCAATGAACAGTGAGCTACATATATTTTGGCTAAAGTTAAACAGGATTTGGAGTCTGACAGAACAACTTCGTAAACTACAGTATGTTATTGGTGGACCAAGATCTGATCTGAATTGCATATATATCTGCCATATAACAATTATTCAGTAAATCTGATTTCTTTTTTTAAAACCTTGTACCTGCCGAGTAATAAGCGAAATAAACAAGGTATTCCATTAAATATTGGGAGGATGTCAAGGTAACATACGGTACAGGTATATTTTGGACAATCTGTCAAATCGATGAAGATTGACCCTTGAATGAAAGATTTAAAATACATTGACTGAAGGCTGCTTCAGTCGCCACCTGAATAGAAAGACCACACATCTGAAAGAACATATTTTTGTGTCCCCTGAGCAGACTGTTCCATTGAAACATGTAAAGCAACCTTCACAAAAAGACCACATGCCAATTAGGACCAGTCTTTGTTGACATGTTTCAGAACACTTGTCCAATGGAATATTATCCTGACAGTGAACAGTCAATTTTAAGCACATGTATACAAGTACCCAGCCTAGCCCAGCCTTTGAAAGGCCAATGGCCTCTGCTGGCTCCTCCATATTCTGTGCATTGTTATTGTTTATATTTTTTTTATGTATAATATATTGTTGAATGTATTTTTTATGACAATCGGAAATAAAATGAATGAATGAATACCTTGTGCTTGACTGACGGCTTCCCGTAGTGCTGCATGCTTGTTTGACGTTGCCTCTTTGAGGATCTGTCCAAATACCCCCTCCATGGTGGGTCAGGTAAGGTCAACCGAGTGAGAACAAGATCTGAAGGACTCTGTACATGTGTACAGTACCTCACTCCATTCTCCTCTAGCTTCTCCCCAGGGAAAATCCTGAGAGAAAAATATTGGAGATTGAGTAAAGTTTAAAGATACCATTAATCAAATCACGCTCTGCCACTTCATAGAACAAATTATTTGTGATAGTATAAAGACTAAAGTTCAACATCATATATGCAAAGAAGTTGCACTGAAAAAAGTTATGAGATAAATTCACAACAGTGTATACCGGTACATGTAGGTTGAATAAAAAAGGCCCTTTTAAACCTATTTATGGTTTGATTAAATCAATACTCTGAGAAAGTAGAGAAAACAAACTTGTGTGACTGAGCACCACAAAACCATTAGAGCTAAATTAAAATGTATTTAATCAGCGTGGTCACATTTCAGACAGTTTTTGTATTTTCTCAAAGAGTATGCATTCTCTTGTAATTCAACAATTTTTAAGTGACAATGAATATAAAAATGGTGTTTTGAGCAGTTTTTGTTGACCCATATTCATTTGATTGTAGTATGGGTTTTCATCTCTTTATGACCCGACAACTGATCTCATTTTGATCTCCCATGACCTCTAACTTTGCTGTTCACTCAAAATTACTGAATATGCATGAATCAAAGAGGCAGAGTCCTTCTCAACCTCTTGCATATTCAGCAATTTCGGGCAAACGGCGCTCTATATGAATATTCATATTTGCTTCGCCGCTGCTGCGCATGCTACTGTCACTTTGCCTTGATGAATCGACTATACAACATGGATGAATCGTCGGGTTAGGACGAAGAATCACCCTTTTCCAATCAAAGACTTCTTCAATTTATAATTTAAAGTGGTTGGAAAATTGCCCAGAGGAGTCGAAGAACATTGTAAGTCAAAATTGGAATTACTACCTCTTCACATTGCAAGAAAAAAAAAGTGACCAAACCCGCTGTTTGAATATTTTCAAAAGCGGGCTCTAGAGCTCTGACGCCTTCGGCATTGGAGCTCCCTGGAGTTACGTTCTCTATTGCATCTATCTCTCTCTCTCCTCTCTCTTGCTCTGTTTCCTTTCCCCTCTCCTTCTCTTGCTTTGTCTCTACATCTCTCATATCACTCTCTCAGTCTCTCTACTCTTTCACCCTCTCCCTCTATCTAGCTCTGTCTCCCATTCCCCCTCTTGCTTAGACCTGAAAGGCAAAGGTAAAATGATGATGAAACTGTGATAACGTCATTATGAACTCGTAGCTCGTGCACAGTTTTTCCTTCATAATCATGTTGCCTTGATCGTAGACTAGAAGGGATGAGATTTAGATGAGTCATGCGCAGTGAGAGTTTAAAATATGGCTGCAAGATTTTCAACATGGATGTCGATATTGACTCTTAATTTCATGAAAAGGGATTATCAAATGCATTATACAGTCAAGTTGGTAAGTAGAACCGATGAATCATAGCCTAGGCCTAATTTTAAAAAATAAATGCATCGGATATATATGCATCCGCTAAAATTGAGTATTTTTGGCAAAGTTCTTTGGCCAAAAATGGCTAATACGTTTGCACAGGAGCGTCTATGGTCGGTTTCTGTCTCTAAAGAAAGGAGCCGATCCTACCTAAATCAGAGGCTAACGAAACGAAAGAGACAGAAATTTTCGGTCTACCTCTTGCTCTGCCTCCGGGCTTCCCTCTGTATCTGTATTGTTACATGTAGGTCAGCAAAATGTCTGTTCAGGACACATCCACGCTAACTTTGTGAAGACATAAGCGCATTGCATGTGGAAAGACTTATACATTTTGTTTGAGTTTAGCTTTAAATGTTACCAGGGATGGGCTTATAACAATTGTAGAGGAAGGTTGTTCCAGTCCCTAACAGTATTTACGAAGAAGGAGTCCTGGAATACTCTGGCCTGGCCCTCTCCTTCTAATCTCTGTCTCTCTCTCTCTTCTCTTTCCGTTTCCCCTCTTGATCTCCCTGTCTCCGTCTCTTGCTCTGCCTCCCTCTGTCTCTGCCTCTCCCTTTCAGACCACCTCATTCGTCTTTAATGTGACGAATTCATCTAGTTATAGGCCTAGATCTAGGTCTATATTTTTTATAGCACGAATTTGCGAAATCAAATGATCAAATGACTACACAGATCTTCACAGGTGGGACTGGTTTCTTGTGTGACTATTTTTGAGAGGAAAAACACTGATAAAAGACTACATAAATAGAGAATTTAGGTGGATAATTATTTGTAAATTATGTAAATGCCTGAATGTGAAACACGTTACCTCTTAAATAGCAATCTCAGCAGTGAAAACAGAGCAGGCACAACAGCTGTTTACGTTTTTGTCCACGAAGCCGCAAATGAAACTTAGACAACAATCTGGATCGAAATAATTTGTTGGATTGCCAATCTAAGAATCTATGTGGCCCTGCAATGATCGCAGCTATCCTAGGAAGCGGTAAACTATATGGATCAAAGGTAACATTGTAATTAAAATCATCAAAACATACAACAAAATTCATAACAATTAAATTAAGTACAAATTCATTGTAACATTTCAATCTAGTCGTATTTTCAACTATTGGAACAGCTTGGAACCTGTGCAGGGGAAACATTGATCTGCAAGACGGCGTCAAGTAACCGGTATGGAATAGCTGGGGCGAGGGGGTGATACCAACGAACTCATGGGTGATACCTATCTGGGGGCTGACGTCCCTTGCCTGAACATCAACTTTCATTGTGAGCCACCGAAAGGAGCAAGCGATTTTTAAAATTCGTTTTTTAATGAAAATGTATTACAACTATCCCGGAAATTGGCAATTTTAAAATTCCAATAACTCGAGCAGCTCGATATATCATCAGCCCGATTTTTCTCTCTTTTATCCCCCCCCCCCCCCCTAATATAACATGCAGTTGCATTGTTGACTAGATGAACATGCATGCAAGGGCGGCGGAGCGACTTCGAAAATAGGGGGCGGGGGACACCAACAGAAAAGGCACTTTCTGGAGAAATGAAGGGCCCAAAGGGAACTCTCAAAGCGAAATTAAACAATTTTTTAGACATTGGTATATACTTCTGCATTGTGATTACATTATCTGGGATGCTTTCATTTTCCCCTCTTTATCAATACAAGAATTTGCTTAAGCATCATACTTTGCAGTTGGGTGTGATGGTCTGAATATTCATTCGTGAGCGAGCGAAGCGAGCTAGGAAAAAAATAAAGATTTTTGAGGTCGCAGTGCGAATTTGTTTATCTTTAATATAAAGAGGAAAAAACCCAATTCTGATGGGGTTATAAGCACATTCTCATAACGGAAGATTGAAATAACCTTGGCTAAGTAACATAATTATATCATCTATAAATGTGAGTGAGTGTAGCGAGCGAGCTTGAGGGGAAATTGCTCTTATAGTCGCTTTAAATAAGGGACACGTTTAATGATGAGAGGAAAAGGGGAAAAGACACATATTAGAAAAGAATAGGAGCACGTTGCAAAGCACAAACAAAGGGTATATTTTGTCAGAGGTGAAAATGACTTCTTATAGGCCTACCTGAATAGAGCCTCACCAGGGATGAAAAAGGGTACTTATGAGCTAGTACATGGGCATTTGTCGACGGAAATGGGCACCCATCAGATTTTGATAGGAGCAATTTATAAGAGGTGAAAATATAATAATTTATGAAAAGGGTATATAGTTAATACCTTATTAGAAAGGAAAAGGGGCACATGTGAAAATAAAAGGTGCACTTATCGGAGTTAAAAACTGGTAGTTATTAAAAGGAGAAGGGGCACTTTTTACAAAGGCAAAGGGGCACTTATCAAAGTGAAAAGGGCCACTTCTCGTACCTGAAAAGGTGCGCTACTTAGAGATTTAAAAAGAGACATACCGGTTCACCCCAATTAAAGAGCCCATACGTATACATGTAGGCCCTCATAGGCCTATATGATGATTATATAACAACTTAAACAAAATACATATACATATCTTTTCCAAATTCACGAGTCATACTTTCACCAGTCTTCTTCTCAGATTTGCCCGAGTAGTTGCTATTTGATTAATTGTTAGATTTCGTTTAAATTACGGGTCTTCTAATGAGATATATGAGAAAAAAGTCTTCATTTTAACACCTTTATTATCCCATCATCATCTCACAAAGCAGCGCTTTTCCCTCTTTCTCCTCTGAAGGGTAACTGTTGGGGTTAGGGTTAGGAAGTGCTTTCTTATGGTAAAACAAAGTTTTGAAAGCCGCATTATCTATGCGATTTTACAATATTCAATGATCGTACTGAAATCGAGTCTAAAGTGTTGAAATCGTAAATAATAAACTCTTTGTTGTATAGCTCCCTCTCAAGACAGATATCACTTTAGCTTTAAAACAACGTTTCTTGACTAAAATCGACTGATTTTCTATTCCACTAGTTTGGAAATTATATATCAGAACTGCATATTCTGAGATGTTCATGCATGGTCGCAGTTAGAATGTATTTGAAATATTTGAAATTTACCGGGAGCCCCGGTATATAGTGCTATGTTAATTATTCAGTTTCTCGAAAGCAGAAGTGTTTTAGGGGCTAATTTTTCTACTGCTGATAGTTATAACAGGGGCATCCAAATACATCAAAATTTTAAAGAAATTCTATCCATCCATGCAATTTTCAAAATTCCCCCCCCCCCCCCCCCCCCCCCCCGCAAAAAAAAAAAAAATTGCATTTCCTTTAACATGGCTGAATTTGAAGAGAGAATTTAGGGGGAGAACAGGCTCTGGGCCGGATATACTCTAGTCTATACTCTATATTATAGCTCTATGTCTCAATTAACCCCATCGCCGCCACCTTTACCCCCCCCCCGACCCAGACACCCTCTCCCCCACCCCTCCCTAGCTATCTACCTCTACCATACACGCACTAAAATTGCATGTATACGCTGATCGAGTGCATCGTACTGCGGCAGCTAAACGCGTACCGTACGTCGTCGCTCAACGTTGCAACCGGGGAGTTCCCCGTCTGTCAAAGAACGAGTTACGTTGCTATGCACAAGCGTCCCATCGACCCTTCCAAAGCCAGAGCCGGAAAGTGTTGTCAACTCGTTCAATAATCGGAGGATCTAGGACTAGATCTACACCAATTTGACACTCGAGAGTAGGTTATCGTATTCACAAGATCAACTGCCAGTTAAAAGACAAAAACAAAGAGTGAAGACAAAGGCAAAGTTCAAGGAGACAGAATGGAAGACGAAGGTAATCACACATCACCGTGCACCGTTTACGACTTTGTGCATTGTAATTTGTATTTGTAATTGCAGGAGTGTGTTTTATTATATTGGCAGCTAGGTTGTTTATCCGGACAGTTAATTTCAAACTGTAATTTTAAAGGTAGACCTAATAGACATCTACAAAGTTTTGGTAGAATATGGGGTCACTTGAAGTTGGTTCAAATGAACATATTGGAAGCTTAATAATGCGATCCTACAATATTCAGTGAACCTTGTCGCGGTTGAAATCGAGTCTAAAATTATGAAATTGTAAATAATAAAATCTTTATGTTGTAGATCTATAGCTCCCTCTCCAGGTCAAGATATTAATTAAGCTATACAACAATGTATCGTGACTAAAAGCGCGATCAATTAGCTCTAGATCTATATTCCCATTTGGAAATTATATATCACATCTGGGCCATTCCATGGTAACTCGCGTTACACTTAATGGGTACATTGACACGATAATGTGCCTAGATATCTATATCTTTAGAACTGCTAGGATCTACAAGATACTTTTTTCAAACATGGACAGGGTAGATATAGAACAACTGAATGAAACAAAAAAGAAAATTGAAGAACAAACATTTTTAGATTCTTGGATTATTGAATTTCGGTAACTCGCGTTACAAAAAAAGGACATGGTCAATTCTACGAGACCCTCTTTTCTCCTCATACTAGACAATCTTGACAAAATCTTTCCTACTTTAATTTGATAGTAGGTTGTGACTTACTAGTATAAAATCACAATATTAAAGATAAGAAACAATGGACTAGTAAAATGCAGGAAGCAAATATGTCGGTAACTCACGTTACGGTAACTCGCGTTACATTTTGTCCGGAGGCCATTTTCACCCCTATGTAATAGATTAAATACCACAGGACCCCTTAGAATATGGAAATATATTCATCTTTTTCCATTTAGCGAAATTTTCAGGAAAAAATATTACAAGAATCCTGTGTAATCTGCAATAAATTGGGTTTTTTTCAGCTACAGTCCCACATGTACATTTTTGATGATAGTTTGAGATCTTAGGAAATCAACAAAAATGAGAAAAAAAATTGTATTGAATTTGAAAGGCCCTAATGTTTTATGAACATCCATGGCATAAGGTTATTGATAAATCAAAGAATTAACATAAGAGGTACATTTCTTTTTTTGATGTCATGTCCTTCTTCTCATGGAATGGCCCATCTACATAGTCTAGATCTATTCTGAGATTTTTATGGTTGCAGCTACCATTGAAATTTGAAATTTATCAAAATTTACCGGGAGTACCTGTAAATTTTTTCATTAAATTTTTCTCGAAAGCAGTAGTGCTTCAGGGGCTGAATTTTCTAGACTTATAATACATTCACAGGGGCATCCAATTATATAAAAATTGTAAAAAATCACTACCCACCCAATTTTCGAAATTTCCCAAAACTTTGTAGTCTAGAATCTATTACCTTTAAGAAATTTACATTCAATATTTCAAAAATATTTTATGAGTTAATTTTGCACAGCCTAGCGACATGACAGATTCGAGTCTAGCTCATTTATCATGCCAGAATTCGAGCAGAGGCAAATTAAAGTTAATATAATTGGACCATATTTTCTATAAGCACAAATTTCATTTGCATATTTATGCCTCATCTGGATCGTCTCATGGCCTAATATACACAACACATGCTTCTAATTAGAAGTTCTTATGAAACCATTTTAAAATTTGTTTGTGACCAATTTTTCCCTTCTTTGTATTAAGCCTTAAGGTGATGTCATGGATTTCATAATTTTCTTATTGAATTGATACAGATGTACCCCCTTTAGAGGACATGAGTGAGCTGCTGAAGCAAGCCCAGCAACTGCAGGGAATAAAGGAGAGAAAGGGCTTGGCATCATCATCATCAGCTTCATCATCATCGTCGTCATCGCCCCATGGTTGTATAAAACCAAAGGATAAACCCAAGGTTCGGGTAACCCAGGGAGATACCAAGCAGGGAGACAAGAGCAAGGTAGGTATCTAGGTCATTCCTTGGCATGGGGTTGGGGCAATTTTTGTGACATTTATAAGTAAAGTACCAGAAGTGAGTGACAATGTTTCCTATATGAACTATAATAGTGTTTTTGCTAAAATCAAGTTCAGCAATAAAAAGCATAGCCAACTAAGTTTAGAAGTATGTTAGCTTCGAAGGTGAATCGTATTACAGAACAAAATTTTATGTAATTTTATATGAATGTGATGTCCATGCACTGTTGGTAAAAAAGAGACACATTTATGCAAGATTTTGTAGAGAAGCAACTGAATTAGGAGTTAGCAGGGTACATGTACCACTACATGTATTCGTTGCATACAAATGTTCAACAGATGATTTCATCTTCCATGTGTAGTAGAATATCTCATCATTGTAATCGTATGGAGTTGGTCTAGCCCAATAATCTGTATGTTTGCATCTTTATCTCACTCTTTCTTTCCACCTTTCTACATCAGACTCCTCCTACCACGACCAACAAACCAGCTTCTCAAAAATCCAACTCGTTTGGAGGCCTCAAGAAAGGATTCCTATTTGGCTCTGCACCCAAGTCATCCTCTAAAGCATCTTCCCAAACTTCTGAACAGCGCCCTCTTAAAGGTAATGCAAGGTTTTGGGAAATTTTGAAAAATGGCTGGATAGTGATTCTTTACAATCTTGATATGGATGCCCCTGCTACCAGGAAAATGTCAGAATATGTAGTTGTGATATATAATTTCCAAACGGGAATAGCCAATAGGTCGATTTTAGTCAAGAAACATTCTTTTATAGCTAAATTAATATCTTGATCTTGAGAAGGAGTTATACAGTTTATTATTTACAATTCATCACTTTAAACTGCGACAATGATCATGGAATGTTGTAGGATTGCATATGCTTCCAATATGTTCATTTGAACCAAGTTCATGACCCCATACCAAAACTATGTATTACCTTTAAAGAGCCATCAACCAAAGGCCAGATTGCTGCATCAGGAGACAGACTTGAGGATATTCCGCTCATCAAACCTCAGGGAGATGGTGCACAGAATGGAGCGCAGAGGATCCAGGAGGTTCAGGATGCACTCAAGGCCAGTGCTCCTCTCCTCGAAAACAAAGGTGAATAAACGTCCGTTGCGAACCAGGGCCCGGTTTCATTAAACGCATTATTGAAAAGTGCCCAATCGTTCATGGCCAATCAAATATAGTTATGATTTCAGTGGGTTGTATCAATTACCGAAGCTTGTTATTTACACAAGTTTCTAGAAACAGGGCCCTGAAGAATTTTAGCACTTGTTGAAGATTGGTATGAGCGATTACAATCCCAGAATGGCTTGAGTTCTGTTGATTGCTACATAAGTTTCAACATTACTTTGCTTTAAAAACTTCATTGTAATTGTAGTTTGAAATGAAAGAAAAGAAGACAGAAAGTTCACAGCGCAGCTAAATTTCAATTTGGAAGAAGGAGAGAAAGAGAAGAATTTTTTTGTTGCTATAATTGAAAAGAGAACAAGGATGAGTGTTCTAGATGTTATCGTATCTCCTTACCTTTCAATTTTTTTTGTGACACCATTGAAACTAGTTCTGTAGTCAAACGTTTAACCCATAGCCTGCCATGAGGCTGCATGCACGCTACCTATTGAGTGCCATGTGCGTGCAAGGGCGCATTCGTAGTAGCAGTTATTGTTCATGCTCATTGGGCTGTGCTGTTTGTTTTGCACTCGCCATTCATAGAACCATCGCGTTAATCAGATTATCTCCAAAACAACCTGGCACAGTGGGGATTAGCCCTGTGGCACGATAAGAGTTAACCGTCCGGTATCCGACCGCCCATGGCGGATTCCGTTTTCAATTGGACGGTTTCGTTTTCCCGTTTTTTTTTTTTTTTTTTTTTTTTTAAGTTTCGATTTATGCACCTCCACCTGGCACTATGCCTAGCAATATCTCCCAGCTCAGTAATTTGTGTGTTGACTCACCACTCCAAAACTAGAACAACACTCCAATTTGTCTGTCATCTTGGTTTGAAAGTAATCTTCTTTGTAATAGATCTCAATATGCAGTTTATAATAATAATTCATCCAACTTTTACACACGGCGTACCACAAGGTTCTTTCCTAGGTCCTCTACTGTTTTTAATTTACATTAATAATCTTACACATTCTTCTAAAAACGACATTGTTAATTTTATTTGCGACAACTTCACAAGCACAAATCGGCACCTTCAAATGCACCTCGCAGTTTAATGAAAGTCCTTCCCGCTCGGTCAACAAAAAAAAAAATTTTTTGTTTTGTTTCTTGTTCTTTTTGTTTTTTGTTTTTGTTTTTGTTTTGTTTTCTTTTCTTTTTTAAATTGTTAACTGAAAACCGTCCGGTTTTGACTGACGATTAAACGAAATTGGAGATATCCGTGATGTTACAGCACTAATTGAAACTGACAATATATTGCAAATGGACCAAATAAATAAAAATGGCATTGCCCTGAATATCCAACAGTCTGTTGCTTTCGAGTCAGTTTGCAGCCAGTTTGGAGTAGACTCAGTGGCGGTAATAAGTGAACTAATATTTGATAGTGTTATGTTGATTATATTATACCAGAGTATGAAAACTCCAACATACACAGCAAATAATTTTGATGGTCTGTTCTTTAACCGTTTCTTTTCACATGTTTCTCCATACAGACTGGGTAAACGATGATCTCCTGTCCAAGTTAGAGAAGCACCCTCGCTTGGCCAGTCAGCTGTCAGATCCTCGGTTCAGTCAGGCCATGTCCATGTTCCAGTCTAACCCTCAGGGCGCCATGAAGTACTTCCAGGATAACCCAGAGATTCAGTCATTCTTTCAGGACTTCTGTGGAATTCTAGGTAGGCCTGGGGGGTGTTTCTCAAAGACTAAGATCAACTTTAAGCTGGAGTAAACTATGGCAGGCCATTCAGGCCACTGTTTGCTCTCACCGTTTACTGGCATTAAGTTTCTTGGTCACAAATCTACAGAATTGACATTTTTTGATAATTTGTTATTGAAGGAAAAAATATTATCTAAAGATCATAATGGTGAAAGCAAACAGTGGCAGGAACGGCCTGTCATAGTTAAGTCCAATGTAAAGTCGATCTTAATCTTTGTGTAAAACCCGTCTGGCACGACAGTGGGCAGATTTAAAGAGGAATTGAATTATTAACATCCTACATGTTCATAGTTGATATTCATATAGTTGATATAGATTGATATTAATCGCAACTTATTTGCGATTTATATTACCTCCTTAAAAGACACTGCCCAGATATATAAGCAATGCTTTATGTCAGATATGTATAGAAAATATGCCTTGCTCAGAGGGTTTGACATTCTCTTGTAATAATTGCTCTACACTCTATTCCAAACAGTTTTAAGTTTCCTAACTTTAATCCAGGACCTTAACACTATGCCGAAACTTAATCTTAATCATAAATCTTGCGTATAGACAATGGGTGATTTTTAAACCTCTGATATCTTTAATGTTAGTAAAATAATTACAATTCATTGGTTAAAGGGAGTGTAGCTTGGCAAATACTGGTTAACGCCATCTACGTCTTCTTTTGGACAACTGCTCGTAAACAAATGGACTTGATTAACAGTAGTCAGTGACTTAAACTCTACATGGTCAGCATTCGCGAAACAGACCGAAGTTCTCCTTATGCTTCGGTTTCGCGTATGCTATCTGCACGTGATTGCTGCGGTTTCGTCGTCCGTAGTCGTATTATACCCGATTGGCCCCAAGTTAGGCCTTGGGAAAGGCACGTAGTCTCAGGCTACACTTTCTGCTGAAAGCTGGCTGCACAGAATAAAATTGAAAGTGACAACTGCATTAGGCTTCAATAAGAAGTCTTTCTGTACATTGACAGCCCGGCCCCCCCCCCACTCAGTGTTATTTAGGGTATGATAATGCGTGTTCCCAGCACCCCCCCTCCCCCCCCCCCCCCCCCCCTATGGGTAGAACTTTTTCTTTTGTTATACAAGCCTTTTCAGCACCCCCCTTTTCAGCATATAAGTCCGGTGTGTAAAGTCAATACGTGTAGACCTTTTTCTTTTGTTACGAGCCAGAGATTTTGTGAACACGCAATGCGGTCCCTCCGTTCCCGGAGTGGGGGGGGGGGGGGATTGACAGTTTGTTATGACAACATACTGTATATGTCTTTCATGTAAAAGTGAAAAATGTAACAGTTTCCAGAGTATGGTCCAAGTTGCAACTCGCCAGTTATCCTACATGTATATTTTTTAAATAGACCACAGAGAAAAGGGTGCTGGAGTGAGTGTTTGATCACCAAATTCACACTTTCTCCTGTGACAACCGCTGTGACAACCGCCGTTGAAAGAGCCTGTATGCATTAACGTGTGGAATTCCCTCCCATCATCTTTTCGCGAAATTGAAAACCTGGACCTGGACCACTTTAAAGCTTCACTCAAAACTTATATCTTCCTTCAGACATTTAAATGCTAATTTTATTGGAGGAGCTTGCGCCTTTGAATTTTATTTTGGAACAGATATATGGCGCCATACAAATGCTGTTCATCATCATCATCAACCTCTTTGTTTCATGGTGGTGGTAATGTTAATTTTTTTTTTCTTCACTTTCACAGGGGACCATTTCTCCACCCTGAGTCCATCATCAGCACCCCCACCTACGTCTGCCGCCCCCAAGGTGAGTCCAGTCCAAGAGGTCAAAGTTCATGATAGTCCTGGTGCAGACTTGACCGTGTCCAGCAGTACTAACCCCAAGCAGGCAACGGCCAAGGATGAAGCCAAGATGAAGGAGATCATGGCTGACCCGGATGTGGTCAAAGCCTTCGGTCACCCACAGACGCCGCTTCTGTTTGAGGCTTTGCAGACGAATCCAGATCTAGCTCAAAGGTATACATGCCCAATTTAGACTTATTCTTTCTCTGCTGTAAGCTTTATGAACACTATCATAAATGAACTGTGAAGAATTGATTTGTTTTTCAAATTCTTTGTTTCATTATTTTTTTGGCTAGATGTGAACAAGCCTCATGGTAAATGATTTGGTGTCTCCCTCGAAATAGCAAAATAAATAGTGGATGTAGTTTAAACTTTTTACTAAAAGATATTATATGATGGGCACGATCATTACTTTCAAAAGGAGAGACAATTTAAATGTGCGCAGAGTCACCCATTTTTTTTGCAGAATTACTGCATTTTCTTGTGATATAGAGTGCTGGGGTATCACAGTAGAAGCTTGTTCAGATACAGGGTGTATGCAGCAGAACAATTTATAAAAAACGTCAAGTGTATACACTTCGTATTCAGTTTCCTTTGTTACAACAAAGAGATAATTGAATACACTAGGACCTTTGCTGCGTACAGTTCCCATTGATTTACATGTAAAAGAAAAGGAAGGGTTATTTTATGGCGGTACACTGTGTCATGTCTGAATGAGTCTTAAACCTTTTAATTTGTTCGATATAGGCAGCATATGACATGTTTTCTGCAGCAAGTTTAAATGGGGATTATAGTTAGAGTTTAGCAGAACATGTATCTAACACACGTTTTCTTTGATTCCTTTGTGTCTTCTTTTCAGGATGATGCGCACTGCGGATGCAGAGTTCAGACAGCACGTCCAAACGCTGGTCAAGAAAGGGCTTCTGGGCTTTGCCAGGTGACAAAACGTACAGCCTGAATGATGGAAGTTTGGTTGTATGTGAATGTGCCCATCAACAACCCCAACTGAGTGAAGCAATAAGTTTAGGGAGTGGGTGAGTCTTCCGAGTTAACATCTCTTCGACATGTTTAAATGTTGGGTGTGCTTGAAATGCAACATGTTTGAGAAGCTGAGGAAGATTGCAGGACTCGACACTAAAACATGCGCGTTGGGCTCCCAACATATACTGTGGACCCCCACATTCGTGAAGATTCAGCTGGGGCACCATGCACTCGGATGCTAGTAACTTTAATCTGTGAAAAATGTCATTGTGAAGCTCTACATGTATGTACCAGAGCTGTCTTGTGATGAGGTTTGAGACGCTGAATTCTGTAACTGTGGTAATTTATTTCAAAATCCAGTTATAATCTGGTCATCTGATATGCTGTGACTGATAAAAATTGCTGTATGTGAAAATCCGTCCATACAGGTTCGTTCATTCTACTTGCTTCTTAATGTATTAAAATAATAAAGGAGTATATTATTTCAGACAATAGATGTACTGTGTCACCACTGGGTAAATAAATGATTTATTCAGTAAAAACATCTGCAATATAATACAGTACAACACACAAACAAGAGCAAATATAAATTAGGTCTGTTCCTAACATACAGATATACACAATGAGTACTTAAATACAGGTTTACAAACATGTATAGAACTAAATCAAATTTTCTATGTACAGACAATATTGAATTCTTTAACTTGAGTTTGAGCCAAGATACATTCACAGAGAGTAGCATTAATATAATGATTAATATCCCAGATCTTGACTTTAATCAAGGAATGAAAATTCAAACTATGTATACACATGTATATTTGCCAGGCTAGATTTCAACCATTATCTTTTTGGGCCATTGTAGCCTTGAGTCAACAGTGAGATTTCTCTATTTACATGTACACGTACATAGTCTTTAAAACACAAAAAGAGTTCTCTGTGAGTGGTCAAAGTTTTTGTTAAAACAAAATCTGTAATTTGTTGTAAACTGCCCTGAGACAGCGCCAAACAAATCTATCTTCATAATGACTACTGGGATGAAATGTGGGACACCCCAATGGCCTGAATGTTTTCTATACTTCCATAAGCTACTGATATGTTTCAAATTTGTACATGCAAGAGCATAGTCCATGGGGGTGTTTGACAAAGGCTTTTTTTAATGACAAATGACAAAAATTAGTGACAAATCTGCTGATAACGAACCAGAGCAAGGATAACAGTCTAGCTTATAACAACAAAAAAAACTGTCATTTGTCACTTATGACAAGTTTTGTGAAACACCCCTCGGATTCTGTCCCGTTGTTATACACTTGTTATTCGTCAATCATCTTTGTACTACCTTACACACATCCCACTGTCTCTATTTCAGCGTAGAGGGTGTGTAATTTTCTCAGCTGATTGGGCGCACGTCACATAAACAGTCAAGGCAGTGAATAGTACACCCCATGCCCTAACGTATATTCGTGAACAGTAATTTTGTAGTGCACAAATCCTTTGATTTATGATACCGTATACACTGTATGTGTACAACACTTCATGCAAGTAGAAAAAAAAAATGTTTATCCAACTTTGTACACTACAACATGATGAATAAATAAACAAAGATAGTTAATAAGTACTTGTAAATTTATCTTACACAGAAACAAAATGGAATACAGATTAATGTATTTACACAACATCAAAATAGTACTCACTTTTCCACTGAGCAATCTCAGTATCAGATTCTTACAAAATTCTTTTCACACTATAATCTTTAACATTATAATAAAAAGCTTGGTCCTAGAGAAGGTCTAGATCTTGGTCCTACCAGAAGACTATTAATTGGTCCATTTAAATGATGGCTTGTTGCTGCAGTCACACAATTCATTATTATAGCATAAATATTTTATTACAAAAATTAAAAATTAATAATCCAAATCAGGCCATCCAGCTAGTTAATCAAGTAAAATAGATTTTGTGCCTCTGAGGCTCTCCCTAACATACTTTTTTTTTTTTTTTTTTTTACTTTCTTTGACAATGAACAAGAATGTGATGATCCTTTTTATTCATTTTTTATCATTCCTAGTCATACATATAAATTGTTTATTTTTTCTTGATAACAAATATTTACTCTGTATTATGAATCCATACAGTTGTCTACTTAATCAAATAAAATGGATTTGATGCCTCTCCCCTAATATTTGTTTAATTTCATCAATGATTTACAAGAATGTGATACTTCTTTGTCATCTTTTACAAATATTTTTAGTAATACATCTAAAAAAAAAAATTCCTGATGATATTTCTTGTACTAAATTTTCAAACCACCCCCCTTCTCAATTTCCAATTTAATCTTTATTTATGTGTTTAAATTGTTAATTGTTAATGAACATGCCTGTCATCTGATTTCTCCATTTGCAAGACAAGCATTAAACTTCAGTTTGCCTAAAAGTTTAAGAATAACGGCATCATGGTGTGTAGGAACATTGTATTAAGTGCATTGTAAAATGTGTGTGTATTGTTATATTTGTTATTATTTGAAGGGATTCCATTCGCTCTTCTATTTATCATAGCACTTTGATTTGCAAGGTCCAGGGTGCTTAGATTAACAATTGCTGTATATTTCAAGGAAAAGGCCCCTTTTTTTAGGTAGTGTAGTAGAATGATGATTTCCATTAAATCTTGTTCAATTGAAATGCATTGCCATAGGAAATGTTTGGCTCTCAATAGACTGTTGTCACATCTTTTCTTGTGTGTACATCTTCAATTGACACATTCCAATACTTTCTCCGCATATCAGATATGGGCACCAGTCTCAATAAAGTTTTTATTAATTTGTGCTATTTTATTCCAGTCACATGTACTTGTATTTTAAAGACTAATTAACCTGTCATCAAACATTAGGTGGTTGATCGTTTCAGTGAGTAATCGTCACAAAATACTTTCATTAATTTTGAAATATTAGCACAAATTTTATGCTGAGAGAGAAGTAGTTCTTCATAGTAGTTGATAATCAATTGTTCAGTGTCATATAATAGCAATGGATCCACTTTAATTCTTACTTGTTTATAGTTACACCTACCAATAATGAATTGAAAATTGTCTTTCAAAACTGAGCCAATACTGCCTTACTTTGTTGACAATTTTAGTATTAAAAATCTCTAATTACAATCTAAAGATGATTTTTGCTGTATGTTATATTCTTGAAGTTGTTTTTGTTTCTCAATAGCAGTGTTAACTGAATCTCAATAAAACAAGATTTTGTAGCGAGACCGTATCCATTACAAATCAGTTTCATATATACAATTGTCACTGTTTGAAATAAAGAGTAAACATCAAAAGGGCTTACCAACTCACAAGATACTCAATAAATATTTCCATAAATATCTAACATAGAGATACAAGAATAATTAGATCAAATTATGAAAATACAAAATTCTTTCAAAATAGGACTACCTCAAACAATTCAATATCATAATTAATCTGTACATATACATCACACAATATCTATATATTCACATGGTTAATGGACACATTGTTCACTTACATGTATGTACACTCGTACCTCTTCTTCTAGATATCTTGATCCTCCAATAGTTACTGTAGGCTTGTGTTTACTTACAGAAACTTTGAGGCTTTCAAATGATCACTGCATTCTTGCCTTTTCCGTTAACTAGAGAATCATTTATTGAATACTCTTTTACATTACTGGAAACACTATTCATGTATATTTTAGTATTCCTAATGAAGGCTTGCTTCTTCCTTTCATTTTCTCCAACTGTACAACTATACAATGACCAAGGAAGTACATTATATTTCCTCTCTAACACTGTTCTTTTCCTCATTCTGTGCAGTCCAATGTATCTATTCTCCTCATACAGTGTATGTCATGTAGCAGATTTCAACTTCCCTTTGTTTTTGTAAGTTCTCAAAGCCTCTCCTCTTTCTTTGTCTTTCTCCTCTTGTAGCTTGATCAGTTTCTTCATGTTTTCCGTGTTAGTTATCTTTATCATCATCTTGCTCATCCACTTGCTTATCCACTTCTCTCCCTCTCTGTCTCTTCCCATGGTGATGACCTTGAACATTCACTGATGAAATCATGAAGTCAAATATCGTTCATAGCTCTCTATTAAAAGCAACTTTCGAATCTTGATGCTAGAGGCCTCTATGCAAACATACATGTACAAATATTATATACAGGAACCTGTAGATAAGTTTTGTCGAAGATTGAATGAAGTGCCACCCTAAGGCTGTGCTTGATAACCTAGCCTCATGAGTGTTATGTTTATACAAGGAAAACAAAAACAGAAGCCAAAAGACAACTACACATAGGAGATCTTCACTCAACTTACAGTAACAATCTGTTATCAAAACATTTTGTTGAGCAAAAGAAAAAAAAATGCCCTTGCTAGTTTCCAGGTCCCTTTGATAATAATGCTTCCTGCACCTCATTTACAGAGGGATAATACACATAACTTTATAATTTCTATGCATTTAGTTATATACAAAGTACACATTTCTCATTCTTCTTGCACGCATAAGTTCAGCATTTTCAAAGATGTCAAGCAATCATTCGCTGGACTCTTCCTGTTTACCCGATTAACCAATTGAATGTCCCTTTGTCTTCGGCCTTTGAAATACCAGTTTTCTTGAGGCATTCAGTTCGATTCAAAATGAGCATTTCCACCAAGAAATGTCTCAATTCACCCATGCCTTAGTCATCATGCTTTAGTCATCATGCCTCTTTTATGTTCCTGGTTTTCGATTGTCTGTTTCAGAAAGTTTTGCAACCCTTCCAACTTTTCCTTCACTTTCAACTTTCAAATACTTTCCTGATTTCTTCTGAACACCAACCAAAGTCAACAGTAGAAGCATTGCTACATCCAGTGGCTTTGAAAAGCATTTAAAGCTTCCTTTAGTCGCGTCCTAAATTGCATCACTCAAAATATCCTACAGAAAGAATAATCCTGAGCGTCGTTGTTCAAGACTTCTGTGTTTTCCAATACTCTAGCCATACTTCCAGCTGCCCGTAGTTGTTTTCCATCCAACGGATATTGGCCTTTGTGTTGTCAACGGCTTGTAGGAAGTTGCTGACGCCAGATAAGTTATCCAGGTCCTCTTTTTTGCTCGAAATAAATGTCTCCAGCTAGGAAAGATTCCAGAAAAGAAATAAAGTATTAACGATGGAAAAAACAACTACAGAAAATGGAATAGTTTGAGTGAAAAGTTACATGGATTTATAATTGATTCCAAATAGATGGTTATTGGACAAAATTTGAAAATACTGTTATACAAGACGTGTTGATATACGGAATCTGCGTAGCGATAAAGTGCTAGCAAAATTGGTTTTGCAGATTACAGATTTTCACATTTTTTACAAACTAAATTCTAACATTCTTAACTAAGATGAGGTTGAAAGTGAAGTAGGGGCTGATAATAAGATGTAGTGATGAGAGAGCTTCTTTATGAGGAACTGTTGGATTTCAATATATCTCTTTTCCTCATACCTTTACCTCATACCTGTACCTTTGTATCTAATTAGCAATAGATACATACTTTCAAACCTGTCTTAGTGGCCACCTCTGTATAAAGGCCACCTATCTATAGTGGCCATGTATTTTTTCTCCCTTCAGAAAGAAATGTGTTGTAGAACCCAGTGGCGGATCCAGGGGGGGGGGGGGGGGCCCGGGGGGCCCGGCCCCCCCCCTTGAGAAAAAAATCATGTAAAATCACGTGATTTTTACCTTTTTTGGGGGTTAGGCCCCCCCCCTGGCGCTCAAGGGGGGGGGGGGGTGCAAATTGAAATTTTTTTGATCCTCAAAAAAAAAAAAAATGTGCTCACTACCCCCCCCCCCCCCCCCCCCCCCCCCCCCCCCCCCCCCCCACTGAGCGACTTTTTGGCCGGCGCGTTTTTCAAATTTTCGGGAGCAAAAAAAAAAAAAATTGGGCCCCCTCCCCTAAGAAATCCTGGATCCGCGATCCGCGCCTGGTAGAACCTGTCTAGAAAGGCCACTGTCTACAGTAGCCACTTTTTCTGTTTCCCTTGGGTGGTCTTAATAGACAGGTTTGACTGTATATATTCAAGACTAAAATGAAAATACACGTATTTGAACATTCATGAAGAATACTTGCAATATTAATGTGATTAATATCTACATTTCTTTGACTTTTCAGCATATCAAATCCTTTCTTTTATTCTTCGCTTGTTATGCTCTTTGTACTCATAAATAAACTTCCACTGTGAAATGAAACAAGGAACCACATTATTCTTTAAATACAATTCTCACCTCTTCAAGTTGGTATTGGGTATTAAACCATTCAGTCACAGCTGTAATAATGTCGCCCATTAGAAACAAACCAGATCCATATCTAGATGACATAGGAAGAAATTATAAATGTCAAATTAATACAAATGTTTCTGGTAGTAAACTTAAATCTTATCTTAATTATATCTGGGGCATACAACTTTATTATTTTAGCTACATTTACCTTTCCAATGTCTTTTTCTATCATTTGATATCACAATTGATAGAAGGTGTTGGTTAGATTAATTACTTCCCTTATTAGTATTTATAAGAACCTGAAATCCATTACATGTTATTGATTAATTAAAATGCAACAATGATAAAGATGAGCATCATGATAATCATCATTTGGTCTATCATCAGCATCATCCCCATAATCATCGTCAGCAACGATATTGTCATCATCACAATCATCATCATCCTCACAATTAACAGTCATCATCTATATCGTCATGATTCCTCTGTTATCAACGTCATTCGCATCATCAATCATCATCTTCACCACCATCAGAATCATCAGCATCATAATTCCAATCATCATCATCAACATCATCAGCATCATCATTATCACACTCCTCATCTTCAACATCATTGTGAACATTATCATTATTCTCATTATCAACAACATCATCGATCACCAAACAATTATCATCAGCATCATCATCGACATCATAAGCAATATCTTTACCATTAATTATCACCACCGTTATTAGTCTATCCTCATCATAATCACCATCATCACCATCATCACTATTGTCATCATTGCCATCTTCATCATCATCTTCATCATAATCATAATACAATCACCGTTTTCATCATCACACATCTAGTCACAAGAGGAGAGTTTATTTCATTCTCATTAAACGACTGTCGAAATTAATTCTTCTGGGCAAGAATGTAGGCCCACGTACAAGTTTCTAAAGATCGTCCATACCTATCTTTCAACAAATCCCATTGGTCCCTGAAGAAGTTCCATGCCAAGTATCCTCCAATGGGGTTCCCTGACACATACTGGAATACGCTAACCGTATCTGTCAGAGAAAGTTGCTCAGGATCAAGAGTACGGGATAAAAGCCTAGGTGAATAACAGTCAATAAAATGGCATTAAAAGTCATTCTTTAATAATTCATATAGGATTGGTAAAGAGTGGACGTTACAATTTATGTATTTTTCGCGCTACGAAAGATAACCGCGCTCATGTCATGAATATTCACTAGCCAAAGAGCCAATCACAGAACCTGTCTCATGAAAAAGCTTCTGTGTCAGGCGGGTCAGAAAGAAGTGGAACAGTAAATGGAAACACATAATTTCATCAAGGATAAAGGTTTATTGGTAGGATTGTCATTCGCTTTTGGGTTAAGTAAAGTGTTTGGTTCAGGGGTGAAGTTGGGGATTCTATTAGCATAGTTCATGCACGATATTGATAGTGCCAGTGGAGGAATTGTCGCCCAAGCATAAGTGGTAGAACCCACCTGTTGATCAACCATGGTTCCCCTGTGGCCGTGAGCGCCGCCAACCAGTGTTTTGCTTCGCCTGGTGAGCTTTGCTTGTAGGAATCCCAGGTCGATTCCCATACGTCTGCTCCCCCAGAGGCTACCCGTGTGCTGTAGGCAAAGCTCCGGTAATCGGGTGGAATCCTAAAAGGGGGGAACAGGGGTAGATTCAGGATTTATTTAAAAGGTGGAAGGGTGCATAATTTTGCAGGTGCTAATTTACTCAATATATCTCTGACAAGAAAAGAAAGGATTTCACATTTTAAAAGGTTTTTAGGGGTTTAAAACGGAAAGAGAGAAGAAAAAACACAATATGGGGGCACAGGATTTTGTTGTTTACTTTAACGAAAGCTATCAAAGATGAGGTTAAAGGGCACAACTGACACGTGCCTCCATGATGTATAGGGTGGAGATTGATGGATTGAGGGCGGAAGAATGAAATGTTGAGAGAGTTCAAAAGAAGGATTGAATTTCTTCATCGCATGTGAAGAGAATCTTTTGCAATTACAGTGTCAGATCCAGGACGGTTTTCGGGGAAGGATAAAAATAAATATAAAAATATATGTGACAATTACCAAGATAAGCTAAAGAATGGAAAGGAGAGGGGTTATGGCCTTTCATGATATCAACGAAACAATTCAGAAAATGTAGAAGTTGAAATGATCTTAGGATTATGCTGTTTCTTTATCTGACATTCATTGGCACAGCTTACAAATAGTTTAATTCAAATACTGGTATTACTTACGCGTGGCCGTTTGAAAAGTTTTGGAACAATTCTTTCGTTTTTGCAATGCAGCTTTCGTGTCCATATGCGCACATTTGCTGGAGAATCACCACACGTAATAACCTGTTTGGAAGATATATATAAAAACAATACAAACAATGATAGGCAAAATTTTATTATCTTATGGAAATAATATTCAAAATGTGACAGTTATTTTGGAATGTATGTAAACATATTTCTGTTACATTATGTCATTTCTTTCTTGATTTGACTTAATCAATCAATTCCGTCTTTATTGGTCAATTCACTTCCCTCTTTATCATCGTAGGCTCATCATACTTTAAACAAATCTCATCACTCCGAAACGGAACATACCATTAAACAGTTTAATACAATTTCCAGAGACTATTTCCCGCAGTCAACTTCCCAAACCAACAAAATTCATTCCTTTTTGCCCTGAAGCAAACACAAAGGTATCACATAAAATCTATCGAAACTGCGCTGTTTATCTCTGCACCTTAAACTCACTGGTTTTAGTATACTCATTTCGTTCAGACCTGTATTTATAATTTCCTTACTTTTCTTGATGCGGCCCAGTATTGTTCCATCCCACGTAGTCATATACAGTTCTAGCCTGATGCAGAATGTACTCCTGAAATAAACAAGAAAAATGTAAAAGCTTTATTTCAAACAAAATTCTGGCCATCCTAGAAAAAAAAAACTGTGCCATGATTATGGACCTCTGTAATAACTACAGACCTCCTGATTTTGACATGGGGCTTTAAAAATGAAGTAGGATGAATCATGAAGTAGGTCGAAATCTCATCGATAGTAAATTTAAACTAAAAATAACGACACATTGTTTACATTCTAGGCTGCAAGATGAAAATTCATTTCAAAAGTTCGTCTAATGAAGATATGAACATGTCGATTCATTTTAAAGGAATGTGACGTTCCAAGTTACACCCCTCTCTTCAGTTACTTGTTACTTTGAGATCTACCTGAGCATTTTCTATGTCCCAGTGGACATTCCAGAGATGATATGGACAGTTTTGTAAGTATAAGCCCTTGCTATCGTGGCTTGTTCTTAATAAATTTTGCATTGTACGGTTCTCGCTGAAATACAGCCTACAAGTGAAAGCAATTTTTTCCTTAACTTTAGATTTTAAAAAAAAGGAAAGAAAAGAAGATGCAATCATACAACGAATGATAAGAGGCAGTAGTAACATTGGGCTCCTTTTATTTGTGTTGAAAAAAAGAAACTAATCAAATTATCAGTGTGAAATCAAGAAACTAGAAATTCATAAAGATTAACATTAAGACGGAAGAAGAGGAACCCGTTTCCACAAAGCCTTTTTTCAATTACAAATCTGCTGATAACCAATCAGAAGCGAGGATTTCAGTAGCTTATAACAAAAACTGCCATTTGTTACTGATGACAAGTTCTGTGAAACGCCCCCCCCCCCCCCGATCTATATTCGGGCATTGACGAAGATACGAAACTAAAAACAAACCTTGAAGATACCGTACACGGGCGTCGTTCTCAGCATGCGATCGATGTACTCGAATGTGACTATTGCGCCTTTCCAAGGGACGTAGTCGGTCTCGCGCTCCAGGTATCTGGTGAGGTCGAGAGCGATGGAGAGGTTGAGACGACCTTCGGTGGCGAAGCTGAAAACGTCGTCGATCAGTGCGGCGCGACTGGCGGGTGAGATGATCTATGAAGAAGAGAAGATTAAGACAAATAGGACACGTTGGATCCTAGACAGAAATAACCGTCTGGTATGGGTCATTCTTTAATAAAACTGACATTTGTCAACATGCGGTCAGAGGAGCCAGATGTAATCTCAGCGGAACAACCGTCGATATCAGAAACTGAAGCTTCCGGTCTAGTTTGATCCATACCATGGTAACAATTTGCCTTCCTCATTTCTCTTTGATCCTACGAATGAAAATAGCAAAATACTATTTTAGTTGAAAGAGAACTTTCCCAACGTTTGAAAATGTTATTGTTAAAGATCTATATTTTTTCTCTTGTGAAATGTCGGTTAACTGCTGTAATTTCTATAAAATCATGAAATGAGAATGAACGATAGTAAAATAATACCGTTCCCCCAGATTAACGTTCACACCTAACACTAACAGAGACATAGGACCTACTAGGACTGGGAAATAGGATACAAATAAACGTTTAAAATCACTTACTGTGTGGTCTTCCATAAGTTGTCGGGATAGAAGGCGCCAGTTGTGGGTGTTGTAATTGGTCCGATAGAAACCGGTCCTGTTGACATTCACCAGTATCCACTGGTCGTTTTGGACATTTGGGATTGCAAACGCTCCTTGAATAATGGTAAGGACAATTTGAAGAGATAATATTTTACTGTTAGGAGATTCAATAGTTGACTTTTAATCAGATATATCTCAAGAACGACTGTTCGCATCCCGTCCCATCATAATCTGTAGCGAAACGGGGATATGGCAACAAGCTTTTTCAAGTGTTTACATATGAAGTTGAGGTGCAATATCAGTCAATGAACTTTCTATTCTCTCGACATTTCTATTGCTAGACAGTTAAAGCTTACAACCGAACGAACAAATACTAGGCCTACAGTGAGCAGAGTACAATCATCACGACAATTGAGCATATAAATGGTGTTAATCGTTTCATCTCCAACAATAAAGTGTGTCATTAACTAAGAAGAAGATTAAATTGATGTAAATCAAGAGAAAGCTACATTATTATCTAAACATTATCATTATGTTTTTTTTACTTTTTTTATCAGCTAGAGCACTTAGCAATACTATATCAACAAAATAATCGAATTGACAAGTAAATCAAAAAACCCTTTCACAAAATTTAAGTCAGAAAGACTTGATATAATTCGAAACTGTATTTGATTTAAGTACGGTGCCAGGAGTGTGATAAGTGGAATGAAATACCAACCTGATCTAGTGTTTAGCCAGTACGTGTATGGTGAAACGATATCATTACTAGCAGCAGATGAAAACGTCACTGGAATAGGCCAAATATATCTAAAAAAACCAACATAAGTTACATGAGGTATCTATTTTATTGTTACCTCACTCGATTTTATGTAAATATCATCAGCATCGTAAGCAAAGTTCAAAGGTTTGGTGTGATTTATTATGACCCATTCATATCCTCCGTCAAACTTTTCCATTGCCGAAATAATAAATGTAGTTTGATAGCTTGCCTAGTACATTTTGATAAATATATTCCATTTTCATCCCAAGAGAGAAAGTCAATCTATACGCATTTTAGAAACAGAAATAGAAACGGACACAGACCCCCCAACAAATGTTGGGGCAAAAGACGCCAGTCCCGACCCCCGGGAAGTTTATACCCGAACAACTATTTTATGTAAATATGTGGTGAAAACAACGATGTGTGGAAACTGTAATTGTAAATAATAGCTACTACTGCTGTTAATTAAACCTACTACAGCTTCGAATAGGCCGAGTTTATGTAAGGTCATCCGCCATACTAAAGTATCGGTACAACTTCAACATAATGAAACACTTGATAGCAGTTTTTATTGAGTACACGTTTGGACTAAATAACCATTCATAACAACAGCCTTACTTGTACTGGGATTCATCCACTTCTGCCTTGCCCTTGTCCAACAGGAAGTGCTCCTGATGAAGACACACCATGTCTTGCCCACAGTCACGTGACACGGTCACTACGGGATAGCCCATCTGACCTAACCATGGGGCCATCAGATCGCTGATGTCCCGGTACTGTCCGTGAGCCTTAGTCACCTGGATAATGACGAAGGTACATTTTAAGCTTTACCGTATAAGGTTTTTTAAGCTTCTATCGTGATATATTCACTCTTTGTAGAAGGGCTGGTGTAACCCATGCTTGGCTGTCATCGGTGCTTGATTGAGTACTGCGCACTCACTGAAAAGATCCCATAATGCTGGGAGCTATTTTTTAAAAGTGATTTCGTGTGGATGCGTTGCCTCAAAGAATGGTGCCACCATTTTTGTTTATCGTTAAAGAATTTGGAATCCAACTTCTTCCCCTTAAGTGATTAACTTACGCCTTTCGAATCACTCTTAGGTCCTAAACACGTGACTGCTCCAAGTTCTCTAAATTAACCCTACCCCTTAATATTACCAAGAAAATAAAAATAAATGAAGGGTCGAAATGTAAAACACCCCTATTTATACCATTCTAAGGACAGAGGGAACCCCGTATTAAAACCTTCCTTTCTACGGTATTTGGAGGAGGTTTGGTAAAGGTCTTAAAATCATGTACATTTTTTTTGTTGGATGAATGACATGCAAAGAACAAACTGTCGAGTCGGATGATGCGGAAAGAAGTGCAATTATCTTTTTATGATATCTTTCCCCTCTCTGTATTTCCACGTAGCCCCCTGTAAGCTACGCCGTTGTCAAATATTGTTAAGTTTTATCGTTAGTTTATACAGTTGCGTATTTATGCCTAAATTTCCTCCTTTATACATTCATTTCGGGATTGAGTTGGAATTGCCAATATTCGCTGAATTGATTTTCGAGTATCTATCGCACAGATCTTTGCCTGCAACAACTAGGGACCTTATAAGATGCATTAGGAAAATTCCCTTACCGACTGCCCTGCGAATATTTAAATTTGGCGGCTTTATAAAGACGAAATGGATGTCGAGCAGACTTTCTCTTTCTTTCATTCTCTCACTCTCTCACTTCTCCTTCAACCTTTATTCTATCTTAACTTGAAAAGTTTTGAATTATCTGCTATTGTCAATAAAGCAGAGACAAGATCTTGAATATATTACGTTAATAATTCTTAACTTTCCTACAGACATTGATTTTAGTGATAATATCTTTTCAATTGTCGTTGATACGGCTCACTTCTTCTCAGAGCCTGTGTATTTGCAAACTTTTTATCAGGCTGTATGTGGATAAAAGGAAGGGGGATCCACAGGACATTAATACTTACCGATGTAATCGCTCGCCAAATATCCCATGCATCTGCGTTGCCATACTGTTTGTTGCGAAGAAATACCTAGAAGTTAAGACGGAAAAGTTTTAATTCATGATCATAATAACGAGAAGGGAAGGAATAAATGATATCATTAGATTTATTAGATCCGTAGCTAATTTAAAGCCGTCGAATTTCACTTTGAAATAACCCTTTTAACTTAAAACAAACGAGGTCAGGGTTTTTCTTCTTATATTCAACGATTAAAAACAATTATCAATATTTCAACTACGGGATGTGAGGAAAATTAAATTTGAATGCTTTATTGTTTCATATTTTGTCAGTTTATCCTCTTCTCGTTCTAGCTTGCAACGGATTGACAACCATGAATGCAGTCAAACGCTTTCGAAAAGTAGTTTCAAATTTACTACTACCCATAAACTGATATAGGTACTGGTGAAATAATGAGATTTAAAAAGAGTAAAAGGGTAGTTCAACTTACCTCTAAGCCCTCCTTAAAGGTTTCGTATCTAATGCTGTGTTCAAGCATACGGAGAATAGCAGGGCTCTGAAATGAATATAGATTATTTCGTAATAATTCTACGTTTAAGAACATTGTAGTCTTCCACACGATGATGTTTTCCTTGTTGAGTATCTGTCTTTTTAAAATATCATAGTGGGTAACTGTCTCTTCATGACTGTGATATACTGATTCTGTGATGATTGATTGATTGTAGCTGATGATTCGGTACTTACACTATGAATATGGCGGACAAAGAAAGAGGACAAAATATACAGTTCCTCAGGTAGACAAAGGAACATCCCTTCACTGCTATTATGTAAAAATGTGTAGAACAGGTGTCACATGCATATTCACCTCTTAACACATTTTAACATAATAGCAGTACAAGGATGTTCCTTTATCTACCTGAGGAACTGTATATTTTGTCCTCGTTCTTTGTCCGTCATATTCATAGTGTTAGCTATCGAGTTTGAATGTAAGATGTCAACTTGGACCAAAATCAGACAAATAGATTATAAGGTGGCGAAAGGGATTCCGGTACAGTCTGGACTCAGACTCAGACTTTGAAGGTATTGACTTGGAGTCGGACTCAGACTTAAGAGGTATTTTTTTCGTATCCAGACACCTACCCCTTGGACATTCAACCCCTGGATAACCTCCCCTAGGACAACTACCCTCTAAGACGACTACCTCCGGACAACTACCCCAGTAAACTACCCCCTAGGACAACTACCCCCGGAAAACTACCCCCGGACAACTACCCCAGACAATTACCCCCGGACAACTACCACCCGGACAACTGCCCCTAGGATAGTTGTCCCGGGTGGTAATTGTCCTAGAGGGTGGTTGCCCTAGGGGGTAGTTGTCCTAAGGGGGAGTTGATTGGGGGTGGTTATCTGGGGGTAGATGTCCGGGGGGGGGGGGTAGGTGTCCTAGAACCATTTTCTTTTACTTGAATTCGGATTCAGTCTTAAGAGGTAGTGTCTTGGACGCAGTCTTGGCCGTGGACGTTCTGGACTCGACTACAACATTGCTTTGTACACATACCTTCTGGTAACTGATCATGTCAAAGTTGTCCATGATGTCACCCACCCTGGTGACCGGCTGCTGGATAGGGTGTGACGTCACTAAGGAATCCAGCTTCATTACCATCTGTAATTCCTTTACCACGAACTGCTCATCCCACTGTACGAACATGATACAAAGAAGATTGTTTATTTATAAACAGATTTTGATTTTTGTTAAATAAAAAAACGACATGACCGTGTTTTTAATTATTTAAATTTTAATCCACTTTGATAGGCAATAGTATTCTTAATGCTAAATATATTACTCATTGCGGATGTAGTATCGAAAATAATATCGCTAGTGATATTCGTTTGTCTCGCAATGTGGTCAATAAGGAATCTAAAAGATCACGACGTTTCGTGCGCTATCTGCAACACTTCGTCAGGTGATAAAAACTAATGTAAGCAAGGTCTTGTTTTGAAACTTTGAAACGATATTTTATGCTAAATACTCTATTCTGAAATTTGTACAGACTTCTTTAACGGAAGTTTTATCAAAATCAAATGAAAAATTAGAACTTTATGGACATTTTCCTTGATGTTCCAATGAGTTATTACACCAATGGTGATTTTGCACATATTCCATGAGGATTCAAGCCGTATTAAGGGTTAACACGATCCAGGGAAACGTTAATGGTTAGGTATTAATAAAAAATTGGAAGAAAAGGGAAATTTCCCAACTTACCATGGCCCAGTCTGGGAAGAGGTGTTCGAGGGCAATCTTTCCCATGACTGTAGCGAAGCATTCCTTCAGCCAGAGCTCGTCCCAGTACACCTGCGTTACCAGGTTGCTATACCACTGTCAAAAGCACCACACAAAAAAGAAGGAATATTTACTTAAAGCCCCACTGCACTACTTATGCTACTTGCGCCCTCTATAATAACAAACAATGCCTAATCGGTGGCCATTGGTCCCCCATGATCCTCTTTTTCTTCTGTTTTATATTGAGAGCTTATTTGATGAGATAACTACATGTCAGTGACCATGCAGGGAGGTCTAATCCCTCCTGGCCAAACTTGTGCGATGGGGCTTTAAAAATACTACTTTCTACATGTTCATTATCTCTTATAGACAATTTTTTGTTTGCTTGTTTTACCTGACTGCTAAGAAAGCATGCGTACGCTCGTAAGTAAGCAACCAGGGGACCGACGGCTTTAAGCTATCTTCCAGGGACTCGGTCAATGAGGATTAATGCCTTGAAAAAGTTAACTAGCGCATCGACTTGGTTACGCATCCGGGACCTTCCGGTTACGACACCACTATTCTACTACTGAGCCATCGCACCTCCCAAATTTGATAGGCTATATGATAACAACAGTTCTGAAAAAGTTCATATACCAGCTGCTCGTTCTCAGACGTTCGATTGTTGTTCAGTATTAAAAAAGAAAACCCTGAAAGATTAGGCAGCGTCATAAACGTGACTGCCTAAGGAACCCTGAAATGTTTTTTGATAGAAAATGTGTTCCATGTGTGTATTGAATAGGCCCTACTTATTGTGGGCTTTTTAAAATTAAAAATACTTACATTTTGAATAAAACTAAATCAGCAATTCGAGACAAAATCAGCGGATCAATCAATTATCATACGAGTCACGGACAGATCTAGTATTGTCAAAAATGGTAAGAACGCCCCCCTCAAAAACATCACAGGAGAGTGAATTTGCAATATTCCTCCAGCCCCCAGCTTTGCTGTTAAAATGTTACTTTAAATGGAGAGGGGAAGGAGGGGAAGGAGGGGAAGGGATGACCTCTTTAGGCAACCTCTGATGCTATCTATTTCCCTGTAGGAAATAAGCCCGTGTCTCAAACACTGTGTTACTGGTGTTTAAACTGTCTAGGCCAATTACCCCGTGGGCAATCACCCCCCTTACTTACCCCACCGGAAAACTACACCGAAGGACAGAATACCCCGGAAAAAATTAGCCCCCGGAGATATCCCCCCCGTGGATAATTACCCCCCCCCCCCCCCGACAAAACTTTTTTTTTTTACACACCAACCTTTATCAGGCTGGACTTCCCCTTTTACGAAAAGCGAGGGGGGGGGGGGGAGAATTGTCCTCGGGTGTGGTGGTCCTTTGTTGTCCTGTGGGGCGGGGGGGGGTGGGTAATGTCCTATGGAGTATTTTCAGGGGTGGGGGAATTGTCCTCGGGGAGGGAGGAGGTAATTGTCCTCGAGGGTAGTTTTCCGGGGCGGTAATGGTACTCGGGGTACAATTTTCTGGGGGGTTATTGTCCTCGGGGTAGGGGGGGGGGGTGGATAGTTTTCCAGGAAATAATTTTCCAGGGATGATTGCTTAGGGGGTTATTTGTCCTGATGCGTGTTTAAACAAATTTCACACCGATTTCCTACAAATTTTACCCTGTGTAACACTGCTCATTCCGGTGGGATTCACAAAACACAACTACCACACACAAAAACACACCACAGATAAACCACTGTAGAGGAAATGCCAATCAATACATCATTAGATTTATCGATCACTACATGGCTTCTTCATAATTATCATGTAGCCACAGTTTTACTAGCTGCTGCCTAGCAGAGGGGATGCATAGCTTTTCTGTGCGTGAAATTTGTAATTTTTGAACATGGTATGAAACATCGATTAGCATTCTACGTAACCGGAATCGGTACGAAATATTAATAACAGAGACTCCGTACTGAAATTCACTTCCTATATATCGAGAACATGAACCACTCTTGGTTTGTTCACTGCATGGTTTATATTTGCGGCTCGCAAAAGAGTTTCAATAATCAACTTTTAGTCTTTACGTCTACACATCCATCCATTTCCAGCCTAACCGCTCACGATGGCGGTCTCCTGTGTTCTGAAATGTATCTCTTTAGTTCAATGAAAAATATACAAATATCCTTTATAGTTGTTTGTATGCTTTTTATTATGGTTATTGTATAATATTATTAGACATGATTTGCTATGTATGTAATACTTATGTAAAAATGTATAACCTTGTATTTGTTATTTGAACGCAGAAATAAAACTAATCAAACAAAAAAACAAACATCACGTTATCTGCCGATCAACGTCAGTTTTCCTCACGGATTACATAAGGTCCACATCGTTTCCCCACCGAGAGAGTTCAAGAAATTAGCAGAGCTCATGCATCCTACCTGATGACCGAGTTCATGGGCGATTATGAAAGTGTTCTCCTGAAGGGTTTCTGTTGGTGTCTCTCTTTCGTCATAGAGCATGTATTCTTCGCGGTAGGTCACGAGACCCCAGTTCTCCATGCCGGCAACCGCAAGCTGAGGCAAGGCTACCATATCTGAAAGAAAAACCCATATTTTGCACTGAGGAATTAGAGATATACATGTATTAGACCGTGTGGAAGATTAACCTTGTGCTGTACAAGTTATCCAATAATTTCCACCGTTGATGCTGCTATTACAGCGGCTACTACTATACTACTACTACTACTACTACTATTACTACTGCTAATACTACTACTGCTTAATAGGCTTAGTAACAGACTCAAAAAAAGATACTTTGAGTTCGAATTGTCGATCATTAAATTTTGTATATATATATATTTTTTTTAATATATGATCACCATCACCATCACCAGGAAAGCAAACTGTTCTATATATTACACGGGGAACTTTTGATAGAGTACACTTAAAATAAGAAACATTTGATAATATATTTGAATATATATGTAATTGGAAGGAAGATTTAGTTCTTGAGAAAATAAAGGGTTTACCTAGCCGATTTCACAGGGTTGTGAAAGAAAACATTCTATTCATCGGAAAGCAGAAAAGTAGAGAGCATTTCTACCGTTCAAAGACTCTGATAGTTGCCTCAAAGGTAAATTATTCTTCTATTGACTCTCAACAGAAGTAAGAGGTGTGAGATCTAAACTGATCTACCTACAGTGACCCATACACAATGTTTGTTTGATCAGATATATCATTTTCCTATTTGAACATATTGTGATAGTCTATAAAGGAGCTCTATCGGTGGTGTAGAATCTTGCGTATTACATACCTAATTTGGGCAATGGATAATCGAAGCCGCTGAAATCTTCTAGAATGTTGAAAAGCCTGACTCCAATGTCAAGCGCGAAATACGCCTGGTCAATTACGTCTTCTCTTGCCCAAACTCGGAACTTCAACCGTAAACATATAGAAAGGGGAAAGAAAAGTGAAATTACATATACCACAATAGTCTATTGTCTTTCGTTAGATGATAGAAGGGATCTTGGCAGAACAACGAGAAAACGAAAGAAGAGAGCAAGAGAAGGAAAGAAGAATTGTCTGGTAAAAAGTCACAACCACTCCTCCTGGATGACGTAATTCCAAAGTCTGCACATGGATAGGGCTGAAAAATGCAAAATCTTTAGCATGTTCAGCAAGCAAATTGTACATTGCTTTCGAGTTATCTTCTTCTCTTAGCTTGTATAGTGTAATGAAAAAAAGATTATCCAGGAGTAAGCCTGCTTTTAAATGTATAGCCCTGGTGTTATTTCAGGTCACATTTCCCAACATACAACAAAAAACATATCAAAATAAACAATACCTCAACTCCATCTCTGACCACTCTCGTCTTGCTGTGGAATTTGCAGACGACGAACGCAACAAGGTAGGTCGACATCACTGGCGTGGTCCTGAACGAGGTCGTCTCCCACACCTCGCCGTCGGGCGTCCTCGCCGGAATCGTCTGCTGGTCGACGACGTCCATGTTGGAGAAGGCGCTGTAGCCGACGGGATGGATGATACTGATGGAGAAGTTAGCTTTGAAGGCGGGCTCGTCGAAGCATGGGTAAACGCGTCGAGCGTGGATAGGCGAGAGGAACGATGCAACATAGTGTCTATAAACAAAAATAAATAAATAATTTTCGTCAAACTTACTTTATCAGAAGTCTCTAAGGTTAGGGTTAGAGTTGCGATTCGGCTGTATGTCTAGGATAAGGGTTAGGTAGCCTATTTAGTGACTGGTCCAGGATTAAAGTTGGGAATTTGCTTAGTGTAATATATTCTATGGAAGAATTGCCGCTGGAGCATGTTTCACAGAACTGAGGTTAATCAAAGTATTGGATATTATCGTACGATACGATTATGTGCTATCTCTTTTCACCACTAATTGTCAGTGTTCTGAATTAGGCATTCGAGGTCACCAGCGGAATTCGAGTGTGATATTTTTGTTGTGATACGATTGATACCTAAGGAAATAGAAGCCTATGAACTGAATATCAATCATACCAACTGTTCGAAAATTCGTTTCAATATACATGTTTGTACATGATATATATATAGTGTCTTTCTTGAGGCTGTTGATCCCACTCATTCTCAAGGCCATCGAGTAAAAAAAGATTAACATGAACAGTGACATGGTTGCTATCTGTCGTTACTTTTCATAAGTGGTTAAGGATTTTCTTCATCTTCTTTCACCGTGCCCATTACTGATTGCCTCGTGGGCATCGTCAGCGTGGTCATTAGCGACACACACCCCTTATATTACGTACCCTTCGGTTCCAATACTTTTCCCTGTCGCCGGGAAGCAAGAACCTCGTAATTACACGAGCTATCAAAGTCCCTGGGAATCAAAATAGCTCCTTGGATGGTAAAGGGGTCACAACATACTTATATTTAAGTACATACCGTCGGAGATCATGGTGTATAAAAGAGATTCAGTCTGGTGGGGGGGGGGGGGGGGGCGGAGCTTGCTATTTTTAAATTGCTCATTCGATATGATATGATGTCAATATATCAGTAAGTTTTGGTGCGTGTGTGTGTGTGTGTGTACCCGTGTGAAAGCGCATCTGCGGGTGGGGGGTCATGTCTATATTTTCATACAGGTTTTTTTTTTACTTTACATTTTTGTAATATCTTTTGAGACATGAATGAAACATAGACAGTTCCTCCTAAAATAAAGTTATTTTAATAAATCTCGATTACAAAAATAAAAACAATCATTGCACACAAGTCATGAAGCTCATTTAAAAATAAACTATTTACAGGATTATGTAAACGAATGCAAAGCGCAGATGAAAGTCGAATTCGCATGATAGATTTCAATAACTCGTTATCTTGGAATTCCCCTAGGGATGAACGGGGCAATTCCTTATCAAAAGGAATTCCCTCCGGCATTTTTTGAGATATCTGCATATCAACTATTTCAGGAGTAAATCCCTGATTTTATCTATTATTTCATTTTTGTCATTTCATGTTTTTTATTCGCTTAAAATTAAAATGCAAGTATAAATGAAAATCATGGCTACCAAATTGAGGTAAACATGATAAAAACAAAATTCAATACATTAATATTAGGCATATTTCATGGATGATGTTTTATCTTAAATTAAACATTAAAAGTTCTCTGTAAAGAAGAAATTAAGACATCAAAATAAAGAAACACTAATAAAAACAATGGAAAAACATTGTACCTTTCAGAAGAAGACAGATCCGACGGGTCTATCAAATTTAAGAGCTTTCAAAAATAATTTAATATATTAATTATCACTGCAAACATATTTAAACTCGTAGTACCTCAAACCACATCACCTAAATTATGACTTTATCCGTATTGCCTTTAACAAAACCACCATGACAAGTATATATATCGCGGCTCCCGTAGTGATTAACGCACTCTTCTCCCGAAAGACCCCGGAGGGTTTAACTATTTGTCCGGTGTGACTGAATTGAACACTTTCACTCCTTTCTCCTCGTGCTAACGAGAGTTTGTACTATTTATTTCCCAAATGACAAACCGTGTCGACGCTTCGAGCAGGTATTGACACTGTGTCCTCATTGATTTTTACCTCACTTTGCAATTCTCCACTGAGCGGTGCAGAATAAATATGGAAAGACAGAAATGCATGACAAAACAAATGTAGACATTTCAGTCTGGTCAGTAAAATGGAGGGATACAGATGAAATATTTTATTTTTAATGGACAGTTTCCTTCCACTTATAAATCATTTATATTGAACCAATAAAATGAAACAAATATGAATAAATTCACATTTAAATCTATGTATATAGCGGAACAAGCGATCTGATTCGGACTACTTGAAAATGAGAGAAGTCGAATATTATTCCTGATGAAGCCCGATTGGCCGCTCTCCGAACAGTTATTACACTCACGGAATCATTCATTTATTTAGAACCCCTCCCCCTCTCCCTCATCCTTCGATGACGCAAGTTAAAACAAATCCTTCCGTTTCCTTCAATTTGCAAGAAGTAATGGTTAACAATACAGGGACTAAATCATTTATATGAAAACAATAAAATGAAACAAAATATATAAATTCACATTTAAATCTATGTATATAGCGGAACAAGCGATCTGATTCGCCTACTTGAAAGTGAGAGAAGTCGAATATTATTCCTGATGAAGCACGATTGGCCGCTCTTCGAACAGTTATTACACTCACGGAATCATTCATTTATTTAGAACCCCTCCCCCTCTCCCTCATCCTTCGATGACGCAAGTAAAAACAAATCCTTCCGTTTCCTTCAATTTGCAAGAGGTAATGGTTAACAATACAGGGACTTTGCCATGATTTGAAATAAGACAAATCTTTACACTGCCTCATAACCAAGATATTACTCTAAAATATTGGATCTCAAAATCTGATGCTCGTTAATTCTTATGTAGGGCGTGCAATGACCTCTACCCCAACACCCAAACATTTCATCTTAACCGAGGCTATGCAATACCAGTATGTTGTATTATACTGCGTAGTACCATCATATGGCATCTGTGGCGACGACAAGCCCAGAAAGAGAAATGAAACAACTTCTCCTCGCCATCAGAATTGTCAAATTACAACTCAATGCGCTCCATTGCTTTGGCATAATCGCTCTGAAGAACATAATTACCAAAAGGTTAACTCGCATATACTCGTCAAATTTACCCTTCATTAGAGCAATCGGAATAGCACTGATAACTGCTCTCACAAGGACGCTCTGATTGAGTTAACATGTAATAACAGTCTATTAGCTCCATACTGCACCAACGCCACGTAGCTATAGTCTGGTATACACACTTTTATCACTCACGCACATAACACGCGCACACATGCCTTCATTTTCTATATAGCTCTTGACGTTAACAAGGAAGTCAACGTTCTTTCTAGATGACTGTCCTTTTTTGATGGATAATTACTTCATAAGGAGGTCAGTGTCGCTTAAAATGTAGTCATATTTCTACTAGCTTAGGGTTGCTGACAGCATGTATTTCTATCTATCCAATCTGTTCTTGCACACTTCATTTTTATCTGTTTAACACTACATCTTGCCACCAATGAAGAGTTTGGTTCCAGAAACATGCTACATACATATAAACGGCGCCATGCATGTAGACTGACAGCCCATCTTATGAAAAAATGAGAAAGCGTAAAACAAGTTAAAACAAATGTATTAATAGGTGAATGTAAGTTATGATTAAAATGTTTCACCAGCTAGAAAAGAAGGACGTCTTCTCGATCGGTCTTCTTAGAAGCATTTTTATAAAAATATGACAAAATCAAACGAAACCATAAAAAAGAGGAGAAACCGGGAATTCACCCAAAAAAAGGTTACGCAAAAGCAAACCAAAACAAAATCAACCGGTACTTCTTTTCGTTCTTACTCCTGAAATTCTTCCGACAACGACCAATTGTTGCCGACACATTTTTTATCAATTTTCTGTAACCTCCATTATGCCATTAAAAAGACAAATTATTTTATGGACGAGAAACAAAAAAAAGTTGAAAGAAGTTGACGTAAAATAGGAGATATATCAATGATAGGATTTTGGAGGAAATGTAGCAGATGATGGATGAGACTGGTGGCTGATTGGTATTTCTAGCTAAACGTGCCCTCAAGCATCGATCCAGTTTCAGGTACAATCCCATGGCGGAATGAAAAGAGGAACAGAAAAGAATAAGACGGAAGCACAACGTCCGCGCCTAGTGACTATGAAGTTCAATTCAAATTGGGTACGTTTAATCGGGTAGAAATCCTTCAAAAGTATACCCAATTCATCTACGTGTAATTACAATATTTTTAAAAGCAACTAAAAAAGCATTAAAAAAGGTCGTACCAAACAGGAGACTTGACGTAATTCGAGGTTAATCGCAAATGGGTTTTCTTCTTCTTTCAATACCACCAAAAAAGAGCACAGGATATGGAAAGAGACAATTTTGTAACTATCCTTTTGACTTAACCAAGAGTAGAAGAAAAACAAGCCTAACAATGAGGGAACAAAATAATCATGTCACAAAAATCACCTGAAAAATTTATCAGAACACGGTCATGAAAAAGGAATAGTTTGTTTTATTTTCCTGGATTGCATCTGTGGAACCTTCGAGAGTCATTCCGTTTAAAAATACAGCCCGTTAGAGGATAGAAAGGTGATTCCTATATAATTATGCATTTTCTGTAAAGAAACATGATCACAATATAATAATTTCAATATGACATTTATCTTCATTTTTCTCATGACATAGGTATTATTTAACTTTTAAAAATGTTTACTTTGTAACGGTCTCTTCCGCTATAAAAAGCAAAAGATCTTTATTTTTTATCAGTCTGTATACCTCAATTACACCATCACATAAACCAAATGGTTGATTATCGGTCTGGAGTTGGTCTTCTCGTTGTGACTGCATGGGGTTAAATTAACCATGTGATTCTCACAAAATCTGTCAATGTAAACTTCGTTCTCGACAAATTTTCTCAGTCAGTGTTTCCTTTCATGTACAATGTAACTAAATCGTGAACATGCCCTTGTGAAACCCTAAATATAGTTAATTTTTTCCTCACAAAAAGTACCAAACTCAATCCTCGTCTATTCCATTTCTGGAAGACTTCAGTATGATCACACGTGAACAAGATTCTAGTTACATGTATACATTACATGTTTGGTTCAAGTTTCTTGACCTAAGGACATGTCCAGCTATCTGTTCACTATGATGGCAACGGAAGTCATTCATCATTCAATTGGAAACAAAAAAGGAATCGAATTTCATATAATAAATGCCCTATTGCTATCAATTCATCATTCATTTTCTACATTGATCAATAGGTTAAACTGAAGTATAATTATATTTAGTTGGTAATGCACAGCAATTTTCATATTATAATTATGATGACAATTGCATGATTAACTTCATCCCATGCACTAACTTTTCCAGGCCATGACCTGTGTGGAAAGTATAGTCACTCATTTTTTTTTATATTTCTTTTTAGGGACCCCCTTTGTAGGTAAATGAAACGAAGAAGATTTCGTACTCAAAATTTGAATCCCAGTTTGACCCTGTTATAAGCACTTCTTTCAAGTACTCATACGTTATATGTGCAGCGCATTTCATGGTCTAATGTAGAAAGATATGAACAAAAGTTACAGAATTTATTTAATAAACCGTATCGTTCCTCTTCGTTCCACACTCTTTAAGCATACATTTATCAATACATAAAATAAGAAAACAATGCGGAAAAATGTGGAAGAAATAACTGTTGAACTGTTGAACAACGGGCAAAATCAGTTCCTTGCACCTCAAAGTTCACGATGACCTGTAAACTGCTGGTAATGCTGAATGGTAAAAGTTCAAGTTCACTCAACAGGAAGGCGTAAAACATTTTGTTGTCCTTGATGCAATTTGTGAAAGTCATTGGGGGTCATGTCCGTAACACGCACAGTTTCACCTGTGATGTTAAATTGTACACAATAGATGGTGGGGTTTAAATCCCCGGTCACACAGACGAGTCTGTTAAAAATCGACATGGCAGTCGATCTGACCGACGAGTCTGTTTAGAATCGACATTGCAGTCGATCTGACCGAGAAGTCTGTTTAGAATCGACATTGCAGTCAATATGACCAACGGGTCTGTTTGGAATCGACATGGCAGTCTGACTGACGAGTCTGTTTAGAATCGACATGGCAATCTGACTGACGAGTCTGTTTAGAATCGACATGGAAGTCTGACTGAAGAGTCTGTTTAGAATCGACATGGCAATCTGACTGACGAGTCTGTTTAGAATCGACATGGCAATCTGACTGACGAGTCTGTTTAGAATCGACATGGAAGTCTGACTGACGAGTCTGTTAAGAATCGACATGGCAATCTGACTGACGAGTCTGTTTAGAATCGACATGGAAGTCTGACTGACGTATTACAATAGTTCATGAGTGTAATACTTAAATCATACACACGATACTATCGCTGGACCGTCGATAGTGCGAATGTAAAGTTTAATTAAGCCCAATAAATTGAAGATAAACCATTTAAATCGATAGTCGGTTTGGCGTTGTGACTGAGGTATTGGAAGAGTGGGTGTGTAAAACCTAATTCAAACCGACGAGACCGACACCTGACCGACGAAAGACCGACCAACAAAAGAACATGACTCTGAATAGCCAGAATCAGTGTGGGTTCGATTTGGAATCGGCTTGTCTGTGTGACTGAGGTATTACAATGATCATGCTGCGTAGACGGAAACAATACCGCTTTCTTCAATCAAAGATCACAACAGGACTGAATCGAAGAAAAAAACATCAACGGAGAAAAAGCTATGAAAGGACTAACCCAACGGGAAAGGAGGAAAGAAAACTTGGTGCTAGGACAAAGTAAAGGTTTGAGTAAGTAATCGCAAGAGTCAACGAAATTTGGGAACAAAATAATAGTAATGTAATGATAATATGATGATGATGATAATAACAATACTACTACTGCTTCTTCTTCTACTACTACTACTACTACTACTACTACTACTACTACTACTACTACTACTACTACTACTACTAATTCTACTACTACTAATTCTACTACTACTTATACTCCTACTCCTACTACTACTACTACTTATTAATACGAATACTTCTACTAATTTGTATTATCATCATAATCATTATCATCCTCATTACCACTATCTTCAACCTATAAAGATTTAATAACCGTCAAGAATTTCGAGACTAAATCAATCATAGAAATGAACTAAAGTTTAATAGGTGTCCTACAAATAATATACTTCAAATTGTAGTTTGATATAATATAAAGAAGATGTGTTAAAAAGAAGAAGTTCCTTACTATGAACAAAATCTTTACGACATATCTGTCGTGTATTCGTCTTTCTACAACTATATAAATCAGATTGAAAATGTAAAGCCCCCACACGGAAATTAGCGCTGGTTATCTAAAGCCCCTATTGAATAACTTCCTAGAAATATTCTAAATATATGTAATGGAAAAAAAACTGTATACCTGTATTTGCCTAAAAGGCATTCTCTTTCTTTTCTATCAGTGAAGAAGTCACGAAAATTAGGATAGACGACACAATGGAAGCTAGTAACTGGTTACTAAAGGCAAATCCCTTAGATAAAAGATTATAAGTCGGAAAATAAAACGGGGAAAAATCCCTTAGAAACAATTACAAATCAATCTATATAACAGCTAGAATCCCCGGAAAGAAAATCTCCGCGAGCCCTGAGCGAGTTTCGGAGACGAATGACTTTGACTGGAAAACTGTCAGGGGTAATTGGGAAGGTCAAATTTACGGGGATTGTCGACAATTTAAGATTAAGAAACGCTCTTCACATCAGCCTTTCCCGCCGCAGCAGGTAAATACCATCTATTAGTAATAGCCCTGTGTCAATTAAATTAGGGAAAGTGGAGATACCATGGGCTGCACAAAATCGTGAAGAATGTCAGGTTAATACACCTTACTCAATCTTGAAACAACGAGGAAAATAAGAAAATGCATACCATTTAAGAAATAATATATATTTGTTTATTTGAAACTGTCGATTCATATTGACAAATAAAAATATTAAACATACAAGTATTTAACATGTCAAAGTAAATTTTGACAAGTCATTCGGAAGGGTTTGGTGAATAGTCATCAAGATAATGAAAATGAATTTAGGAAATGAAATTTGGATACTTATCCTACCATGAATCAAATCTCAAGAGCATAGAAGGTATGACATTTTGTTATAATGCTATCAAATGGTAAAGTAAATTCAAATTTGAATTGGTTTCGAGACACCGATCATTCGTGACTGAAACAAGAGTTACATCTAATAACACATATCCTTGCTAGTATTAGTAGTATCATGATCAGCCTTAGAAGAGTCAATCAATCAAATACTGTTGAAGATTACACGTTGCTTTTCAGTTCACATACGTGTAGCTATGCAAGGTTCATCGGACTATCTTAAGCATTTCTAATGTTAGACGTGGTCAAGACCACATGCTGTTATTGCTTTTCTTCTTATCTGATATAATTTTAAAGGTAACGTACAGTGTTGGGAGAGAATGTAGAGGTCCGTAGTCGAGTAGTTTAAACACTTGCCTGGAGGTACGTAGGTCATGGGTTCGATCCCCAACATGGCACTTACGTCATTAAAAAAAGCATTTCATTCACATTGCGCTCTCTGTTCCCAGGTGTTCACATCGCTACGCGGGGGGGGGGGGGATGATATTTCTATTAACTATACGTATTAAAAACTTTATAATACCTCAAGTGTACTTAATTGCTTATAAAAGATAGAAACATAGGTCGACAATATCTATAGAGTATAATTTGTTATTGTGAACAAAAAGCAGAAGTCCTGCTAAAATAATGTACTAATCGATTGCTCCCTCCCTCCCCACATTGTCAAAACAAAAGACAATTGTTCCGTGGGCTCTACCCTCTTTCACTTCTGCTACGTGCCAGTGAAATGGCACATTAATCAAACGTTTTCGAAGCAACTTATTACAAAATGAAATTAACTATAGATCAACCTAATCCATGGTTATCGGGCTCGATTCATTCATTCTCATCGTATTCATATTTCAGTCTGCCAAATGACGCTATTACGCCCACGCCCACTCATCGAACGAAATCTATTAGACGACTAATCATCCCGCGAACGGTTAACCCCGAAACTCTCGGTTAACATTATATCTGTCTGTTTCATCTGTTCCCGAACCAAGTCACATGCATATTACATTCACATGTTTGAAGGGACATGTGTAAGTCGAAAATTTCGAGGCGACGTGGTTTAATCATTCATTGAGCAAAGAATTACATCTTTAAACCATCTTTACCTTATTTATTTTTTACTTACACAAGCAATTTTTTAAGGACAATCCTGTTCATAATCCGGGAAATTTACTAGAACATTTCCGATGATGCTGAAGTTCTTTACGAATGACAAATCTAGAAAATCCATTTTAGAGTTGATAGTATTCCTATATAAAATTGCATGTTCTTTAGCGTTTTTTTTTTGCATGCACATTTAAACTCTTAAGGATCAATTTTGGTGGAGTAATGAGCTTGACAAAATATTGAAGAATACCTTTTGCTTTGAATTTGTCATTTTAGCGAACGTTTCAAACTAAACTCAAACTTTAGATATTCATGTTTCATCGAAATCTGAAACTGAAATCACTAATGGGCCTATACAAAAAATATCTGGTTTAAAGAGAAGGTTGAGTTCTGGGAAGAGGTGAAAAATAATTTGTGAGCGTCATCATTCTTATTATGCAAGTGTGGAAGAACATCAGATTAAACATGTTCCCTGAAAAGCATGGCTCTTCAAATACCTTCATATTCTAAATATGACATGAAACATCGTAAAAATCGGGGGTAGTTTTTTTTCGCCATATGCTCGTGTAGTCCCATATACATCATTCTGTGTACAGTGCTTGTTACTTTACCAAGATTTGCCCAAATTTCTTATCATTTTGATGATTCCAGAACCTTGCAATACACACAAATACTTATATGCTAGATGATCGACCTTTTCTGATAGATTCCACAGTTTCTTTCACAATGCAATCACATGACCAGAACTCAACTTTCTCTTTAAGCTTTACCCAAAGATTTGAGTGGAAGATTACACACTTCTAAAGGTCCGATAACTCAACTTGAATAGTCACGAAAATATGATATAGAAGAATGAGGCATAATATTTTTTCTCTTTCTCATCCATAATACTTGGATGAAGTGGGGTTTTTCTAACGGAAAGGTTACGTGACTCTACGACTGAAACCATGAGTCTAAAGTCTCTATTCCTAGGCACCCCTCCCTAACTCTCCACCACCTTCCAAAATAATGGACAATGCATCTTAAAACCTTGAAGATGTAGAGCGATTTGGCGGATTAGCCTTTGGAAATGTAGGTCATTCGGAATTGAAACTGCGCTCATTTTCTTTTCAGGAACATTACCACCATTATAAAACTCATCATAAGGCTTTCGTTAAATAAGAAATTGGACGTAAATTGAGTGAAGATTGAAACAAGGAGAAGGGAGAGAAATGAAGCTGGAGCGGTTGCAAATTTGTTGATATTAACCTGGCGCGTCTCAATTTCTGTTCAGTATGTGGTTATGGTATTGTAGTTCATTCTATCTGTTGAGACAAGAGGGCTGGGGTTAAGTAGTACCAGGGGGCAACGCTCTTACCCTCTTCACACCTCCACGCCATCCTTGAGGGAGCATCTTATCGCCCTCTTGATCTCCGATCTTGGCGAGATAATTCCCATTTCAGCGCAAGGAGAGCACCTACCCTGGAGCTCGTACGGCTAAAAACGGGTGCGTTCGGTATGATTTTCACCAAATGAGGGGGCGGTGGTGTAGCCGGTAAGTAAATCAGGAAATCAATACGATTACTAGTAGATCAGCCTGTTCAATTGTCGTCCTTAGAGACAAGGAAATGATGAGTCTAGCCAAATCAGCATCATCTGCACCCAAAGACAACTGCTATTTTAGGTGATGTGAAGTTTGGAAGACTAGATTCTTTTTAGGAAAACAGTTCCAGTTCTTATGATTGTTATATCACCCATTAGTACCCTGGGAAAACATGACATAAAACTGCTATACTAAATAAATGCGCTTACACCTTAGTATCTTGATATTTCACAATCTTGTTGATGCCTTCGTCACGTTTTGTGATAATGCTTAGGGTGTCTGCCCTACAACTACTCAATATCTCTTGTTGAACTTTTTTACATAGTTTTCGGATTGTCCAATACTAGTAAAAAAAAATTGATTTCAGAATTTATAATTCATTTTGGTCATGGATGCAGAGGTTCTTTTCATGAAGGCTGTAAACGGGTTCGGGATGGGTAGAAGAAGTTAAGAACAATCTTCTCCTTTTAAAACTACTTGT